TAAATGATCATATGTGCCGAATACACGTCGGCAAGTAACGATAAGAACAGTTTTGTGCGTGAAACAGAGAAACCAAGCTTACAATGAGCTCAATTTTGAATCAGCCGTGCCTTAAATTTATCTACAAGACGTTAAGGTCTATTTTCGAAATGCCAGGTTTGCCAGTCAAGTGGAAGGAATGAAGTTTAAATTACAGGTCCTGGAAGTCAAGAGATTTTTCACCATGGGTGCGAACTCGTCTGTTTTAAATAAAATTCCATTCTAATTCTAAATGTACAAGCATATTCTATTATTCTAAATCCGTTTTATTATATCAGATACTGCTTAATCTAATACTATAATTCGTCATATTTTTAAATTTTTACGTTGATTAATTTTTGTTCGTCATTGAAAATGAATGCAAAGTGAGTTGCATCGTGGACGCTGCGACCTCACCATCTCCAACCTAACATTGTCACACCTCACCATCTCCAACCTCACATTGTCACACCTCACCATCTCCAACCTTACATTGTCACACCTCACCATCTCCAACCTCACATTATCACACATCACCATCTCGAGTAGCTGGGTGCCATTCATTGAGCATTAGTCTTTAACAGTTTAACTGATCGAAACTCATTAAATATACATAGACACTCAGCGAAATAACAAGGCCAATGTCCAAACATCGATGCATTTTCTGCGTTGTGCGGGACATCTGTCCCAGTTAGGCTCGACATGAGGACGTATCACTGCTACATCCACGCTCTGTTCGTGTTGTGGGTAAGAAAGAATTCTACTATTTGTACAATATAACGCATTACTGTACAAGAATATATGTGTGCGTTTGTTTTGCATATGTTATACTGTATAAATATATGTGCAATATAACGCATAATAAAACCCCCTATAATTACCTGTTCAGAACTTACAACTTCTTTCTTACTTTTATTCATTCGATTCAGTGCGACGCATGAGAGCCCGGAGACGACTAGTTATTACAGTAAGCCTAAATATACGTTGGTATCGGTTCTCAACTTTCCTTATTTACTCAGCTTTATATATTTTAATCGTTTATCTATTTTATTTCCTCCAGGCAAGAAACTGTAAATTGCCTTCTTGTTGTTTTATAAGTTATTTCGATTTACTTACTAATCTTTCCGAGCTATCTGTTGATGAACCCAATCTTCTATTTCTACGCCACCCTACAAAACTCTCGAAGAAAATAGAACGCACTAAGTCCCTACATATTTCACATCCTTCTTACTTGTGTGCAGTGCCTATCATTTCGCTCCTCAACTGCGTCTCGTAACGCGTGTAATTCCCTGCAGTAATAAGTGTTACATACAGTATAATGTAATGCTGACAGTATAATGTACAGTATTGTTGCCGGAAGGCATCTAACCTTTTATCACTCAACCAGTCTGTGTTTTAATTCATTATTTTTCAATAACTTCTGACTCAATTTAATATTTCCGTTTTGGTTCAGAGTAATTTTTTGCATAACTAACGACAGTCACATTCAATTCAGTTCCGTCATTTAGTAACTAGCAGCCACTAGCATTCCGTCTATTGAGTTAGTCTGGACGGGTCGCCTGCCGAAGACCACCACTGCCCTGGATGTAATGGACCATCATGATTCCTGCCTTGCGGAACGTTGCCTTCAACACTTCAAGCCGTCCGTATCTAGACCCTGGGTCGAACGGGAGCGCAGCCCTGCACCACAAATTTAGCTCGTAAACAAGCCCTAGCGCCAACGCCTACCCTATAATGCTATAACTAAACTCAGCTCACACCCAAGAAGCTGTAGGTAACTGAGTCATCTCCCCACACCGACTTTAAGCAACACCTACCTCACTCCAAAGCCTGCTGAATCAAATAGTCAATTGTCAACAGGTCCTCCTCCACGGAATTTTACCCCATACTATCACTTCTTACACACGCCGTAAGCCTTACTGGCCGCAGACCTGCACTCCACGGGCAGAAGCGCAAACCGCCGTCCCTATAACGCCATGCCCCGGCTCTCCCCCTTCGCAGCCATAAGGCTTTCTTCAATTGCTGATCAGTTGTGCGCCAGGTTAGGTTAGGTTTGGTTAGGTTAGGTCCCTCCATCGCGCCAGGCGCATTACTGATCGGGCAACGAGAAAAGCCTTCTGCTGGCTGCGAAGGGGGAGAACCGGGGCATGGCGTTATAGGGACGGCGGTTAGCGCTTCTGCCTGTGGAGTAGAGCGCGATGAAGCAGTGGCTGTGACGTAACGGCGCTGTTATGTCGGGCGCTTATTTTCAAAAGTCGCGAAGACTCCAGGCTGTGTATAATACAAGCACGCAACAGTTTGGCTATTTGCCCACGGCTGTTGCTTCGGCGGCTTGATGTTATCTGGCTGATTGATTCATATCCAGGAAAGGAAATGGCACCTATGGCTTAAGGCACTTAATCACACAGGCTAATATGCCCTCTAGCGTGATTACGAGCGGAAAGGAATAGATATTGAATTGTGGGCAAGGGCTATGTAGGGGTCTATACTGCGTCCCGGGTCGAACCAGCCCTCGGTCGAACGGCCACTTGTCGAAGGACGATAAATTTTGGAACAGAACTATGCTATCTGAAAGCTAACCTCAGATGCGGTGAACGTAAAATTACGTAATTTAACGATGCCCGGAAGTCAGATTCGATCCGCAGCCTGGTGGTGCACGGCAGGTTCTATGCGAGGCCGCGGAGGAAGACAAAGGCGAGTGGTTCACGGCTGATTGGTGGATGTCCGGAGAGATCCAAGGCGTACGATTCAGGGCTTATTGGTGCACAAAATTGGTGGTGCACGGCTGCGTTCCCAGTCTGGACTCTGGAAGTGCAAACTTGGTATTGGTAAGACCAAGTAAGTCTGCTCTCCGAAATGGAACAATATTTTGTATACTTTGTTAGTCATTTATCAGATTAATTGTAATTCGTGCATAACGGTTAGTTTCCTTGCTCATTATACATTTCACTGCATTTAATGGTCATTGGCTTATTCCTGCGTTATAGTTATCTAAACGTATCTTGATTATTTAAATGACTCTCTTGTTGAACTAATTGATTATTTTTTGTCTGACGGTCAGTTTAAATGCAATTAATTCATAATAAATATTTTACATTAAAATTCTGGCATTGGTTAAGAGATTCAATTATTTTGCTTCTGAATTCTTTATTTAGCACTAGGGTTATTAATGTTTCATTTATTTTTCTTGCAGTGTCACTCTAGTCTTACGCTGTGCTCCCTATAAACTAAGGTTTTGGCCTAGCAACAGCCAACAGTATTCTTAGCTCTTCTTAGTTGAACTGTCGTCTACAGCCACTGATCAATGCCACACTCTTCTCCATTTGTTTTCTGTGACTATCCCTAAATATAATTTTATCAGAAAACTCTTTCATTTAAACAACATTAATAGCTTCCACTGTTTAATTAACTCTGAAGTGAACAACAGGTTTGTCCCACCCGCTGGCACGGTGACTATGATCATCACTATGCCTATGATGTAGTGCAACTGTGCAAGTAATTCTGAGTTCTGACTGCCTCCACTGCCAGTGAGGTACGATTATTGAGCTCATGCTAGTGATAAACTATATTGAACGCTTGGTAGGAGGAATAGGTAACAGAATTCAATGCTTTCTATTTATATCGAATAAAAACCATTTCACTGTTTTAGTAATACCGGGTATAATAATCTGATTTAATTCAATGTCTGATTTAACAAAAAATGCTTTTTTATATATTTATATATATATATATATATATAGAGTTTAGTAAAGTTACATTGTTATCAATAAATGACATCGTTTGAAACTGGAGTACAATCTGATGAATTTCAATATCTGTAGAATACACAAAGCTGTTAGAATTTATTGAGTGAGATATATAGCTAACTGCTTAAATAATGGTGCATCGAAGGCTGTTATATTGTCACATCTCTGATAGTTTAGAGTTAATTAGCTTTTCAACATCTTTATTAATACACGTTTTTAAATCTAATGCAGGGAAGTAAATTTTTCCATCTCGCTAAAACGAAGAAAATCAAGTGTCGTTCAACAAATTAATTCCGTTCAACAGATTAGGATGATACCTTTAATAACCCGTCCCTGGAATAGATTTATGAAACAAATTAATTATTTGAACTTCTAAATAGTACAAATGTATAATTATCAAGAAGATTCTTATCACAGCTCAGAAAAAATTTTTGAACAATGTTCATCTCTTGCGCATACAGCGTGCTGGTGTATCTAAATTTTCTTGTGATAATGACACTATAGGCATTAAAATAAGTAGTTTCCTGCAAAAAACTTAGGAACATAAACGATCTAGGACTTCTTCTTAGTGAGTTCCAGCCTGATGTTGAGAAGCTAATGTTCCTGCACCAAGCATATCCATCCCATTAAGTATACATTAAGTGAGAGACATTTAAGGCGACAGGCCACATCAGGCCTACACTTCAGCGCCGAGATCACTATGTTAAGGTTACTGGTAAATGCTTACTTATCATTCTATGTTGCTAAAACCGTTAAAACTGTTAAAAAATTAGATTGGTTTACTAAATTGGGTTTATTTGTGATATACACATTCATGTGTAGAATAGAATAGAAGTGTCGGCACTGAAGAAATAGGCCCATGGCCTGTTGCCGATTCTTGTTCATAGAATATAATAGAAGTGTCGGCACTGAAGAAATAGGCCCATGGCCTGTTGCCGATTCTTGAATTTTTCGTGACTTGATTCACAAGGGATCCGGCCTTTGGAACCCGATCTTTCCATAACTGACGATTGATTGAGATAGCTGCTGGACGTATTGCCGGTCCGTAATCTGCTAGGCATTTTTAAGACTGAACATATGCTCCTGCATAGCTTCGTCTAGTCTGTTCTTGAAGGCGTTCATACTCGGAGCGTCAACGATGCTATCAGGAAGGCTGTTCCACATGTCGGTGACTCGAAGCGAGAAGAAATGTTGTAATTGTCGTTATATTAAATGTTAACCTTTCTCTTTTTAAATTGCAGCATACAAAATATCAAGAAAGAAATGAATGAATGTTTCCATATGTGTCTATGGGTGGGGTGCAGGGAATTCACAGGGAAGCTAAGGGGGCGCCAGCCTGTAAAAGTTTGGGAACCACTGGTCTAAACAAAATCATCATAACGCCTCGGTAATGAGCGAGGCACTTGAAAATACAGAGCTATGAGCACATTTAGCAGCCGTTGCTACAGCTTTAAAGACGCCAAAAAGTGTCTATTGTTCAATGTTCAATTTAATCTGTAAAAACTAATGGTTCAAATTATGAGACAAGAAACGTGCAGTCCCTGAGTAATAGTTCAAGAGAATAGCATTTTAGGATTTCTATTGAAGGAGAAAGATTTAGTTTTACTAAAGATGATCAGGAGTGAAGGCATTCAAGTGGCGAAGACTGAGAACCCGGAGAAGCTCGCCTTATTTAAGCACGACGGTGAGATTCAAGGGTGGGAACTCGGCACAATTCTATATATTCTGGTTTATTTGAGGCACTCTTGTAAGAAACGCATTTGAGTTCTCTACTAATGTGAAAGTACTTTAATTTTTCCACAAGATTTTCTCCGCAGAGCTGCAGTCTCGTCAACGGAAGGTTGTCACGGCAGAAAAAACTAATGATGCCACCTTTAATTTTCTCCTTGCCCGGTTTGGCTTTGTCTGTCGACGCTCGCATGAATGCAACGTCTACCAGCTCACCGCCTCGGTAGAGGCGGCAGGCTCTGACCCATGCTAAGCCGTGGAGTAGCTTTTTAGGGAACTGCATCGTCCATCTCGCATAATCACTAAGATCTGCAGGATCTTGGATGTAATCCCCCACCACATCACTAAGCCACTCACTATGCGACGTCAGGCACGGCAATTCTGTGGGGAGTTCCGAGGACATACCCGATCTGGAAATAAAAGAAAATTACTGATTTGAAACTTTAGCTGATGCTTAACATCAAAATAACATGAACCACTGCATGAATTATCAATTAATTGTATCATTTCTTACGCAATAATTTCCAGCAGAAAGCTTGCAATTATAATTAATTTTAATTTTCTTTGTCTTCCGGAACCCAAAAGATATAATTCACAGCAGAATTGCCAATAAATCATAATTAATTTATGAACAATAACACTTATATAAATGAATTAATTAATTCGAATGTCATTTTAAACGTTAATTAAATTTAATGTTCAATCGAAATTGGGGCGCCAAAGTCTAGTTCGAGTTTTAGGCAAATTTCATTATCTGTGTATGACTGTATGGAACTATACGCATTGCTTAATCATGTTAAAATTGCACTAAATTATTTAGAAGCATTTCTCGGTTTTATGATTTTATCAAATACTTCATACGTAATACGATTCCGAAATTAATTCTAGGATGAGCTTTGGAAGCTATAGAGCAGCTACAAGCTACGACTTTTAAGAACTATCTCCTCAGGTAAGTTCCCAGAGTTCGTTTAGGGATTCCAACCCATGGCCATGCTGAAAGCACCACCTTCTGACGGCTACCAGGAGCCGCCCACCAGCGACACCGAGAAATGAACTGAGCTTGCCAAGGTTCGAACCCACGATTAGCTCCTCTCATTTCAGTCCCGCCGTCACTGCGCTAATCGTGGTGCTAACCACAGCGCTACAGTAACGCAATGGAAGGCCGGCTCTATACCTTAAGCAAGCAGCAGTGTTCACTCGCCAGAAGTTCCCTAAATTTTATTCACCTTTGTTGGAGATAAGCGTACGTCGGCACTGGTAAACGGTACAAATAGTTCTTTTTCGTTCCTGTTGCTTTGGTACCGATCCTCGACTGACCATCAGTTTTGTATGCCACGAATCCCAAAGTATCACAATATTGCATTTTCTTGACCAGCTGCTGCCCGTACTGAAGAACTAGTTCGCGGTCAGTGAGAGGCCCGCACTTGAAGCGTATTGCTCCGCAGGAGGGGTCACTAGAGCGGGCGCAATGAGCGGCGGTCGACGCCTTGATAGAGATGACGCCTGGCAGCTCTCCAGCGCTGTAGAGCTCTACAGCCTTCGCCCACATGTCGTTCATAGATTCGTTCTCGAAGAACATCATCCATTTGCCACGCAAACTTTCGTGAAATTTGTACTTTGCTGCGATTTCTTCAATTTCCAACTTGATAAATTCTTCCTCGAATTCCTCCATTGGCTTCTTCGGTGCCGCCATCGTTGCGTCTGCTAAAGAAAGGAGAAACGATTGTGAGCATTGACTATGCACTTGTTAACAATTAAAAAGGAAAATTAATATTTGAGGGCTAACCCTATATTACCGAGGCCCATCACACAATAACGGTGAATTAGGGCCTTGAATGAACGAGTCCATAAATGGTGATCATAGTTGTCATAATGTTAAAAATTGTCGTGAACTGTTTTTCCGTTTCTTATTTACCTAGACCAAACTAATTAGAATAAACATATTCATATGATTCCACAAATTTTATGTCATCACTCGCTCCTGTCCGCGTTGATTTGTCTCGTGTAATGAGGCAATTCCCATAATATTAACGCGATTACATTTTTTAAAAGCTAGGGTATTGGATGGCATGGGAGTTGCTAGGCTAGTCTGAAATTTAATTCGGAAGCACGTGTTATTAGAGAAAATTACAGGTATAAAAAACGCTGCTCGTCCCACAAAAATAATTCAGTGGAGTATAAATATACATATAACCACAGCAGTTGCTTGAGTAGTGTCTCAATTTTTTTTCTTTTTGTAACCTGCCGTCTTTGTTTCTGAATAAGAAATTGACAAAATTCATTAGTTCTCCCATTTTTTGAACATTGATATTAACAAAGAAATGCTCATAAATCATAATGTATTATAACATTCAACGTGCTTTGATCATGGATAATGGACATTATTAATGGTACTGCTATTTGAAACCTATCTTTATCAAGGACGATGTTGCTGTAGAAATTTAATTTATAAAATAATAGAGTTTTGGTCTGTTAAAATTCCGAGGTCAGGAAAATTAAAAATAAGGTCTGAATATTAACAAAATTCAATTTTAGAATAGCCAACTAAATTTAATGAATATAACATAGCCATCATTTCATCTTTTTGTGATGATCATTTATTGCTTTAAAATTAATATTTTGCTACTCCAAAATCCAAATCATGAACCTAATCAATCAACTTTCTAAATTAAATTAATTAACAGAAATTAAATTATGTAAATTTCATTATGACTAAAAATTAAGGGCACCTCGTTAATACTTTCACGTTTTCTAACGAATTTAGGTGGACTTAATGATAATCTAGAAAACACCATCAAAGTGATCCCTTATCAGATGATCAGCCTGAATACCTACTGATGGCACGATGGGACTTATGTCACTGTGAGTGACAAGATGCGACACTTGAGTTCCTGCTCTTATCTCGATATGGTTTCATTTCAAGACTGAGGTAAATATTAACACTTAATGATTTCGACAGCATTGTTGACAATGTTGAGCATGTATTAAAACGTTCTGAAGGGCGACTACTAGACCTGAATTGTTTAATCATAAATAAAATCCCCCAAAAATCCTCGTCTTAATTTTATCCGTAGGAAAACCTACGGTTACCGACCAAGTACCTATGGAGAGAATCGTTTTGCAATGGACATTTCATAATAACAAAGCAAAAAATAGCAGCTGAGAAGTGTGAGGAGTGAGGACTATCTCATCCATGGTTGAACACTTGAACTAGCCTTCAACTAGGTACTAACCAACATTGATCTCATCATGTCATATCAATGATGTGCTTCGAAAATGTACAAGAGTCGGTTATTATGCTGCAAATCGAGTTACCTAGCTATGAGCAAAGAATCCGCTGGAAAAGCTTTCGTTTTCTCATCATTTGATTGAAAAAAAACTAAATATGAGGTACTTGTCTGCTTCTAACTTATATATATATATATATATATATATATATATGTATATTGAGGTTTACAGTAAAAACTAAAATGCCTTTTTAATTCACGAATAAATTGGCGATCCGTTCGAACTTGTCAAGATTTTAAATCGTATAATTTCACGTAAAAAAAGGAATCAAAGCAAAAGTATTTCAAGGTCAGAGACGAGCTCCACATGCAAGCAGAACTATTAGGCTAGCTACCTCTAATTAGTTCTCATAATCTCTTTTATGCCTCTCAATCAGCTTTCATCATGTTCATGTCGCTCGAAAAAGTAGAAACGCAAAAAAAAAACTAGTAAGATCGATACTCATCAAAATTTGTGAATAAATACTCACTTTCAATACGAAAACACAAGCACCGCTTCTACAACAGCGCGCACCAAGAGAAGTCAACAGCTGAAGCTGACGAGTCGGACTGACCACTCAGAGTGACCAGTGACCATGCGTCATGACCAAGCGAAGCTGCAAGGATGCAAAGGAACTGGGATTAACCCGTTCGTGACGAGTAACAAACGAACTCGGAACGAGATTATGACGACTGAATTCAAAGTTAACATGAACGATTAAAATGAATGTAGTTGATTTCTAACATTATTACTTTTTATTCGAACAAGTGAGTTTTTAGTATAGTTAAACGGTTAATAACTCTCCAGGCTTCAATACGAATTAACTGCTCCGAAACGTTACCGAATCGACACTTTTCCGAACTCATCTGCGGACTCAAACGCAAACCTAACTTTACGCTCAATCGAACCACTCGTAAGTCCTTCAATACTGAACGGACTTAATTGAAATTTTGAATGTAAGGTTTTATTATCAATGCGCTGTGACTGAAATTCGGTACCTACTTTTAACTTTAGGCTCATATGACATGCAATGATCAGTAATTATATAAAATACCGTCTATAGCGTCTGTAAACGAACCATCAAGTTGAACAATATGATCGAATGTAGTTAGATTTGATAGAATTAGAAAAAGTTCCATGATGTAGGTTCTCACGATGTTACGCAAAATCAACAACTTTCAGCAGTATTAAACGCTGCTGTTTAAAACTGGTAAAATGCCTATATTTTAATTTATATCATTATCTCTGCATATAAATTGTTTTATTATATAAAGTTCTGCTCTATTGACATTCCTCTTTCCTGAATTTCTACCTAATCTAGGCAATATTCGTTTACAGTTAAAATTATTCCTTATAATACCATTTTTCACTACAACAGTTTTCACATTTCGAGTCACAAGATTTCCCTGTCTGAATAAATTATAATTTACATGTGAGACTATGAGTTTTTCTGCAAATATATCAATCTCAGTCGATTAAACACGTAACAAAGCGTAAGCAAATATTTCTCAATTGCCTAATATAACTAAATCTGCAGAAAGGTATTCAAACGTAAATTCAATAGGCTTCTGAATTTATTCTCCCTTCCCCGCCTTGCATATTGAATTGGAAATCATGCGGGCAATTTGCTCTTTTATTGTTTCCGTCAAATCTTTTGTTGACTCATATTAAGAATTATCAAGAAATTCATGTCTCAGATTACGAAATATTAAAAAATTTACGTTAAGAAAATTATGTCTACGCAAAACTCTGAAGATGTCCTTGAGGATTATATAGTAGAACGCTCACTTATGACTTTTATTATTAGACCCTACTTCTGAAATAATATCATCTGAAGCATGGCCATCTCCAATGGCTATCTTGGCTATAACAATCGAATCTTCCTGAACTCTCACACACGAAAGAATTGTGATTAAAAGAATTAAAACAAACTTGAAATTTTGAATAAAATATTTACTTCATTTCAAAACCTCAATGTACTTTTCTGCATGTGACCTTTAAAAATCTTAGTGTTCAAAAAATCCCATTGCCGCTCAATCGTGATTTAGGCAGCTCCTGATAACCGCTGTATTTTAGAGCTCTGCTGATGGATCTGCTCTCAAATACATCAGCTTCATTTTCATCTTTGACGCGATTTTCATTCATCTCTATTGTGTGTTCTTTCAATTGTTGGTATCTAATATAACCTCTCTTTTCCCATGTAAATTTATTTTTCCCTACAAATTATAAGATTGACTTGGTACAGACTGTCTGCTTGGAAATTTTTGTCGCTGATAAGGACCAATACAAACAAATGCGTGAGGCACCGGGTGATGAAATTAGTCGATTACTGGATCGACAAAGGCAATGAAATTGCCTTTGTGTAACAAACTCGAGTCTAATTTATGTTTTAGTGCCACATTTGGTCGTCAAATTATTTCAATGCGAGAAGTTCTGCATGAAGCGTCTTGCTAACTATAAATAATTTCCTTTACATCTTCCTTTTAAATCTCCACGCGACAAATAACAAAAACGATTATAAGTTTGAGAGAGTTTTTAATTTAATATTCTATTAAATGAAGTAAAACCGACTAACACCTTCGTTCTTCAATAACCACTATCACTTACAGCTCAATTTATCGTGCGACTCATGAGGAATATTTATACGAAATAATTGCGTAATGAATTTAACTTATTAAATACAGGTAAAATTATTTCCAATATTTTTTAAATGGCTTCACAATTAGTAGGTACAATGTGCCGCCATATCCCAGGGTCTAGTGCTAATCGCGTTTGAAATATTATTTACACAATATTTTTTTGAGCCACAAATGTATTTTTTCGTAAGACATATGTATGAAGTGCTACGGGGTATGTAATGTGAATAATGCCAACGCAAGTGCACAACTCATTCGTGGGACGTATTCCAATAAAAATACCTGTATAATGTTCCCGATCACCATGTTTCAGCAATGATGTCTAAAGCAGCGCATGATCGAGTGCCCGTGTGTGTGGGCTAGCGGCGCGGTGCAGTTCGGTTAGGAATTAGTTTACTTTTGAGAAGCAGGCACCCGACACAGTACCACCCAGCCTCGGCCAATATACTGAGATGCACAAAGTTCCCCGTCCTTCGACGAATAATCAAGTTTTTGCACAAGATTGTTACCACATTGCTGCAGTTTTGACTGCGAAAGGTTGTCTCGTGAGAAGAAAAGTATCATTCCATTTTTAGACAGAGAAGATTTGACAGTGGTTGTTTGAATGTAGTCGACATCTTTGAGTTCCCCGCTACGGTAGAGGCGGCATGCACTGACCCATGCAGAGTCATGCGGGGTTCCTGAAGGGAACTCCATTGTCCATCTGCAATAGTTGCTAATGTCGACAGGATCCCTTATGAAATCCCCCACCACTTCATGGATCAACTCACGAGTACAGACCTGCGATGGTACTTCTATGGGGGGCTCCTTGCACTTGCCTGATCTGAAAATTACGGCAGATATCAAGTAGATAAATTTTAAGAGATGCGGGTCGCGAAAAAAATGTCACTGGAAAATTTGGGCTTTTTGCAAACTCCCACCTGTAAACCCATACAGATGGGCAAACTCCCACCTGCAAGCTCATACAGATGGGCTTATTGAAAAATTCACAGCTGCTACTTCAAGCACTTGAATGATTGGCAAGTTTCTATATCTAGAAAATGTTAAACATCATTGATTCGGGAAGTATCGTACCTGTACACATCTGCACATGATATGTGATTCACAGAAACTTCCTTGTTTTGTATTTCTCGCGTAGAGCCAGATGTTGTAGGAAAAGAGCAATAAACATTTCATATAATCGGCAAAGTCATGAAGTTATTTCTCCCGTATAGTCAGTTGCCACTATGCAATGGACAAGTAAGCAGCGTACGTTGACTGTCGAGGCGTTTTTTGTAATTGTAGTTCCATTATCGCTTCTCTACGATCATTGAACTACCACAACATCCGGAAACGTATAGAGCAGAGAGGCATTTCTGCGTTCGGCACACCGTTTAGATTGCAAACACGCTGCTATTCTGGGGATTTCGAATATCAGTGTGGCACGAATACTCCACAAAGAACTGTAATTTCATCCCTACAAAATGTTTGTGGCACAAGAACTCAGCGAAAAAGATTTTATTGCTCGCCGAAATGCCTGGGAAGTTCATCTTGAAAACTTGCCTCACGATGAAGTCGTTTTCTTTAGTGATGAGGCTCACTTCTATATTTCCGGCAGCGTAAACAAGCAAAACAGGAGTTATTGGAGTGATAGCAATCCGTGCGAACTTCATCAGTGGCCACTTCATTGAGTATACTAGTAAACTTTGCGGTGTGCGCTGTCTAAAGTCGGCATAATTAGCCCATATTTCTTTAAAGAAAAGAACGCGTAGTTACTGTGATGGCAGCTCGGTACACGCAAATGATTGACTGCTTTTCTTTATGTCATGGACGTCTGGTACCAACAGGATGGAGCCACGGCCCACACAGCGGGATATTCAATGACAACATTTTGCAGATCGCCTCATCTCCTTGAGAGGGGACCTTCTATGACCGGACCGATCCCTCGATTTGAGTCCGTGTAGTTGTTTTATGGGGCTATCTTAAATCAATTGTTTGCAATGACTGTCCCACATTTGAAGAGCAATATACGCCAAGCTATCGCCAATATACCCGTCAGTATGCTTCAGTGAGTTGAACTGAACTTCCAAAATCGACTAACTGAAAATCGAAAAAAAAAAACGATTTGACAATGGGGGCCGTCACTTGTCCGATGTCATCTTTAAAAGTAAATAATAAAAAAGTTCTGGAATGTTTTTTTTTTTCACAAAAAGAAATTTATATTGTAACGAAATCTTTTCTGGACCTTTTTTACTGAGCTTTCAAATGAGGAAGTTTCCGTGAATCACCCTGTATAAACAATGAATGCCGAAACATTAAATTTTTCATTTTTTGCAAACCCAGTAATAAACTTTTAAAAAAAATTGTTTCATTTGCGTAATTGATCAATAAGTCTGGTATTTGCGGTTAAATACGATATTTTACCTTGCTTTTTGATACAGTAAATCAAAACTACTATATCAAAATTGACGGTATTCCCAATAAAATCCATAAAAAGACGACCGCAAGTTCTACAGGCTTATGTGCTGTAATAACCTCCAACTGAGCTTTTTCTTGGTCTTTTCACATTTTATTTACCTTTGTTCCAGATGATCATACGTGGACACTGGTAGACGGTACAAATAATTCTTTTTCGCTCCAGTCGCTTTGGTCCCTATCTTCGACTGTTCATCAGTCTTGTAAGCAGCAAATCCAAAATTATTGCTGAAATATTGCATTTTCTCGATCAGTTTCAGCCCATACTGAAGAACTCGTTCTCGGTCATCATAGGGTCCGCAGTAGAAACGTATCACTCCGTACTCTGTCTCTCCGGAGCGGACGTTGGGAGCGGCGGTCGACGTCTTGATGGAGACAATGCCGGGCAGCTCTCCAGCGCTGTAGAGCTCTACGGCCTTAGCCCACATGTCGTCCATGTATTCGTGGAGGAAAAACAACATCCATTTGCCGCGCAAACTTTCATCGAAATTGTACTTAGCGGCGATGTCTTCAATTTCCATAGTAATGGATTCCTCTTCAAATTCATCCATTGGCTTCGTCTCGGTCGCCATCACGAAGGCTGCCGAATGGAAGCAGTTTTGAATCTTTTGATGTCATTGTGTTTTAATGAGGTTATCTTTATATTTTATTCAAATTTAGTAATTTTAGTTCTATGTATTAATAATAAAAAATTATCGCAAGCAGTACGTGAGTGAATCAGAAATTAAATCTGGCAAGGTGGCACACATCTTTCGCCTTAGACGAAGAGGTACATTTCAATCAGATGTTAAAATTAGTAATATAGTAAAATAACTAAATTAAAGTTAGAAGTCAGCTCAAGAAAATTACTTGAAACAATTCCTAGATAATATTACTTACAAACTTTCCTTTTATTAGCCTAGAATTACCCGCTTCGTACAATTCTCGGGATTTAAATGCAAGTTTAATGTTTGCACAGCCTGGGAAAACATTCGGTTAGTACAACTTGAAATGCGTTTATCACTGTTAATGTTATAAATAATATGCGTTTAAAAATTATTTTTTAAAGACAACACTTCCAAAGAATCCAGTGTCTCCAATCTTACAAATGTACAATGAATTTCTCATTTAATTTTCAAATTAAAAAATTAGTTTTTCAATTTTTTTTAATATATAAATTTTTAATATATAATTTTTTCAAAATTATTTATTCTATTAATTGATTCATGCATTGCCTCTGACTTCACACAAGTGTGCAAAATTTCAGATCAATCAGACAGATAAAAGTGTGTCAGATATCAGTTATAAGATTTGTAGCTGACAAAATTATTTTTTTCAATTTTTCTAATATTGAAAAAAAAAAATTTTTAATTTTTAAAATCTTTTATTTTGACATTTGATTCATGCATTGTCTCCAACTTTACACAAGTGTGCAAAATTTCAGATCGATAGGATTAGTAGAAGTGTATTAAATTTCGATTACAAGATTTGTAGCAGACAGACAGACAGACAGACAGACAAGAAGTGAAGTTAAAGAGAAGTGTTGTAAAAAAACGACGATAATTCTACTTGTCATGGATATATGTCGCTCAATCACAAACACTATCTCTACTATCTCTGCTGATGAGAAGCTCGAACGCTAGATTATGAATTATCTTAGTTGCACATTTGAGAGTTAACTTCGTTAACTTACGTATAGTATATGTGTGCCCGAACTAAGTTTTTTAACTAACGAGTCAGGACCATAACAATTTTAACTCGCTAATAAGATTTTCCCTTATACCTGACAACGAACCCAAGAAATTTTACGGAGTGTAACGCCCTTATTGTATAACATATCAAGATGAGTCTTTTCTAATGATTAAAACTAGTAATTAATCCATATTAATTCACAGTTATCCGTAAATTTTGTTCAAGTTTAATGATTCTGTAACATTCCTTATCATACCCCAATTCATACGAATTCATTCAGTAAGTATTAGTAATATTGCTAGGATAGTTCAGTTTATACGGTTACTTGAACCAGCTTGTTAGTTTACTTAACTCAGCCATGAGTATAGTAAAAATAACTGCGCAATACTTCTGAATTTATTGTTTAATTCTGATGAAACGTACATACCTAGGCCCTGAACTTGATAAGAGTTAGGCTGAAATCTCGAGTTTCATACCCAAAATAATATAGTAGTTCTATGCTATGTATGAGTGTGAAGAATAATGAATTATCATTGTCACTCTCATATATTAGGCTACAACATAAGAAGCTGGACATGCAACCACTTGCATGCCAAATTTATAACCAATTATAAAGTTTGAGCTTGTGATGTGGCCATTCACATATTCAAACACCCACAAACTCACTTTTTAGAGACTAAATGAAACTGATTAAACTGAATTGTATTGACTTGCTCCTTATGACGCTCGCTCCACCACTGCTGGTGACAGATTGACATATGATGAGTACGGCACCTGATGCAGTGATAACGAGAAGCTTATCTATATTAGTTACCAGTTGAAAACTAGTTTGTATAATGAGATTTTTACGTCTGATTGTAGTGATAGGAATTTGCCAGAATGTCTAAAATTTCGATGAAATTTATGCAAGGGTAATTCATGATTGAGAACGTCATTTGAAATTATTGATTTCCTATTACGGTTTGCAAACCTACAAATAATTAAACGATTTGTGGTTTATGCAAGCATTAGCGATTTATTCCTGAATTAATTAATCCGTAAACGACTTTATAGTAATGGATTTAAACCCAAACGTTGTTTTTTGATTTAATAAATTTCTAGTTCAAAAATATTACACAACAGATAGTTACCGAGTCTTACTCCACTTTATTACATTGTAGGGGAGATAAAAAGACCTTATATAAATCTCTTTTATATTTATTCCTTTTATTCTAAACGAATCGTGCGATATTGCCTGATTGAATTGTAATCGGGAATAGTCGCTTTCCATATAGGATATAGGATCACTCGATTTGCCACACGTACCATACTGGACAGGTGTGTACTGCGCACTGTATCATTTAATATTTTTAAATAGGACCAATATCGTTGTGCTCTATGGTGACTTGGAATATATTGGTGTGATGTCAACCTGTATAGCTATAAATGTGAGGTGGTCTTTTTCGATTTAATGATGTAGTTTTAGGCGTGAACCATTCTAGACGTTTAGTGTCTGTAACAGTTTTATCTCTCGCACAGAGAGACCTCGGAAGTCTTGACCAGACTCCAACTTACACACACTCTGTTAACTTTGTGTCGTTGTTTGATGAAAATTTCATATTTGATCGTCCTTATTCTCTTTTCGGTGACTGTGTTGAACTGCAAGTAGTGTGGCGAGCCAAGGTTGGGTTATTGCGGATAAGATAAAGTCTCACGTTACGCCCAGTTGCAATTGGTACCGGCCCTATTAACATCATTTTCTCTGCTTCTTCACCCTTTAATGTCTGCTGCGTCACTCCTTATTGTCTGCTGCGTCACTTTTTAATCTCTGCTGCGTCACTCCTTATTGTCTGCTGCGTCACTTTTTAATCTCTGCTCCGTCACTCCTTAATGTCTGACACGTCACTCTTTAATCTCTGCTGCGTCACCCTTATGGTCTGACACGTCACTCTTTAATCTCTGCTGCGTCACTCGGATCCCTTGTGAATCAAGTCACGAAAAGTTTAAGAATCGGCAACAGGCCATGGGCCTATTTCTTCAACGCCGACACTTCTATTCTATTCTATTGTCTGACACGTCACTCTTTAATCTCTGCTGCGTCACCCTTATGGTGTGACACGTCACTCTTTAATCTCTGCTGCGTCACCCTTATTGCCTGACACCTCACTCTTTAATCTCTGCTGCGTCACTCCTTATGGTCTGACACGTCACCATGGTAATGTCAGGGAAGGTAATGTCATGGAAGCAAAGAGTAATGAATACGACCCCATCACATGCATGAAATTTTATGAGTGCCCGTTCAGAAAGAAAGCTCATTCAGTAACCGTGTACATTATGGATATTGTTAAGAATAATCAGGTCTAGAAAGTTATAAATAAAATAACGTGCACATTTCTTCCTTGCCAAATTCATGCACATTTTACAACACTTCTCTTTAACTTCACTTTTTGTCTGTTTGTCTGTCTGTCTGCTACAAATCTTGTAATCGAAATTTAATACGCTTCTACTTATCCTATCGACCTGAAATTTTGCACACTTGTTTAAATTTGGAGACAATGCATGAATCAAATGTCAAAATAAATGATTTTAAAAATAAAAAAAATTTTTTCAACATTAAAAATTTGAAAAAATAATTTTGTCAGCTACAAATCTTATAACTGATATTTGACACACTTTTACCTGTCTAATTGATCTGAAATTTTGCACACTTGTGTGAAGTCAGAGGCAATGCTTGAATCAATTAACAGAATAAATAATTTTGGAAAAAAAACTTATATATTAAAAAAATTTTATATATTAAAAAAACTGAAAAATCAATTTTTTTAATATTCGAAAATTAGATGAGAAATTCATTGTACATCTGTAAGAGTGGAGACACTGGATTTTTTGGAAGTGTTGTCTTTAAAAAGTAATTTTTAAACGTATATTATTTTATCTCAATACATTTGACGCGAACATGTTGATAGTAACAATAACATTCCATTCAATTATCGATCTGAATTATATTTTTGGTATTTAGCTGATACTTCTAATGATATACAAATCAAATTTATGCTAAAAATGATATACAAATGTTAAAAATTTGTTTTGTGAAAATGATATACAAAACAAATTTATAGAAAACAAATTTCTATGAGAAAAGCATAAGAGGACAAATTTAACTCATCGCATTTCGCTAATCTTGACAACGACCCGTTTACGCTTATTATGAAGCAGTATGACCGTTGTAATTACCTGGCAGCACTTCTAATTAACTATCAGCAATTATTAATAATTTTGATAACTGTGCTTGAATTATTTGGTTAAAAGGCTGCCCTACAGGGAGCGCACCGTTTAATATAATCTGAAACGATAAATAAAGTTCAGAACACTCACTTAATTGCAATTGGAATAAAAGCTGTTCTTTATTGCACAATATGTGATACTGTGGGGCGTAGACTACAATAAACGAACCCGGATCAATTGACGTTGAGATACACCTGAAAGGCTAGAAACCGTGACGCGACAGCGTCCGCACAAGTCGGTCTGCGAAATGGAGCTGGGGATTGGCAGATTGATGCGTTAACGATGGTCTTCTACAATCCGCGCTTCTATGGAAACTTTTAAATTTACGCCGCTTTGTATTTTTGATTATCGATCATGCATCTCCATTTTATGATGAAGAATTTGGTAGACTTTCAAATCTGATTTAAGTTATAGCGAGTAAATGAGGTCTAATTTCCATTGCGTCAGCTGGCATTGAAGAGTTTCGTCCACATAGCTTCGGAAGGTGGGGTGGGGATTAAATTTTTAACGTAGGCAGGTGTCATAATTTCTCGGTAATTTGAATAAATATTCAATGTGTGATAATTACTTTCTGTAATTTCTTGTTTGAACTGCATCTGATTGCTAACTGTGCACCTTGTATATGACTGATACAATTGTTTACGTGCATTGGTACATATACTGTAGGTATATTTATATAGTTAGGTAAAGTTGTTCCATAATGGAACAAGTAAGTTCCTTATGAGTTCTTCCATATATTGGAGATCGGGGATTTCGTAAAACATCGTGCAATCTATTTAATCTTATAACATCGTGCAGTTATAAGATTAAAAATAATATACAATACAGTATATAAATATGTATATCGTGATCCTACTCTGACGACTCTACAGTGCACAGATTGGGTTTTTCATTCTAAATGAATAAAAGTGCTATCTGAACATCAAAGTTAAGAAAGGTGATGGAAGGACAGGCATTTTGAATAAAACTTTCATTTCTTGGTGCGGGAATCGCCATAGTGGTAAGACGACTTGATCAATTATAATTATCCGTCATTCACATCACATATGGGTACTCTTGAAGCTCGAACCAATGAAGATCACAACAGAGACCAATGAAGAAGACATGAAATGATTTTTACTCTTGTATAAGACTTCTAAATTGGAAACCAGCTTACAGTAAATGGCCAGCAAAATTGTTTGAAAAAGTATTTTCCTAGATGTCTGCTGATCCAAAACTCGAACATTTTAACAATGGAACCCAATGATTATTTTTTTCTATTTCTTCTACTTATGGTAATTTATTTGCCCTGACTTGGGTACCATCTGTTCGTCAAGACTGCTGAATACTGATATTTCAATCGAAAATTGAATCGCTCCAACAACAATAATAATGTAAATAAATGAACCAATGCAGTGAAGAACATGAGTAGTGAATAATTTAAGGTTCGAAACCGAATCTTTAGCTAGAAATGGACATTTTTTAGACGCCGAGAAACTCAATTGAGAATGCAGGATACTGCCAACCGTGTGTTTCTTTTGTAGGCTTTACTTCTTTTGATGTTCTAGTGCTAGTAAATTAGTAGTAGTACTAGGTACTAATTTAGTAGTAGTACTACTATTCGTTCGTACACGAGTAGGACTGATTTTTAACCTCAAATATATCACGAAAATAACAATTCGCGAAACTTCTCATGAAAATTAAAATAAATACGGTGGGTGGAAAAGTATCCTACACAAAGAAAAATTATTCAATTATAGCTTAATTAACAAAATAACATAAACAAACACCATTCTAATGAGAAATCACATGGGAAACACAAGTATCAAGCATATCAAAACAGCAAAATCATTAAATGTTGACTTGATAATTGAAATTTTGTAACAGTCAAGGTTCAAAAAGTATCCAACATATAGTGAGCAAATTTACTCATTACTTCGTCATGTGACCTCAAGCAGCCAAAACTGATTCCAACCGATTGAATACTTGTTCACAAGATTAACACATAATAATAATATAATAATAGCGGTTTCAGCATTTGTTAGGCCGTAGGCCTGTTGCCTATTCCTAACATCACAGAACATTCACAGCATTTTGCAGTCTCGAACGCGCAACTCACTGCTACAATTCTGCTGTGCTTAACCGCCCAGCCTCCTCGCCGATTCTGACCAGAAACTGGCGCACAGAGCTGGGATCGAACCCGCGCCTCTCTGCTCCAATCTTGGCACTCTGAACTGTAACCACTGGGCTACCCTGCCCTGCCTAACACATGTGCTAATAGGAATTTTATTCTACTCTTCCTTGAAAATTTTTTACAGTTGGATAATATTTCTTGGATCTCCCTCCTGGACCCTCAATTTCAATTGCCGCCACAGATTTTCAATCGGATTGAGGTCAGGTGATTAGCTTGGCCATTCCAATAACTCAATATCCCTCTCCGTAAACCGTGCATGAGTTGCCCTAGCCGTGTGGAGTCTTTTTGCAGTTCAGAACCAGTTAGTCGAGGCTTATTCTGTACTTTTCAAACTAAACCCCTAAACGTATGGTCAGAAAAATTTGTAGGACGAGGCAGACTAGTAGAAAGATGGAATGATGGAATGATTTCCACCTCCGAACAGTATCACCAACTGTCGAACTTAGGATATTCAACAAGGATGAAATTTTTCTATGCCCAAAACCATCTCTGTGTAGCTGAATATTTGATTTTCCAATTGTTGCAGACAATTCTTCAGTTTTAGGCATTGTTGCAGAGCGTAAAATTTAGACCACCTTCTAATGACGATGCCAGGTAACGAATGACCATAGTTAGAAAAATGTCTATGACGTTCTTTTGCATTTAGAGTATTCCAACGTTTTCTGCTTATAGAACATCCCCCCGAACATAATGGATAAGAAATTATTGGCGAATAAAAATTCTTTTTTTTTTCACAAAGTGTTGGATGCTTTTTGAATTTCGACTTTTACAAAACTGCATTATCAATTCAACATTTAATGATATTGTTGTTTTGATATAATATTTGTAATTCCCATGTAAATTTACATTAGAATAATTTTTGATTATATTATTTTGTGGAATAAGCTTTGATTAAATAAAGTTTTTCCTTTGTGTCGGATACTTTTTGCATGCACCGGAAATTAGATGTCTGTCCTCATTATAAAATATGCTTTTCGGAACAATAAATTATGCATCTTCTGTATCTGCTCCAAGGTGGCAGCTGCTCGAAGCAAGTCAGATTTTCCTGTGGCAGACGAACGGTATCAGGGTGGTGTTGCACTGGAGGGCCGCAAGGTTGTAGAAGTAGTTAAATTGGGGAGCATTCCACATGGCTGCGCACAAATTATTTGCCTTTGGTTCATTTGGCCCCCAGACGCTGGAATTCACAGCTGACGGAATTACTCGACCGTTCGCGAACTTCCACTCTGTTCCAATCTTTGTCAGGCTCGTCCAGAAACCTCGCGTCAGAGCTGGAATAAGGCCGACATTAGTGTTTGAACTTTCACGCCGAATTCTGGGTGAAGTGAGGTCATAATTTTTGTCTAATTTACGTCAGAAACGCAATGAAACTGAGACTGCCGTGCTTCATGACCTTAATGAACTGACATAATTTGTTGATGGAAACTGCTGCGATTTAAATTCGACTTTACGATGGATGTGAATAAGTGTTGAAAAATCATTGCCGCACGTGAGTGCTTATCGATAATGAGACGGAAGTCTGATTGAGCCGCCTGCAGCAATAAGTCGCTTCAGAGATAGGACTTTTCATATTCTATATTCTCTCGTAAATTCCCGAACAATTACCTTTGAAGTCTACGCATCCGTCGCAGGTGCACGGCTTGAGACCAGCACATGTACCGTTGGCAAGGCAGCACGGGATGTTGTACATCAGGGCCGTATCACAGGCCGCGGGTGCGCCGTCTGATAGCGGGAAGCTTGGTCCACACTTCCCGTCAGGTCGGTACCGGGCATCTGCATGTAGGAGGAGATGGGCATTGTGAGATGCAATAAAACAGTATTTGTTTATTACATCTACAGAATAACATCGTAACAAATTGCTTTATGTTTTGAATAGAAAAATTTATTTTTGTTACGAGAATTAATGAATAGTACTAGTTTGCACTCTGTAACTGCGCTTCGAAATGTTCAGTGCAGGCGATGGTCAACTTTCTCTAACATGCCAGGTGCTTGAAAAGTACTCTATCAAAGTTTTTTGCACGCTAAATCCCATTAACGTCGTCCGTACACGCGTGCTGAGGTAGCCCTGACACTGCGAAGTACTTGAACACTCACAATCGCTTACTAGGTACTTGAACATTCGCAATCGCTTACTAGGTACTTCACTACGGCCCAGTCCAGTCCCACATTAATATCGTTAAGACTTAAGATACTTCACAGCTGCCGAACTTTCTGATGATACCTCAATTGTTTATAGTACTACAAGACGGCCTGGTTCTGGGACACTTTCACTGATATTGTAGTTAATTCACCATGCCCAGTCTTGCGACATACTGGTATCGAAAGTTCGTCGCCAAATTTTAGTCATGAACACTTACCGTGGAAGTGAAGGTGCAGTACCACATTACAGTCATCTAACACACTGGTATCTAAGGAATGTCGCCACGTTCCAGTCGGATAACACTTACACTCGTATGCAAGGTATGATGCCACATTCCATTCCTGTACCACTTGCACTGGTACCGAAGGTATGATGCCACATACCAGTCATGTATCACTTACACTGGTATCGAAGGTATGATGCCACATTCCAGAACTCTTGGTCAGAGACGGGATCGAAAAGTCTGAAGCCAGGAGGGCAGCCGCGGCTGACGGCATCCGAAAAGTTCATCAATTGTTTGGACACGAAGATGCACCCCACGCCCTCCACGATCACATAGGGAGCGTCGCACATACCGTCTGCAACCAAGCATAATCAATAAACAGGAAACTTGCAACAGAATAATTATTTGTTCTCTTGTAATGAACAGTTTTCAGGGAGCAGGTTTATACAAACTAGCCTAATTATCTTACCTGCAGCTTACTACCTATTCGGTACACGAAACGCTTCTCTAAGACATTAGCAAACATCTTGAGCCAAAAAAGTTCGTTGTATCAGAGCGCAACTTAAGACCTACCTCATGGGAGTTCGGGTAATTTATAAACAACATCTTAGTGCGTGAAAATATTGTAAGTTGCAGCGAGGTCTGAAATAAATTCTGCTGGATTTTTATTTCGTTAAGAGAAGGCGATATGTGTTTGCGAACAAGTGAAGAGTCCTCAGCCACAAATTTATGTCACTTTTTCCACTTTTCCGATTCCTGTATAGCGGGGTGCTTCTCATCAGATCAATAGTTAATGAGAGGTGTTTTAATAAATCACTGATTGATGTCTTCCGTACGCAGGTTGGTCATATTTTCTCATCTTGGAATCCATTATCTATTGAGAACTTTTATCAAAATTGCTTCCTTCTAAATCGCTGATGCCTTGGCGGCTTTACTAGCAGTATCAATTAATTAGAATCCGCAAAAGCTGCATAAGAATTTGCATGATCAGAGTTGCTGGAAGAGAGAAAGAATGATCGAATGTATTCTGAGTTAGGTTGAGTTTGAGACTCACGCTTGATGAAGGCCACGGAGCCATTTGCGCTGGTGAGGTTGGTGCTGGTGAGGTTGGTGTTGGTGAAGTGACACATCTGACCCCCACCGGGGAGAGGCTCGCTCGCACACCCGCGACACTCGGCGTCCACGAAGCAGCTCTCTTTACATTCACCTTCAGAGACGAATGAGATCGAGAAAATTCAATATTTTCGAAGCAACAATTATCTATTACCACTCTACATTATTATAATTCAATAAAACGGGTCAGTAGAACTTTTTGCTAAATATAGCCACTTGTAACGTGCCCTCGAAGTTCGATCTGAACGAGACGCCACGACAATCTCTTCATGGAATAATAATAATAATAATAATAATAATAATAATAGGATTGATTAAAGCGTAAGAGATTCTCATCCTAATTAATATTTCGATGTAGGGCATGGAGGAGAGAAGTTAAGGTAGCTAAGAAACAGCGAGAGGTGGTAACTATTTCGAGGGTTGTATACGTGGATGATGACGATGAAAGTTGTCGGCCATACAGTGTGAGGTTGAATCCTCCAATAGTATGTGTTAGGGAAGAAACTTTAGCATAACGAATTTGCTAGTACAGTGAATAGCCAGCGTTCTGCCGCAACGGACAGAGCACACTGAAAAATTTACAGCACCGGCAGCCTGCTAGTTCATGCGTTCACGGCGATCGCTCCCAAGACACAAAATCTTTCAAGAAAAGATGACATTCTAGTGGCCAAATTCACCTAGGGCGCAAGATAAATAACGAAAAAGAATCGTTCTGTCAAACACTTGAACAGTGAGTTTGAGAAGAAGCACCGAACATGAGTGTGTGATCCGCACTAGAGTACAACTCTGCTGATGGTTACTTCTAATCCGAACTATGGTCGCCCGCACAGCACCAGACAGTTGCCGAGAGCTTTGTGCTGAGCTCCCGTGACAGTGGCCGGCTTCGGCCGGCTGCTATGTCATCTTTCTGGAACTATCTTTCTCGAACTTTGAAAATGCCGTGCTGTCCCGCTCCGATGCGTTGAGCCGGCGAATGGTACGACCAGCTAAAGTGAAGTATAACTCCTGAACACCTGTAAATGCTCCCGGCATCTAACTGCAAAATTCGTTACAAAGATATTAAGATGCCTCCAAGTGTGGTTAGTGCCCCCGGGTTTGTGGTTAGTGCCCCCAGGCGAGTGGTTAGTGTCTCCAGGTGAGTGATTTGTGTCCCCAGGTAGTGGTTAGTGTCCCCAGGTAGAAGTTAGTGTCCCCAGGTAGAAGTTAGTGTCCTCAGGTAGCGGTTAGTGTCCCCAGGTGACTGGTTAGTGTCCCCAGGTGACTGGTTAGTGTCCCCAGGTAGTGGCTAGTGTCCCCAGGTTCCAGGGCCTGGTGTGGGACTATCTGCCCTGGAGTGGGGCTATCTGCCCTGGAGTGGGGCTATCTGCTTCTGCCCTGGAGTGGGGCTTTCTGCCCTGGAGTGGGGCTTTCTGCCCTGGAGTGGGGCTGTCTGCCCTGGAGTGGGGCTGGCTGCCCTGGAGTGGGGCTTTCTGCCCTGGAGTGGGGCTTTCTGCCCTGGAGTGGGGCTTTCTGCCCTGGAGTGGGGCTTTCTGCCCTAGAGTGGGGCTGTCTGCCTTGGAGTGGTGCTCTCTGCCCCGGTGTGGTCTCCACTTTGGTGGCCCCGTTCTGTAGCCCTTCAGCAATTGAGAAATCTTGAGAAAACAATCTTGTACCTGAAAACAAAATTCAGTCAGATTCCTTGAACTATTCTGACATGGGGCCGCATTGAACCAGTCTTCAGAGGCTCCCATAAATTCCAATTAAAGAAAAAAGAACGTTGCCGAGAATCTCCACGTTTACGCCGAATCTAACGCCATCATGATCAGTAAAGCATGGGGCTGCCTTCTTCTTATGTAGAAGCCGGGTGATGTACCTCAGACGTTATACACAGCGACTCGTCCTGTTAATGATTGTGTTAATCTTAATTGTTTTTCGCAAGCCCCTCCAAATATTAGCCGTCTCTGCTCAGATACAAGCCCTCAAACGTGCCCGTACAATGATTGACCAGATGCCGTAACAACAATTACAGTTACGAGTTCGCAACTCCATTTCGAACGGTTTGCTAAACACTGACGGCTTTTCGAGCTACAGCCGCCAATCACACCCGAGACATCAGTCGTCACGTGTACTTAGTCCGTTGTTTAGGCAATTTGTTTGTTATGTATACGTTTTCTCATTTGTTTTTTGAACATTTTGCATCCGTTTGTATCCGTGTTTATAAGGTACATTAATACACCGCCAGAAAATTCTCGTATCTTGGTTTTCATTCCCTCGGTATTTTCCTCCTCGAATTTGGATACCGAATCGACTTCAGAGTGTTGTTTCAAATTAACCCCCCACTTCTAACTCTGATTGTTGAAATGTAGTCCAGTCTGGCCCGATATGAGTGTGTGTCATGACTGATTGTATATTTAAATTGTCGTATCAACCTCCACAAACCGATAGTCTGACAGCGCAGTTTACTCAACCTGAAAATCCACCACTAGCTCTTTATCGTCAGCATAGAAGAGATCGAAGATATAGTCTTCCATAACTCGCTTTATCACTTGTTGGAGAAGCAGGTGTTCCCAAGAAAATTGTAGTAGTTCAATTGCCTAACTTCTGTCCAGGTGTAAGCAACTCCCTACCCCTAACACATCCCAAAAGTGACCATCTCATACGTGGTGGATTACAATCTCGCATAAACAATATTTGGGCAGAGTGTTCTCTTGTCTTAAATGTTTAATAGAATTGTTTCACTGGGCAAGCCGATTGTCAGTAAAAGAAAGGATGGTGCATTTGAATGCCGATAATGCGCAGTAAAACGTTTCCCGCTAATCCATTGAAGTTCGAATGCAAGACCTACATTTTTACTGCTACTTAGTTCCTGAAGCAAACTTTAACACTTGCCTTCTCTCTTGCTTACAGTCGATCTGTTTGGTGATGCTGGAAACTGTTGGACATCCATTTCGGACTTTCTTATATTGCGCTCCTTATTAGGGAACACTTGTGGTGCGAAGTATGTAGCGTTGAATTATATCTTAATGATGACCTGCTGTTCACACAAACAAGGTAGTAGAGCTCCGAATAAAATCCATATTCTACGTCTAATTACTCAGTACTTTATATAATTGTAAGCTTCCACTTCAGCGTCCACTACGAGCACTATGGTTTCATATATTTAAATCCATGTTGCAATTATCGCGGACTGAATCAAGATTAATTTTGTCCGCAAAGGCGGCCAATATTGCACACTCCAATGTCAGGCGAACACACTCACAGTATCGGGTATTTCACAGGAAGTTGATTGGGAGGAAATAAATTCGAAGCAGTTTAACAAAGCATTTGAATTAACGCTTAATGAATCTTATACCGCTCTTGAATGAAAATCTTGAATGTTATATCTTCATTAAAACGCCCTCCTGTTAGATGCTAGTCTTCATTGATTGATACAGGACTTGAAAATTGATTACTCGGAATTTAGTCACGAACCAAATTTTTCTCTAGTTTTCATTTCAATAAAAAACATTTACGGATCATAGTTCGGCACAAAATTAGGCATGGGTGAAATTCTCAGCTGATATTCTTTAAAAACAAACCCTAATGTGAACGAACGTTCAAATTACGAATACTTTCTTGGATATAATAACCTTCAGAAAGAATCGGCACTTTGGAATACTCGTAATTCAATTATTTACAAGTAAATCGTTTATAAACTTGCATAGAAATTCCGAGTCATCATCCTGGAAATTATATTTAGTGGCAGTATTTTTTTTACATATTTCAGAGATCGAGGCCTCAACTCAGAGCTTTAGATTTTTCATAAGCTATTCAAAGGGATTTATTTGCAGGGCAGTACCAAATCATTCGTGATGAGCACACAAACTGGTAAAAATTGAATTTGTTGTATAAACCAGATTTATCGGCACAACTAAATCTAATGTCATTTATTTCTATTAGTTTGGCTGGTGAATACACGTTTGACTTTCACAAATTATCCTTTGGCAATTTTAAGCATATACGTTATCGGTTATGAGTGCGAGAATCCTCGATGCTATCTACGTACAACTTTTAAAACTTATTTACTAACTCACATTGTCTGCGAGTGAATCCAGCATACCTCATTTCGCAATCACTCAAAATTCACTTCTTAATTCTACTTAATATCAAAATTATCTCAATGTACTTTCCATGGACGTTTCACAAATAAATACATTGAATTAGGTTTATTACGTTGTATTTTTAGTTGTATTAGTTATTATTTGTTATTTTTTAGTTATTTGTATTTTAGTTGTATTAGTTAGTTTAGTTGTATTTAGTTGTATTAGTTGTATTTTTAAATTGAAGTACTCACAGACAGTTTTGACTTGGCGCGATGACACGACCGCCTCAGGAGGAAGGTTCATGCCTGACAGCCGCTCCATGGTGTCAGCCGTCGCCTGCTGCACTGACATCAGCACGCACAATGAAACTAATAACAGCGCGGGCATTATTGTGCGATGTTGCTGCTGTTATGTCAAAATAGTAAAAATACTCGCTTAGAAGTCACAAAAGGGAAAACGTCTGAAAAAATAAGAATACTTTAAAAACTATTAGCCTATGTGACATATTTTGGAAAGCATAAAAAGGTATCTGACAATTATTTATAAGATAGGATAGCTTTAAATGTGTGACGAAACGCGTCATGAAAAGACTGATATGAACTTTTGTATCGGTCATAAAATTCAATCAACAAAGCTTAGAAAAGCAAACCACTGAGGTATAAAATTTTTAATCAACGGTTTTGGCAAGCCGTCAAACTTCTGCTTTACTTCTAGAGCCAAACGATGTGGTCTCGAACAAACTTTGCATCAGCGACAGAGACCCCAAGCGTTAAGAACGCTGGAGTGCTAGCGCCACACAGCTGTAGTGGATAAGCTGCCAATGCAAACACGAAAAAATAAGTGCATTGACGAGATGTAAAATTAAAAGCTTAATAAAAATTAAATAATATGCCACTGACTAAACCTCATGTTTTTCAGAAGCGAAAATTACAGTCGGCAATTAATGATTGCCATCAGCTCTGGGCAATTTAAATTTATGTCTGACTACGTCACTTTATTCAAATCATCCGAATTTTTCCCTTTTTACTTTCCCAACCGTTGTGTCTAGTCACCAAGACTAAGAGCAGGCATCCCTCTCCTTTAATAATATCCTCATTTCAATTTCTACACCCCTTCTTCGCCGTAGGAAATGGCTTAACATAAATTGTCCTCGAATTTTTTAGTACTTTTTAAAATAGGATTTTTCTATTCTACGGCATTTAATCAATTTTCTTATACCATAATTTTGGGATCTGTGTAATATTTTTCTAGCAAATGTAAGCTTCCACTCTACTCTTAAAACTCATTGCAACGAAAGCCAATTTGGCTGCGATCAGAATCTCAGCTAATGCTCGGTATTCTGAGTTTCGTTTTAGGTTAATTCGTGACCTGAGCCATTAGCTGACCCACGCACTCACATGAAGTTAGTGTACTCACTCAATGAAATGAGTGAAACGTTGTCTAAATGGTGATGCCCTCTCCTCCCATTCGTGGGTCATTCTGACCCAGCTTTGCACGGTCATTGAGAGATATAGTGTACACGCGCGTTATCTGATCGTACAATTTGTAAGAAAGTACGTTGTCACTGTATTGACAATGTGACCCATTTAATTTTCTGAGTGTTCTCTCACTTGTGACCGATGGCTTAGACTTTAGCTAGGGAGATCATTTTTGAACGTCTAATCCATGTGCTAAGTGCTTGGCTGAAATAGATCAATAATTGATTGATGATAAATCCATATCAATCACGATAAATTTCTTAGCATTTATCCTCCATTTATTGCACATGCACATGAACATGATTTTTTTACAAAAATTTGAATTTCATTGACAGCTATGTGCTTCATCCAAGCCAAACTTGATCAGGTTTCTGTAAAGTAGTACATATTTGTGAATTGATGGTTAACATCAATAATTCCTGCATATAGAAATACTAAAAATTTCGCAGCGGTTCCACCAGGTCATCTGAAATAAATATTTTAGTCTGTTCCTATCATAAACGATCCCAGGTCAAATCATTAAAAAACAATTTCCTGATAATATAAAGCAAGAATAAAAAATAAAACCTTAAGCTATCCTATTACATCCAGGTAATAGTTTATGCAGATTTAATTACTCGCATACAGCATTATGGTGATGCCACAGCAGCTTTGCTAAGTGTCAGAAGAACATTTATTGAGTTTACGTGACATACTCGCACATTTTTATGCTGACTCGCCATCAATTTCCTATCACTCATTATTCTCAGTGATCTCTTGTACTCCAATGGAAATTAAATCATGATTGATAGCATGCATGTTGTAACATTTATCACACATGTACAATAGGTAAAATTGAATTAATCCATTTCTCAGTCATCTGAGAACCCTATTTTTAAACGATCTGTATGTGATCTGCTGACTCACGGGGTAATTTAATTATCCACTACTTTTTAGTAATCACACTTTTTGACAAACAGAAAAACTGAAATTTATTTCACCAATGAAGCAAAGGTGACGTATTCAATTTATGATGATTAATGCGGTACTGAAGTTTGACGAATGATATAATCTATATATATTACTACTCGGGAAAATGAGTATTTGATTTAAAATCAATGCAGCGAGACCTGAAGTTGTTATGCGTTCCAGACTTTTGCGATGAAATCGTTTACTCTACCATACTTTTATACCTAGAATTTATCATGCTATAAATCAACAAGGATCGACAAAATTTAATAATACAACTTACGCTTTAACAGTTTTTCTATCAAGTTACGAACCAATATCCTCGAATAGCTGTTATCTGTAACAGATTTTAAGAATTATAACAACCTATAGTTAAGAATGCAGGCTAAACATCTCATAACTTCGTTTGACATCGATTCAAGATCGTTTAGCAGCCTCGGCACGAAAAAATTGCCGTGTCATGGATGAATTTATTCGACATGAAATATCGAACGTGAAACAGAATGAAAGAACGTCATTCTCTTACACTTTAGATATTTCTGTTCCATGTTCAACAGTCATTCATCACAAATTCTGTGAGGATTGAATAATAGTGAATAATAGTTCACTATTATTCACTCAATCTGCCTCAGTTTATTATATTGACGTAATAATGATGTATTTTGTTTTATGTATCATGACATATTTAGCATAAAATAGACGGAATACAAAGTATTATATTACAGACTAGACGTGCATGGATGATCGTAAGCAGTTCATACCTGCGAAATATGCGAGAGGCGAAGATGTTTTATTTTTATGGCGCTTGATTCCATCAAAATCAGCGTTCTATATATATAGATAGTTAAAATCACGCGTATTTCAGCGTATAATTAATAAATCGTGAATGATGTTACTGTAATAATTAAATTATGTTATTCAATCAATTTAGCAAAGTTGATTTACTAACTCAGTAGCAGTCACCCTGCATTCAATTAACACCACATCGTTTGAGCAGACCTTTCTCGATCGTTTCGTGCTCGTGCAAATAAATTACATTCCCCAATTATATTTATTTATTTAAATTTTTCATATTTCTCGAATTTAAAAGAATAAAATTGCAACTATAAATTTCTGAATAACTTTCTCTACAAATAAAACCTTATAATGTATACCCTTACAAGTCTATCATATAATCGTCAATTTTTTTTTAAACTTGCGTCATTTTAATTATGTAATAAAACGCTTGAAACGAGACCAATTACCTGAAGCTTCAAATTGCTTATAAGCTCTCGTTATTCAAATTAACCGAAAATATTTGAGAAGGAGATCTGAATCACCGACTGCATGCGATTCTCCTAAATTCATGAAGCAATTTAACAAGCAGCCTGTGTCTCAAGGTGGCTAAATGCTCTTCATCTAAGGCTCAAATGAGTTGCTTTGGGTATTGTCTAAAAAATATGTCTGTTTGCTGGAGTTTAATTGATATTTTATTGAATCTTGCATTCAGATTGATATTTTTTTGAATCTTGCATCACATCACAGCTGGTGCATTCTGAGAAAATAAGGTCACTTGTGTCTAGCTCTAATTATTGGCATTAAATTCAAAGTTATATCTTTGATTTCTACGTTAAAATATAGGGCGGAAGTTTATATCATCAAAATGTAATCAAAAAGATTGTTTTCATTATAAATAATCGAGTCAAAGCAGACGCCCTCTCAGGCGCGTCAAATTGTATTAACGCTGCAGTCAATGCTGCTAATTTCAGGGAGCTTGAACTTCAATCAGAGCAAAGTCGTGGCAAGCATCATGCAGGTACAGCTCATGCTTTGTGACTTATATTTAAATGGCAGTCAGTTATGAAACGTTAAGAAAGTTTGTTGCAGCTTATCGATAAATTTTCTGGACCCCTTTCGTATTTGTGAGGCAATTCTTCGTTGGATAAAATATTGTTTGATGTTTTTTTTTCAAAAGAAAATATCGCGGTTCTCTCGCTCGGAATGCTACAGGCTCTGGAAATCAATCAAGAACATTAAATCAAAGTGTAATGATCATAAATCTCACGAGAAAAATACATTCAAGTGCTACACAGTAAATTTGATTTTATAGCAAAATTGTTCGTTGTCAGATTTATTTGCTGTGCGTGATCGGCGCCAATGTGATCGGCGCTAATTCACGTTTTCATTTTTACATTAACATTTTTTTACATTTTCATTTACATTTAAAAGGACCGCCCGAGGTACTTGAACTTTTTTCCATTGGGTACTTAATTGTGACCCAAGGAACGAATTAAAAGCTATAATATTCCAGCAGTTAGGAGGCTTGATGGAAGTTTTGCATGTGCACATCATTTATGACATTACACTGAGTAATTGTAGTGGTAATCAATTTATCGACAGACTAACTTCACGAGTAATTCGGGAAATTGGACAAAGTTCGAAAACTCATCATCAATCATATCGTGCGGCTGTACATCGCTACCATGGAGCACCAACACTATCAATGTTGGAAGCATAGCTTCCAAACTGAAGCTATGAAGCTGAAAATTTTGTTCGTGATTCATTATTTCTTTGGGGTGTACTTTGTGTGCACTTGATTTAAAATAGAAACAGTTGAGTATTTTTCTAAAGTATTGGGCTCGGAAAGTCGGTAACCATATTTTACGAGCGGGTATAAATTAAATTAAGTAATTTTCACTACTTATTCATCATTATTATTTTAACCGTGTTGTTCAAATACTTCAATAATAGATGAATGTAATGACTTCAACCACTTTTAGCAGCGGCCAGAACTCTTAGAAAATTCTACTTGATCAAACGGATTTGTGTTCCGCATTGCAGATAAAAAGATCACATGAAAGAATTACTTTGTTACGCAATAAAGAACATCGTCCCACTAATACTAATTCCAGCTTAATATGGAAGTTGCATGAACGTTTTTCCTGCCAAATGATTTATATGCGATATATAGTTAAGATAATTTTATTTTCATCCGATAACTTGGCAGAAAACAAAGGACTTATGACAATTTGAGGACCCTGACTTATTTCGCTGTGGATGTGCTATGTATTTTTATTAATAGCAAATGTAAAAAAGTTGTTTATAGTAAAAAACTCAACCATAATTTTTAGGTTAGACAGTTGTAATTTTCATCATACTCTTTCGCTATCAATTTTTGCATTGAATGTTCTAGTTTATATTTTCTGTCCAAAGTTTCCGCAATAACGATCGAGGATCTTCATCACAAAAAACGCAGAAGTGTTTGATTTAACTCTGGAATACTGAACAATGTATGAGAATCGTCAGTTGATGAAAATTCCCTCCAATTTTGTAAATTGTGTTGACTTCACACGATTATTTGGGCTTTATCATAGCATTACACTTGGGCAGGAAGGCAACGGCTCAGTGAGCATAATGTTTATATTGCGAAACGATTGCAGGGCGATAGTGTGAATTTGCCAGACTTTTATGGCAAATATTCTCAGTACTAATTTTCATGTAAAACAGTAATTTAGGCGATAATCACGCAGTTTAACACGAAATGAGAATACGCAACGTGTTCACACGTGCACACATTCTACAAAATTTTCTTTTTGGCTAGTCTTTAGCGTGATACCAAAGGAACAGACGACAATTCTATGAGCTAAGTTGCAATGACGGCCTGTAACAATTGAGCTTGTATTTTACAAATTATATGCTTCATTTAAGTCAATAACTTAATTACTTATACTAATTTGAATTATTTCATTTAAAACAAGCAAATAGCCTAATGCTTCTACAACCGACACATTTCGCTAGCACATTTGAAGTAGAATGAAACCAGAGAAACAATGCGCGTCTTTTAACTTATCAGTTATTAGTAACGTATTTCACAGTTCGGCTCCTAACTGATTACAACAATTAATCTCCGGTCAATCGTTATTCCCGCAGAAACATGCAATTGCTTCTATAAGTCGATATCATGCAAAAGCATTGTGTATGCGTATTTAAATTCTAACTTACATTTAATTGGTCATCGATATCAGTTATTTTGCTTTAATTGCTCGGAACACATAATTAGAAGCGAGTTTCATCAATATGCACTTAGAAATAGTCATTTATAGACTTAAATAATTTGAGATCTAATTGAATATTTCGGAGTTATTAACTTCCATTAACATAGTGATGTCGGCGCTGAAGTGTAGGCCTGATGTGGCCTGTCGAATCTGTTTCAGGCGGCACACATATACCAAGCATATTCGAGGTACATGTGTGCTTTTTGAGGCTTATTTTACAAGTAGATAAATAATACGATATTACATACGATACGATAATAATAATGTATATCAAGTAGATAAATTTTTAGAATGCCTCGGAAACTACCAAACAAAATCTCAAAATATGATCAAGACTTCAAACCCGAGGATTTGTAAAATCTGACGCGTACGATAAATAACCACTAACCACATTGTAATTATTTTAAAACAAACAAGATTTCATAATTTTATACCTCATTTTGGTGGTCGAAGCAGGATATTGCCGCAAAGCGTCTCGGTATACTGAGTCCTGAAGTGAAGCAAAAAGGTGAGGCAGCCTATAACATATGTTTTACGCGGCATTATTGCTATTCACAGTGACGCATTAGTGGCATTACATTAGTTACCCGCAATTTAATCCAATTTTACCATCGTTAATCAGTATTGAGACTTCAACTTGGGTCGTCCCATGGAAGAAGTCTGAGAATCTTAGCAATCAGCTCCGAAATCAATGATTCTGAAATGTAGAAGTTACCTTGGTTCTGCGATGGTAGTTTTTTTTCGAGACTGTATTTGGTAACTTCGGAACGTGAATTTTGAGTAAATGGATGCTGAATTGAAGATGTCAGGACTATTTTTGTCCTACCGGGGGGGGGGGATCACCGGACCACAGCCCAACGGTACGGCTGCAAGAAAAGCCTCCTTACCAGGCCAAGGCTGACTGGCAAGTGCGGCGTCTTGGGACTTGGGCACCAAACCTCCAGCGAAGACGGTTGCCTGGTGACCGGCTTGGAATACATGTGATCTTTAATGGAAGTGCTGGTAAGTATAGCCTGAGTTGCTGTTGGGAAACTTTATTAGCGTAATTCTTGAAAGAGCTTAAGGGATTTGCATGGCGTTGAGACTGAAGAAAATGAACGCAGAGATTAACTTCTTAAAATCCTTTTATTCATTGTGACGTCGCTCTGAGACGCTCGTCAGCTTCAAACACACCCTTCAGCTACATCATCTATACCCGGCAGAACTTTGTCATAGTCCCCCTTAAACGACACTCCGTTTTCTTTGGGAGAAACAGGCCCCGCTTGGGTTGCTCTACAAACACGGTCCAGCGTTGCCAGATGGTATATTTCTATACCAGATTTCACAAATCTGGTATTTTCAAAAGGTGTCTGGTATGAATATTTTAGATCTGGTATGTTTGCCTAAATCTGGTATTTTTCTGGTATTTTCTGGCTTACTGCATATTTACTGCATTAAGTTCCACCTCTGAAGTTTGAACTTCCTCCAGCGTAGGCGTGGATTATATAGATTACCTTCAGAGCGGCGCGACTAGAGCTTTCCCGCCATTTTTGGACCCGCAAGTTTACCGCTTGATGAAATAACCCCAATTTAATTGTTAACATTTAACATAAGTGCTTAGTACAATATAAGCACGAGAGTGATGATCCTTGATTGATAATTGATCAGTGATGATATGGTCTAGGACGAGTGAGGTTGTCGTAACCGATCTCTGCGACGCAAGCTCCACCATTTTTGTTTGGTGGTTTTTAATTCTAGTGTGCCACTTGAATTCTGGGGTCCCATTCAATATTTCACCGATCTTGAAAATTCATATAGAACTGGCCATTCATAGAACTGGCTGCCTACTGCATCACTTGTCTACTTTGCCCTATCTCCAATGCATTCGTAGAGCGAATGTTTTCACAAGTCACCTACGTGAAAAACAAGCAACAAAATAAAATTTCAACTAAGGTACTGGAGGCCGCTATTCGGACCAATAGCTATCTGCTCAGCCGCAACAAGTGATCAGACCCCAAATGTTAGATAAATGCAATATGCAAGCATGTACGAAAATAAGCAAATGGAAGATGACCTGTTTCCGTGACTTGCTCATGTTGAGCGAAGGAGGAGAAGTGCGACACTGTGATAAAAAGAGGAAAAAGTATCAATGTAATCAAACGCAGGAAAAGAAAAGGGTCAAAATTTCCAAACAGAGAGGAAAAATATAACGTGTTCAATTTGGCTAATTAGCGTCAAGCTAGGTACATGCATAGTACATAAGATAATTTTTTTTATTTTTATAACCAACGTTTCTGACGAATAATTTCATTAAATTTGGAGGTAATCGTCTGTTTTTTGGACAATTGAATTTCTGGTATATTTCTGGTATTTTGAGCTAGGCAATCTGGTATTCTCGCCCAGAAAAAACCTGGCAACACTGCTGAAACACCCCAAGCTCCAGTCTGCCTTGCAGTGAGATAGCGCAAACACCCGTGCTGATTTTACCCGGACCGACGTGGATTTTCTTCTAGTGATAAGTAACCTTAAGTGCTTTCCCTCTTACCTATATGAATTGTGCGCAACCGCAGACTGATAAAATGTTGTATAACCATTCGTAACGTCCCTAATAACGTAAAAAAACTAAGAAATTTCTGAAGCGCTTTTCGCTAAGAGCCAAGATGGCGACTATAGCGTGGTCAAACATGGCGGACCAGAGACAATCCTTCAGTTCGAGTGCCTTTGTAGTAATTCCTAATTATTTCAACGGCGTAGTAGATTTAAGGTGTAGTTGCGATTATTTCTTGGCCTAAGCTGCTGTAATCATTCATGACGTCCCTAATAACGTAAAAAATCTAAGAAATTTCTGAAACGCTTTTCGCTAAGAGCCAAGATGGCGACTATAGCGTGGTCAGACATGGCGGACCAGAGACAACCTTTCAGTTAGAGTGCCTTTGTAGTAATTCCTAGTTATTTCAACGGTGTAGTAGATTTAAGGTGTAGTCGTGACTATTTCCATAGCCTAAGCTGCTGTAATCTTTCATGACGTCCCTAACAACGTGAAAAAACCTAAGAAATTTTTGAAGCGCTTCCCGCTAAAAGCCAAGATGGCGACTATAGCATCGTTAAACATGGCGGATCCCCCACACGTTTCTTGAACCTACTTTAAGCATCTAGTATAGACATAACTAGCATTATTTGGTTGCCTAGATCTATGCGCTTACCTTAACCGATACCTTGCAGAAACCTGACGAGTCAGAACATGTGGTAAAGATCGCCTGACAAGATCGTCCGGATTCGTCATCTCGCCTTCCCCTGCCTAAAACTAATAGTAAGCGGACCAAACGATATTGCTGATCTTAAAATGTGTTCTCCTTTGTCACAGGCCCAGCCGATGTCTGAGATTATTACGACATCTCCACGTTGTGCTTAATATTCAAGTGCTGTAACACAGTGCACTTCTGCCATTATTCTAACGCAAACTACTTACTAGGATATAGCAACGTAGCCAGTACCTAATCTTAACTCTTTGTGTAGCTTCTCATTATCATGGTCTAAAGATCCGCCCTCAAGCCAGTATCTAATCTTAACTCTGTGTAGTTTCTCATTATCATGGTCTAAAGACCCGCCCTCAAGCCAGTATCTAATCTTAACTCTGTGTAGTTTCTCATTATCATGGTCTAAAGACCCACCCTCAAGCCAGTATCTGATCTTAACTCTGTGTAGTTTCTCATTATCAGGGTCTAAAGACCCGCCCTCAAGCCAGTACCTAATCTCAACCCTTTTGTGCAGTATTCCACGTCACCCATATGAAATAAAGCGAAGAAAAATCCCACGGATTTTTATTTCACTCCCGTTGAGCCATACATCTAAGCCAGTGGAATATAATCAGGCTCAGGGGAGGAGAAGAGGATGGCGAGCGCGGATCCACCAAAAAGAGAGCGACAGCTGCCCCGCAGCGAACTAGAAAGGCTACTAGAAACTATACAGGACGAAATCGATACCCTAACGTCGATGAACCTAGATGAGGAAAACGCGAGTTACGAACCAGAGCAGCTGATCCAGTGGTCCAGAAACCTGAAAGATAAGATGATTTCGTACAACCGTTGCTGTAAGCTTCTCAAGTCGACACTACTTCGGCAGGGCTGCAGCGCCGATCTGCAACTTGCCAAGGATAATAAGCGCGGTCTTCAGGAAGACTGCGCGCAGAGCTTAGCTTTCATTAACGAGCGCTTAAAACAACTTAACCACGATGGGGTCTCATCCTTCCATTTCGACACTTCATCCGTTCGATCAGGCTACTCCCTCTCTTCGCAACTCGACGAGTCGATACCCCCAACAGTCTCAGCCGCACGGCCAGATTACCCTGCAGTCGTCGAGCCCACAGCCTACGCTCCGCGTGAACCCAGTCACCTCCCCACACCTACCTCCTCCTCAGACACCTTACTACGAACAAACCCCATCCATTCCACACTAGCCCCTCTAGACCGATTCCACCCGCACCCTAGTTCTGCACCACCCTCTAGCTCGAAAGACTCCCCCACTGTCCATCCGGCTGCCACCCCATCTACAGCTTTGAAACTCCCTAACTACGACCCAAACCTCTCACTTTTACCTTCTTACTCTTCGATCATAATTCCCCAACACCTAAACGGATCGTCACCCTCACTCGGATCGTACACGCCTCCGCATCCCGACCTAAACCCACGTAATGCCCTTCTTCCCATCCAGGCAACTCCCCACACCAACGTATTTCTATCACAAGTCAAGGTGTTGCTACTTGCTAGTAAATCAATAGTTTCCTTCCTATCGCTTCAGCAGACACTCTAAACTTGTGCGGAACTCCACCTACGACATCTCCGAGCAGGCGTACAGTTACGTTACGTATCTTCCCGCGCAAATGTTTTGATAATACCACCTCTAGAGTTACGTCATCAAGTCAGCACTTACGCCACTTGTAAGTCGATTTTGCGTACTTACGAAGTTTTGATAATACGGCCCCAGGTCGTATATGAGCGTCGTGCGTTAGGATGATTACGAAGAGATATTCGAAATTATGTTTTAAAATATGAAGAGAATGAATGCATAAACAACACAATTTAATATTAAATTTCCCATTTGCTACCACACGAACGATAATTTTTTAATGATTATTATTTTAAATCGTTGAATTAAATGAGCTAGAATATATAGCATATTAAATTCCATACGTACTTGATATACTACGCAATCATTAGAGCATTCATGTCGATGTGAAATTTTCCATGTCAAAAATACATTAAATACGGTTAAGAAATATAGTTTAGTTCATATTATCATTCTATTTCTGCAGAAAAATTTTCAGGGATGAAAAAGTAGCTCGTAACAATACATTGAACATCGCCTAATAATTTGTCATATTAATATCATACTAGGCCCAATGAAGTATTATCATACTGAAAAAATTATTCATTTAGTAATAAAGAGGCATATATAAATACTTTTTTGTAGAAGCTAATAACAGCAAACCTCGACACCAGATCGAGCTGGGCAGCGCTACTTTGAAATGTAGCGACCGCTACCGCTACCGCTACATGCTCTAAATGTAACGGGCGCTACCGCTACCGCTACACCCACTAGATTGTAGCGCTGCTACATGTAGCGCGCTACTGCCCACTGGTAACAACTAACATGTTGACACTAGTAACAGGCTGATTTTGACAACATTACACCGAAATCTTTCGTACAGTTTTATTCTGTAATTTATATTATGTTTGTATCATGCTGGTTTTTAAATAATATTTAATACTATAAGTAAAGTCTAAAAGCTTTATCTATAAATGTAGCGGTAGCGCTGTAGCGGCAATACCTCGTATCGCTACTTAAATATGCAGCGGGCGTTACCGCTACCGCTACAATTGCTTAATTAAATGTTGCGCCGCTACCGCTACCGCTACCGCTACTGAATATGTAGCGCGCTACTGCCCACCTCTGCTCGACACCTACAGCAAGAAACTCTCTTGAATTCCATTGCACTCCTTCAATAATCTCCTCGAATTACATCTCGTACTCCTGTCCTAGTTAGGGGTTATAGATACAACACAATTTATTACTGTATGCAATTTGATTGAGAAAATTTAAAATAATTACATTTATCAAATTTAACGGTTCCATTTTAGTATGTTTAAGAACCAGTTACATTCTAACATCTAGTTACGTTAATATTACTCCGAAATATTGGTTTCTCTATATTGATATCTGCAACATGCTTAAATGAGTGGATTGTGGTGAATTTTATTTTCACCCTAATTTGTTATATTAATTGCTATATGTGTGGTGTATAATGGGATATAATATTTAAACAATTTTCACCTGGGTACTTCACCGGGGGAAAGGTTCCAAAGAGCGAATAAGTTAAATGTTGAAGATTATACTTAGTTCAGTTGAGATGCCTAATAGCGAATAAGGGTTCCTGTGAGGGCTCCTCTTGAAACACTTAAATTCAGTTTGGTAAGATTTAAGTTAATTATTCAAGAGTGGGAACCCGACACAGTACAGCACAGGTCCGGCCAGTCTTGTAAGACCTACATGTTATTTCCCCCTGCCTCGATGAGTAATTAAGTTTTTGCACAAGATTTTTTCCACATTGTTGCAGTTTTGACTGCGAAAGGTTGTCTCGGGAGCAGAAAAATATCACTCCCTCTTTTGTGTTCTCTTTGCCCGGCACGGCTTTGGCTGTCGACGTTTGCATGTACGCGACGTCTTCCAGTTCTCCACTACGGTAGAGGCGACAAGCTCTGACCCATGCTGAGTCATGGAGGGTTCCTTTAGGGAACTTCATCAACCATCTTGCATAATCATTCATGTCAGCGACCTCCTCGATGTAATCATCCACCACTTCAGCAATCCACTCGCGAGTCCCCATCCGCGACGGCACTTCTATGGGATGCTCCGTCACCATACCAGATCTGAAAATTAAGACACATCAGCTCATTTTTTACAATGTTATTGCATACCAGATCTTAAACTTGTACTCGTTCCTCACCTGAAAATATTTGCCTTCTTCAGCCAAAATTTTGTTGTTCGTAATAAGCTCTAAACAAGACCGACTTCTAATTCATGCTAATGCTAATTCTTCAATAATTACCCACACAATTATCAATGAACTACATTATGACTTGTCGTTGCTGCCATTGTGATAAATATGGGCCGAAATTTTGTCATTGATTCGAAGACTGTTCTACTTCCGAGTAAATTCCGTTATATATTTGGGTTTATAAATACCCAAGTGATGTCAGATACTTCAACAATGTTGCCGCGGATAGGAACTCCAGGTACATGTTCAATTATAAGAGTTCCCATTCTACTTACTTTTATGCTCCATTTTTTGGCTGTTGTAGTCATTTACCCATTAGGAAGTTTTTATTCCCTCATGTACCCACCAATGATTAAGAAAAGTAACGTTTTACGGTTTTAATTGATTTCAAGCCTTCTTGACAATTAAATATCACTTCTGACTTGTTTTAAAATCGCTTCTAATTGGAGGAGAAACTATACGGTTGATGTTGAAACGTATCTATACGACAGTGAAGAACATACGTGTTCATACTCAGATGTGTATCTGGATGAACACTCATACTAAACCTTAAATAAACCTTTTGATATTTTCATATCTGTGCACAGTTAAAACATCTGTTGCGTCTTTTTCTAATTTTCATGCAAAGTCATTCCAAGAAGCCTTCCTGAGTGAATTAAATTCGATTGCGAGTAAGCTGTTTAGTTTGACCTATGCTATAAATACTCGGTAAGCTGACTAAATTTATCCCGGAAAGGTCCGCATCTTAAAAAATTATACAATATTATATACCTCTGTTCCAAATGGTCGTACGTTGGCACGGGCAGGCGGTACAGATAGTTCTTCTTTGCTCCAGTAGCCTTTGTCCCGATCACCGACTGAGCATCAGTCTTGTATGCAACAAAACCAAAACCAGTATTAAAATACCGCATTTTCTTCACCAGCTGCTGCCCGTATTGCAGAACTCGTTCGCGCTCCCTGTGAGGCCCACATGTGAAGCGTATTGCTCCGTATTCCGTCGTTCCAGAACGCTCGCACGGAGCGGCTGTTGACGTCTTGATGGAGATGATGCCGGGCAGCTCTCCAGCGCTGTAGAGCTCTACGGCCTTAGCCCACATGTCGTCCATGTAATCGTGGTTGAAGAACAACATCCATTTGCCGCGCAAACTTTCGTCGAATTTGTACTTAACGGCGATGGTCTCAATTTCCAGAGAAATTGAATCCTCTTCAAATTCGTCCATTGGCTTCCTCTTTGTTGACATCGTTCGTAACGGCTGTCCAATAAAAGAATAATTGATTTTGTACTCAATTTAATTCGATTGCAAATTTTTTATATTGCAAAAATTAATTTTCTCCTCATTTCGAACCTTATTTTATCCTCTTTTCGAACATTTCGAACCTCAAGAAAACACGAATAAGTGCAATAATTTATAACTGTTAAATGAGGAGAGGCATGTATAGGACATTTGACTCAGTGCAACTGGACCTTTAAACTTTAAACACATAATCTCGTGAACAATGAACGTTTGCACGCCACATTGCTGGCGAATGTGCCAAATATAACCAGTTACTGTAAAATTCCGTTTGTCCAAAAGGATGATATTATGAAAGGGGATGATGAAGGCGATGAAGGTGGTAGGTTTGGGGAGTCAGTTATTGAGTTTACCCTGGGTCATCCGTTTTGTCTTTACCGAAAATCACTTTCGGTGAGTTTCGTCAATTAATAGTCGTCGTCGGAATTACTGCAGGCGGGTGCGTTCATCCAACAACTGACGACCAATTGTAGATTTATCGACCTTGTAGTTACTTTGGAGATGAAACTGTGTGATGTAAATTTAATCCTAGGACTGTTCTGTTGTTCTTGAATGGTAGTGACTAGTGGGTTTTAGCCTTTTTTAAGGGACAATATTTTTCAGTTTCATTACTGTGACGCGCAGATGCCAAGGTCCTGAACTTAATATATTAAAGATGAGAACCCGTGTGGCACTCTCGTATTAATTGCAGTTTCATTTATTTTACGTATTACTGGAGTATTTCGTTGTTCAAGTTCAATTTTTATTATTCTATTGGTGAATGCTGAGATAGTGATAGATTAACAAGCCGAGTGCAGAAGCCCACTAACCATGCATCGAAATCTAATTAAATGACATCATGACTCTCATTAAGATATGTGCGAAAGAAGATATTTGGGTACGAATTTATTTGGTTTCCATTGTCCCCTCTAGTAAGGCTAGTACCCTCAAAAAGTTAACAAAATTTATTGGAAAATGCATGGCCACGTATATGGTTTAAGCCTGTTATTTTAGCATTCACCTTGAAAAACACATACATATACTCACTTTTTTAACGTCGTAAGTAATCTGAAGTATCAATTCCTTCGGGACGACACGCGCTCAACCGCTGCTTGCCACCGCTCGACACAATGTGAACAGGAGCTCAAGCAGCGATGAACAGAAAAGCCTATGCATATTAGTTACCAGTTGAGAACGAGTTCGCAACGTTATTATGACGACCGATTATGGAGGTCAGAATGTACTAAACTGGCTCCAATTTCAGTGTAATTTGGGCAATATCATTTGGTAATGAAGCATATCATTCGATATTAGAATTTTTTGTTATTTCCTTTGAAAACTTGCCAGAGATTCAACCATTCTTGATTTGACCGAACATTAGTGATTTAATTCTGGGTAACTGATAGCATTATACGACAACCTTAATTATTTAGTCTCGAACGCTATTTTTTAATCGATTGTTATCAAGCACAATAATATGGCAAGTCAGATAGTAACGAGGTTTGGTTCACGTTATCACATCTGATTAGTCATTCTGTAATATCGTAAAGTTACTGAACATGTGAGATAAGCGTAATTTAATATGCAACCTGATATTCAAGCAACATTAATTTTCAAAGAAAAGTAATCGAACAAATTAAAATGAATAAAATTAGCTTAGACATTTGGAAATTACTGGGAACCAGCAAGCAGTGGATGTCGTCGGACTAAAAAAGAAATTAATTTCAAATAATATTCAGGCACACTTTAAATCCATTGACGAGTAACTTCATGCACGATTTTTTACGATAAATAGAACCAGTGTGTAATCTTACAGTGTTTTTTTTTTTGAGTGCTTCACAAGACTTGGGGCTGATATCAGCTCTGACTCATGGCATGATACTACTTCTATACCGTTGGTTTTACATGAACATTATATCATCTATCGTATTTACGACTAGGCCCCTTTCACACAGGGCGGCAAATACCGCCAGCGTCCGACTGTATTTACCGCCGAACCTTAGCGGACATACAAAATGTAGACCTTGAACTGTGTGCGTGCAGGCGCAGGAAGTGAAGATCGCGCAATATTGGCGTTACGTGGTCAAATGTTCGCTTATTGCACACGAGTCGCGCAGCAGCGTTCACTACGGATTGCAGCTTATTTAGTGCCGTGGTTTGGAAGTCGTGAGTGTGGCATTACCATAGTCCAATTGGGTAAGAACGAACGCCAGCACGAGAGCCTCGAGGACCGGCCTCGAGAAACAGCGGCTGACACTACGTATTCGTAACATAGCGCCAAAACCAGCGGTGGTGACTTTGGCTATTTGATTGTTCATAGAAAGCTCTGAGTCCAGTAGAATGCCGAGGTTTCGAACCGAAAATGCAGACATGACCAAGTCGTTGCCCACGCGAAAGGGTTGGCTAGAAGCTGATGCTGGCGGCGAACAGTCGCAAACCAAATAAAGTAGGTTTTTAATGCATTGAGCTGGAGTTGGTTGGAGCGGACCCAGTCTGAGACGGCGTCACTGCAGACAGACATCTGGTCCTGCAACGCTGCAGCGTTATCCAGAGCACAGTAGGTTTAAATTTGAGTGTCATCGGCGAACATATGCGGATTCAAACTATGTGAATCAATTATGTGCAATACGTCGACAGTATATTACAGGAAGAAGATCGGGCCGAGAATTGATCTCTGTGGTACGCCGCAAGTGACCAACGATGGCGTATAAGAAGAGTTCTCGCGTCTAACGCATTAGAATCTATTGCTGAGATAGGACTCGAACCAACGCAGTTCTGTGCCGCGCAGGCGGAAGGATAAGTCAAGTCGACGCAATAAAAAGGCGTGGTCGACCGTGTCAAACGTCGCCGACAGGTCGAGTAAAACCAGTGCCGCAATGTCGCCGCGATCTACAGCTCGCACCATGTCTGAAAGCACCTTCAGCACAGCGGTTTCCGTTGAGTGGAGATGACGGTATGCAGACTGGAGGCGAGGCATGAGACCGGACTGCTGAAGATGGATGTTCAGCTGTCGGCCACGACGCGTTCCAGTTTTGACAAAATAGACAGGTTGGAGATGTGTCGATATGATCTGGGATCAGAAGCGTCAAGGTCTGTTTATTTTCAATAGAGGCGTAATTAATGTAAGCTGATTTGAAGTTCATCGGAAGAACACCATCGCTGAGGCGGTGGTTGAAAAGTTTGACCAGAAAAGGTGCTAGGGTTACAACATTCCTCTTAAGTAAGCAGTTCGGCCAAAAAAGGTGCTAGGGTTACATCACCCTTAAAAGTAACGACGTCGGCAGCAAAGCGCTGGCACACTGCTTGTTGGGCAGCGCGTGCGCTGCAGCGATGAAGGCGTTAGCTGTGACGCGAGTGAATTCTTGGAGCACGCTGTCAACCGGGAAAGGTGTAAATGTTGCCGGCGGAGCATCGGCCGAAGACACTCGTACAGCCGAATTTTTTTTTTCAATAGCCGCATGGAATTCCTCCACGCTTACGTCACCCGAAACATCTGTGTGACCTCTTCCCATGAGTTTATCGAGCGAACGCTACAGCGCTCGAGGAGCGTTGCATTGCGAGTCGACTCTCTGGTGCTAAAAAGACTATCTTTTAGAACGAAGAAAGTCGAGATAAATGCGCCGCGCTTCTCGCCAGGTAGAGGCCACAGCAGCTGCAGCAGCAGTATTGCCGCGTCTGTTCGCCCGGTAGATACCCCTCTGTAGCAGTCGAACCTCGTTTTGCGAGACCCGATATTCATCGCTGAACCATGGGTCGGAGACTCGTTTGGGTACCAGAACTGTGTGTGCAGGAAGTAGTTGGCGAGTGTACAGGTCAATTCGGTATTGTAGAGTTGCCCGAGGTCGTTAACTGTTATAGTGCCAGCCATGACTCAGGCCGACATAGTCGGGACAATTGCAGTTTTTCACCTTAGTATCCTTGGTATTTGTTTGGGACATAGCAGTCGCAGTCCACGATGGATCGCCGCCTCTGATTATCGTTCATCCGCCCTCATTTGGGCCACCTGATGCACGATGCTGTTGCTTGCTTCTCGCCGCTGGTAGTGTTGCAGGGGAGGTCGATCTGNCAAATTGAGCTCCCAGAAGTTCGCACATGCCCTTGTCATCTCCAACAAGGACATCGTTATTTTTCAGAGGCCCCACTGAGGCTCTGATTTTGGCCTTTGACCGGGCATATTTGTAGAAATATTTGGGATTCTCTCGAATGGCAGACACCGCTTGCGCCTCTGCAATTTGATGCTCGGCCTCTTGTGAGTCCTGCAACTGTCGTTCAGTTTCCTTAATTTTAACCTTTAGATGTTCCAGCCTCTGCCTCTCTATATTCCCGGAGGCAGCTGTCATCTGGTTGTTCAAGCTCGCTCGTTTTCTCATAAGGATCCGTCTGTCCCTCGGAATTATGTGGCGTTTGGGGGTCGTTTTTTTCCGGCGTGTGACGCTCGCATACCTGCAGTAATAATTCGCACAGTTTGTTGTACATTGTTTCGGCGTTTAATTCCAGGAATTCAGATGTCCAGTCAATTTCAAGGAGTTCATTCCCAATGGCCTCCCAGTCTGTTCTTCGATGATGGAAATTTAGCCCATCAACCCCTCTCGAGGTATAGGTCTTGGCTGGGTTCCCCTCTCAATTGTTGTCTTGACCACCACTAGTCGATGGTCAGACAGTGTGGTCTCCTCAACATGAATATCAGCAATCAGTTCTTCATTGCTGGTGAAGAATAGATCCAGGATATTATGTTCTCTTGTTAGCACCAGAACCTGTTGGCTTAGCAAGTGCTCCCTAGCGAATCGAAGTAGTTGTGTTGCCTGGTTTCTGGTTTGATTTCTGCGCTGTTCTGCACAGTCCAAGTTTGGCCATCGTATGTGTGGTAGGTTAAAATCTCCCGCAACCACAATATTTAGGGAAGGTTCACCTAAGGTGGCAACCTCTGTTTCTATTCTATCGAGAGTTTCATTGAATTTTTCAGGCGGGCAGTCAGGCGGTCGGTATACGATAGCAATGCACAGATGTAGATGGGGAATGTATAGTATAACATGTTCCACATATCCATTGGAGCCTAAATGCAGGGGAACTGTTCTTGCCGCGAGGAAGTTTCTGAGGTAGACTATAACGCCTCCTTTTCTTCTCCCTTCTTTTCGATCTGCTCGGTAATGTTAAAAGCCTTTCATCTCGATTTCTCCATCTTGGATATCTTCTCTTAGGTGTGACTCGGTTAAGGCAAGCATGACTATTCCTTCTGTCTCAGCAATTTCTTTAAGTACGCCGATCTTGTGGCGTTTTCTTCTTGGGAAGAGTCCCTCTATATTAGCTATCATGATGCTAGACTCTTCCCTTCCTTGCGTCCTTAGTTGCTGTAACACTATAAGACGACGATATCGCGTAAGATATCGCCGTCGATACTGCGCCACGGACGACAGGTAACGGTTTTGTACGCTGGAACCGGATGCAAACATGGCACCGTCCACTGATGTATTCGATGGTCTTATATTGGATCTCGATTATGTCGACTGTCGGAATTTGAAGGTCAGCACGCGTGATGACAACGTTCAGCAGTCCGCCCATGTCGTGCGTCGGCAAGGTCACGTGACAAACCATGCCAAGGGTGGATAGAAAGTCGTTCAGCTGACGAGCTGAGAAGGATGCTCAATTTTCAGAAAGAAGTTTCAGGACAAAATGCTTTGCTGCTCAAAAAGAGCACTTAGATAAAACTACCGTGAAAGAAAAGCAGATGGGTATCAGTATATGTTCACATTTGATGTATGATGATGAAACGTATGTTCGAGAATCATTCATCTTTTATATTATTTTTGATGTAGCTACGTCAACGTCCCAACCGTTGCCACTGATTGCGCACGCTACTGTCTGTGACGTCGCAGTAGCGCTTGTATACGTCAGTGCCATAAGCACTCATCCAGTAAATCCTCAACCGCCTACTATCACACGCACACTCGCTTAGGCTTATACTCCGGCATACCTCGCTTTGGTTGCCGTTACTTGTCAACCCATGTCTCCCTGTACCACGTCGAGCATTTAATATAAGAAATATAATTAAGCTAGGTAACGGCTTTCACTACCTTCTACTCAGGCAGCCTTAGAGTACTAGGAGAACTAAAGACAAACCTGCATAATCCCATAATTTAATTAGGGATTATTGCGTCAATATCAAATTATACATAAAAGTCCAACCTTGGACAAGTAAATGTTTGAAAACGCTACGCTGAGGAGACGGGATCTGAGAAGGGAAACTTAACTTAGGGTGCGTTGTCGGTATGTTGCTTGTCCGCAGTGACCTGTTCAGAGAAATATGTTTTTCCTACGCGTGCTGAAAGTTATTTCAAGACAAGATGTAATTTTCAAAGGCTAAAATTCAGAAAACACACAGAGACAGTGTTGTGCCAGTGCTTTATTTTACTTCATGACGATTTGATGGAGAGGCGATTCAAAATGAACCTTGCAACAGAAGGCACTGAAACTGAAAATTCTATCAATATGTCACCAGAATTTTCGATCACGGGCTTTTCGATCTTTACATGATAGTTTGTATCATTAGGAAAGAATAGAATTTGAGTCACACAAGCGTTCATCAGATTTTAAGCAATAAATCGCACAAAATTATTGTCACTCATTAGAGAACTTCAAACCAAAATGGGCTACATGAAATAATTTAATTTGCGACGCATAATTAAGGTGACTATGCAGCTTCTAACACTGACAGAGAATCACATGTCCTGTTTCTACTCCAACCGCTTCTCTAGGCGTTGTCAGATCAAACGTAACGCCAGCAGAGTTGATCCTAAATTGGCATGCCTGGTATTCCTGGATTAGAGCGGCTGCCCGCTCAAGTACGGACAGGATTAGGGACACCAGCCAACAGTTACGAACTCATCATCACGTTTCCTTTATTTCAGGGTGTCTCCAAACTACGGCCAGCGGCTATATGTAGGTTCCATCCGGCTCACCGAGGATATCTCGTAGTTCAACATAATGTGTACAAAAATCGAGCGTGGCGTTTATTTCTGGTTACGCATGAACTAAAAACAGTTAATTGGCGTGACCAGCCCGTGAAGGTTTCAAAAAGCTCGCTCATGGCCCTTGGTGAAAAAAAGTTTTTGGAGGCCCCTGCTCTATTTTATTGGTCAGTTCTGTACCGCAACTGGCATCTGCCCTATGAGAAATGACGGTTCCGATATTGGCAAAATTACTACAAAGAAAGCAACTGAGGTATTCAACAAGGAAAACGGAGCAATAAAAAAAACAGGACACAAACATTGTAAAATATTCAAGACCTTATATAGAAATTTAACATAACACACACCTCATGAAAATAGTCACCGCAGTGACCAGTTACCACAATTTCAATACAAATACTGAAAGGAAAAATTTTACATGCAAGACAAAAATCGTCTCTCGCATTATGTAAATACATATTCAAACTCATTTGCCACTAATGCTGTAAATTTAATGACCACCTCGCACACAAGGTCCACTTCCTCACCCTTTGCCTCCTGATGCGCCGCCAGAAACCACACCTACACTCTATGCGATTTACGATGCAACTCGTTTGTAATTTTAAAACCCAAATGTGTCTAAACAAGACATTTATCAAGGAATTTAAAAGCAAACAAAACGCTAAGCAAATTCACCATATCGATATTGAAAACGTTTAGGAGTACAGCTCCATCACCAGTTCGACAATCTAAAAATGATTAAAATCCTTTTATAAGTCAAAATTCGAAGACAGACATAAAACCTGAACAAGACCTAACATTATATAAAAACAGGACTCGGTTGGAACAAATTAGTCCTAGGGGTCTCAAAAGAATAAAACTTGAGAGCCTAGCGATTCACTATTTAAAGATTATATGAACTAAATGCATTATTGAGACACGGTTTTCGTTTGAAGATATGTAGAGACTCCAAAATTCTCAAATCCGAGCAGCCAGAAGTTGAACCGAGTATCCTGAAATCACTCTCAGGTACAGCCAAGTCCACTGTTCATATAAAGACATCTATCAGATCTATCAGACCAACTTTTTCCAACATGTCGCAACCCTGACCAATTCCTTGCAAATCGAAATAACAGTTCCCTAAAAAAACGCATAACGAACCACTCCGGAATTTCATTATCGGCATTTTATCTTAATTGTGGCCTAGTGGTTGCAGTTTTTTGAAGATTTGAGCAGAGAAGCGCGGGTTCGATCCCAGCTCTGTGCGCCAGTTTCTGGTCAGAATCGACAAGTAGGCCGGGCGGTTGAGCAAATCAAAATTGAAGCAGTAAGTTGTGAGTTCAAGCCGGCAACATGCTGAGGATGTTCTGCAACGTTAAGAATAGGCTCCCCACCACTTCACTCGCCCACTGGCGAGTAGACATCCGAGACGGTATTTTTATGGGGGGTTCCGTCCTCTGCCCCGATATTATATTACATTACATTACATTATTTTATATTATATTATATTATATTATTATTAATTAAAAAACGACTAAATAGTATAACATTGACGACGAAGCCCCACCTCTTTACTGGACCCTGGGTTTAGGTCGTACGAAGAAGTACATTAGTAATGAACTAGTCATAAATGGTTAGTAATTGTTATTGTGACAGACATCAATAATAGATATTGAAAACTCAATTATTTCCTGGGAATAATATCTATAGCATTATTTTAAAAAATTATGTATAACCGTAAATGATTAATGTTATGTCAGCGAATGCCAAAAAAAGATTCATCAACTATGTCAGGTATCAAAATTGACTCAAAATTCTGTGCAAATGAACCGCTACTATAAACAAATTTTAGTTGTAGTCATTCTCAGCCAATCAGGCGGCCATTAGTGGTAACTTGACCAACTATGGCCGTTCAACGGCCACTAAACTAAAAAAATTTATCAGTAGCCGTCACTCGCCACTAACCATGCATGAGGCCAATAGCCCGTAATAATCAGTGCAAATCAGTCGTCAGTTACGGTGGCTGCCACAAATAGAAATAAAATTTCTCATTCTCCTGCCCTCTTGGGGATTATGTATCGGTACAATAAAATTGAAAAAATTTTATACAATTTAATAAATAATTTTTAAAATAGTAATATGTTTATATAAATATAATAAAATATATATATGACAAATGAATATATGACGAATATAAATGTCAATAGTAATTTAAATGAAATATTAGAAAATCAGTATTATTTTTAAATCTAGTTACATTAATACGACGGCGGGATAATGTTAACACAATAGTAATATCTGCAACAAATTTCCTTGATTGGATTATACCGAATAATATTTTCACCTTGGTAATTGATATGTATTATGGGACATTCATTTTTGAGCAATTTTCAATGGGGTGCTGAGCTCATCCAGGGGACAGGTTTCAAAGAGCGAATAATTTATACGTATAACGCTAAACATAGATCAGTTGGGGTACTTAAAAGCGAATTTAATCATGAAAAAAATTCGAATGGTCATTATTGGGCACACGGCGCTGTTCGCTATGTCAGATTCAAGTTCACTGTTCAAGAGTGGGAACCCGGCACAGTACAACCCAGGTACGGCCCGTCTTGTAAGACCTACATAATAGCTCCCCATGCCTCGATGAGTAATTAAGTTTTTGCACAAGATTTTTTCCGCATTGCTGCAGTTTTGACGGCGAAAGGTTGTCTCGGGAGTAGAAAAATATCACTCCCTCTTTTACGTTCTCTTTGCCCGGCGCGGGTTTGGCTGTCGACGTTTGCATGTACGCGACGTCTTCCAGTTCACCGCTGCGGTAGAGGCGACAAGCTCTGACCCACGCAGAGTCATGGTGGGTTCCTTCAGGGAACTTCATCAACCATCTCGCATAATCTTCAAAATCGGCAGGATCCTCGATGTAATCCCCCACCACTTCAGTGACCCACTGGCGAGTAGACATCCGAGACGGTATTTTTATGGGGGGTTCCGTCCTCTGCCCCGATCTGGAAAGTATGACATATAAGATTATTTCAATTTTATCGCATGCCACACCTCACCTAAAATATTAGTGTTTTCCGACCAAAATATTTTCCTGTCTGGAAAATTTTCACTGCATGACCAACTTGTACAATCTTGCCCATTCTTCAATAATTGCCTGCTTAATCACCAATAAACAACATCATGACTTGCAACAACATCATTGGGGAGGCTGTTCCACATGTCGGTGATTCGAAGCGTCTTCTCGCTTCGAATCACCGACATGTGGAACAGCCTCCCCAATGACATCGTTGGCGCTCCAAGTATGAACGCGTTCAAGAACAGACTAGATAAAGCTATGGAAAAATATATGTTCAGATTTGAAATGCCTAGCTCCTTATCGAACCCGGTGGAAGTCTAGTAGCTACTTCAAACTATCGTCAGTCATGAAAAGATCCGGTCAAATGACACGAGTTTAGATCTATAGATGAACAAGGCACGAAAAGGAAAAGAATCGGCGACAGGCCACATCAGGCCTACACTTCAGCGCCGACATTACTATGTTATGTTATGTTATGACTTGCCATTAGCGCAATTGTAATGAATAGAATAGGTATTGTTACTTTGCAAATAATATATTTCATCAAATGCCAATGTTTTTCATTAACTTCCGAACTGTTCAACTCCGAACTAATTCCAGAACCCATTCGCGGTCTATAATATGCCCAACTCATGTCATAGTCTTCAAAAATGTTACCTTAGAAAGTAATTACCTTCACTAGTTTAATTACATTGGTTCCTAAACTTTTTACTCTCATCACCCCACTTAGAAAGTTTGTCTGTTCTTTTGACATTCACAAGATATTAAATAAAGCAACATTTTCAATTTTTAATGATTTCCATGTCTTCTTAACAAATATTACGTCAGATACGTTTCAATATGTATCACAATAACTACTGCAGGACCAACCAACCCGCACGTGTCTCGTATATGTGACAGTGCTGCATACGAATTCACGCTCAAACGAGAATCAGCATTGACAGTCATAGTAAACATAGTAATAAAATCGGAGTAGTTAAATAATCATTTTTATGAACTTTCATGAACTTGCTGAGTTAATTTCATTGGTTATGATATGGCGCAGCACCGCGGAAGGTTATAGTGCCCAAGCTGAGTGAATGAATTCTGGGTTTATCGGCTGTGACTACACTTTTGATGTTCCCCTTCGTTAAAAATAATTTGTACTATAACAAAATAGATGCCGGAAGCCTCAAGGTCGAAAAAAGTAGGCGACTTTAAATACCTCTGCTTTAAGTGGTCATACGTGGGCACGGGCATGCGGTACAGATAATTCTTCGTAGCTCCAGTAGCCTTTGTCCCGATCCTCGACTGGCCATCAGTCTTGTAGGCAACGAATCCGAAATCAACATTGAAATACTGCATTTTCTTCACCAGCTGCTGCCCGTATTGGAGAATTCGTTCGCGGTCCGTGTGAGGCCCACACGTGAAGCGTATTGCTCCGTATTCCGTCGTTCCTGAACGCTCGCACGGAGCGGCGGTCGACGTCTTGATGGAGATGATGCCAGGCAGCTCTCCAGCGCTGTAGAGCTCTACGGCCTTAGCCCACATGTCGTCCATGTAATCGTGGTTGAAGAACAGCATCCATTTGCCGCGCAAACTTTCGTCGAATATGTAATTTTTGGCAATAGCATCAATTTCCACAGTTATGGAATCCTCTTTAAATTCGCCCATGGGCTTCCTCGTTTCAGCCATCGTGACGGCTGCCGAATTAAAAAAAAATATTTTTGATGCTAAAACATTTGTTAAAGAATTTTCATATTGCCTAGAAATAATAATAGCTACTTCGAAAAGTTACTTCCACAGAAACGATTAACCATTTACTGTAATCTAAATTTCATTTAGAGCTCTAATATTCACTAATTGTTTTTTAAATTGATAATTCATCCATATCATTTTGAGATAGTATGATTGTAGGATCGATTGGTTTGCAGGAAAGAAAATATTCCAAACAATAAAAACTTTGGCGGAAATTCTATACCATCATCAACTGAGGATAGTTTCGTCTTTGTGTATGATTATGTGATGTAATTAATCATGTATTATCAGGAAGGCTAGAATTGCAAACTTCAAATGATGAGAGGATAAGGCAGTAAGTAGTTGGGTGATGAACCTGAAAATTCCTATTTATCGCTTCCAAGAATTTCTTGCTTTGTTTAAATCTCGAAGTGAAAAAAAAATAAATTCAATCTATGACGCAATCCCATTGAATACGACATGTATAACCTCTGCTCATTACCACTGACGGCGAAATCCACAAACAAGTTGGTGATGCTAATCGCGCAGGTCCTATACCGACAAATCACTACCGATATCTTTGCTATCTCTGCTGATTGGAAAATCGATTACCAGGTTTTCTTGATTGCACATTTGACTAAATTCTGATATATTATGTAGTTATGCATTTGGTGCCTCCATGTCTTAAATTATTTCGTCATTTTAGATTTAGGAACATTCACATTTAGCCTCAAGTATGTTTTTCGGTGGCTCTATGTGCATGGGTGTCGAAACGTGGTTCCTTTACGAGACGCAGTAATTCAAACCGTTTTATATCGAGATAGAAAATATAAAACTAGCCTAGGCCCCTTTTTTAGACTTCTATTTAGATTTTGCTTCTTTCTGGGGATTCTGTATTGCATTGTATTAATATGTGACTATATTGTCACATTCGAATTTACCTATTTATAGTTTTTATACTGAACTTATTGAACTTATTTTATTTCACGTTTTAGTTTATTTTTACCTGTTTAGCACCCTCATCATAATAGTCGTTTCATTCACTTCATGTTTTATTGTAACGTTATGTTGTTCGAATGAAATTAACATATTTTGTTTTATCGGTGAATTCTGAGATAGCGATAGGAAGACAAGCTGAAAGTTTAGGTCAATTTACCATGCAGTCACAGCTAATTTTATAACACACATCATGATGCATGTAAAGGAATTATATGGTTAAATATTTGTTGAATTTCATTGTCGCTTCTCATCAGGCTAATGCTCACATAAGGTTACCAAGGTTCATTAGAAAATGTCTGCCCAGTTATTAAGTTAAAGCTTATTATGTTAGCATTCACATAAACACACACTTACGTACTCACTGTTCCAACGTGTTAAGTAATCTGAAGTGTCAATTCACTCGGGACGACTCGCTCTCAACCACTGCTTGCGACTGATTGACCCAATGTGAACAGGAGCTGATGCAGCGAATAACAGAAGTTTCTACATATTATAGTGACCAGTTAGGAACGAGTTCAGAACAATTTTATGACGACCGATTGTGACAGACAGAATTGCCCAATCTGGCTCCGATTTCGGTGTATTTGCGCAACGGTATTTGGTGATTAAGCGTTTCATTTGATTTATAATTTCTATAATTTTTTAAAGAAAGATTATTTTCTTCAAAAACTTGCCGACTATTCTTGATTTGACGGATCATAATACTGTCCGTTTCATTCCTTATTCTGGGACGGTTTCTTCCCCCAGTCTTTTCCGGGAAAATTTTCGTCTCGTCCCGTGGTACCGTTTCACTTCGAGAAAATTATTCCGAGACGCGCAGGAGTCTTTCTGGGGCGATCCCGTGTTGGACAAAACCGTAGCTTTATAATTTCCAAAATTGAATATCTTTTTAACCCTTTGGTTACCAAAATATCTCGTGACACATGTAGTGGCAAATGGAGTCACATTCGATCCCAAAGTTATTTTGTTTTTAGATATTTACTTAAGATTGCAAATGCAAAAAAAAAATCGCGAATATTACCCATGGCAACTTTAAAGCTTTTTTCTACATATTCAATTCCTACATTTTATATTGATGAACAAAAAAACTTAAATGAAAGGTAACATAACTTCTGCAAGTAATTGAACATCCGAGCTCCTGGTATAAAAATTAATGGCTCGAGTTAAGACTCGGTCGAGTACAGGTAAGCAGCCAAATAATCATCCAGTCTGCTTTTTAAATGAAGGTGATCTATGTAGGCGCTTCTTCCATATGCCGTTTCACGTGTCCACCATCCTCTGGTTAAAGTAATACTTCTCGATTCCCTGGCTGGCAAATAGCTTTTTTAGTTTGTACGTGGCTATTAGGTAACAAATTGTGAAGTTTGGTTTCGGTTATATTGTGGAGCTAGCTTCAATGATCCATTGTTCTTGTCTACGACTGGCCGTTCGATTGAGTTCAATTTGATGGATGCAGTGGAATAATACTGGAGGTCAGATTAATGTGAAATTATCTCGTGCGTTGACGAACCATTATAGGCAAAAATATTCTCGAGTACTCAACTATATTTGGTCTGCAATAATGTTGGTCTGCAATAATGTTGCAAATTTGGTCTGCAATAATGTTGGTCTGCAAGAGGCAACCACGATAAAGTAAACAGTTATCACAGGACCTATGGCATAACCTTCGCACGTCCAGTGAGTAATTTCAATTCACTTTTATATTCTAGATAAGCATTTTCCACCCAGCATGTCTAATGCATTCCTAGTTTCCATTTCAATACTGTTCATTTAGCTAGGATTTCAGTTACCTAGAAAGTGTTCTTGAAAATAATTGTCGCTAACAAGGGCCATTAGATCAATTTAGATGCTACTGCCCTTCAAGATAAGCTCAGCGCGGCGCCTGCCGACTCCTGCGATGTCCTCTCTTGGATTAAATTGCAAATTTTCTTCCTCGCGCCCCCCTGGGAATTATTGGTGCAATAAAATGATGTAATTAATACAATTTAATAAATAGTAGGTAAATAATTCCTGATATAAACGTCAATGCTTTCATAACTGGTCTGTCTATCTAGATTAATATCACGGCATGATATTGTTAACACGGTGTTAATATCTGCAAAAAAACCCCTTATTGCGTTGAATTAAATTTTAACCGAAAGAAGGAGTAATGAGATATGAAATTTGAACAAATTTCACCGGGGTACACAGCTCTTTCTCGGGACAAGTTGCTAAAGGCGAATAATTCATAGGTAGAAGGCTAAACATGGTTCAGTAGAGATGCTGATGAATGAGTGTTAATGTGTAGGCATACGGCGCAGGGTTGAGTTCACTATTCAAGAGTGGGAACCCGGCACAGTACAACCCAGGTCCGGCCCGTCTTGTAAGACCCACATAATAGCTCCCTATGCCTCGATGAGTAATTAAGTTTTTGCACAAGATTTTTTCCGCATTGCTGCAATTTTGACGGCGAAAGGTTGTCTCGGGAGTAGAAAAATATTACTCCCTCTTTTACGTTCTCTTTGCCCGGCGCGGGTTTGGCTGTCGACGTTTGCATGTACGCGACGTCTTCCAGTTCTCCACTGCGGTAGAGGCGGCAAGCTCTCACCCATGCTGAGTCATGAGGGGTTCCTTTAGTGAAATGCGTGGTCCATCTCGCATAATCTTCAAGAACTGCAGGATCCTCGATGTAATCTCCCACCACTTCAGTGACCCACTGGCGAGTCCACATCCGCGACGGCACTTCTATGGGGGGTTCCGTCCTATTGCCCGATCTGAAAATTATGACATGTCAGCTCAATTTTGCCAAATTTTACCGCATGACGCATCTGAAGCTTTAAATATTTCATCACCTGAAAACATTAGCCTTTTCCGGCCTAAAAAATGTTTTAATTTCGGGCAAATTCCATTAAATATTTAAGCTATATAATGAGCCCGAGTAATTGCATAGGCACCATGATGGAAATACATGTCACTGACCAATTACAGAGACTGCTACTCATAATAGATAATTAGATATGGGAGTCTTCATGCCCCGTCAAGCGTGTTCAAATGTTTTCTTCCACTCCTAACATTAACAGTTATCCGAACTTTAATTTTTTTCTAAATTGCAAAAAAATTAGTAGAAAAACTTGACCTGGATGGACCTAACCCCTGTAGAAAGGTCTTTAGTAACGTAATGAAGGGTTATAGACACACCTAACCTTACCTAACTCTAACCTAACGAGGTTGGCGTTTTTTGGTGTCCGGTAGTGTAGTTCATTTATTTTCGTGTCCGGTTTTTAGGTGTTAACTTTTTGCAGAGTGCACAATCGGACGCGATTTTCTCCGGTTTTCCAACCCATGTCCGGTAAATGTAGTAATTGGACACAATATTCAGTACGGTAAAATGCGTTTAATTTGCCGACTTTCAGGTCTTAAGTAGATTATATTCATATATATCTCGAAATTATGAAAGCATTCACACGGTTAATATTTAAACGTAGGTGACGACGTAGAACATATGTACGGGTTCACGCGTATCATGGGTACCTATATACTATTCAAGACCGATTTTCAGAAACCCTGTCCATGCCTATCCATCTAGGAACATTGACTGCATGCAATTTAAAAACAAAGAATATGGTGCAGAAATTCGTCATATTTTTATAAAGGAAGAAGTTTCGGATTCTAGCTCCATCGTCAGTTCAACAAGCCTAGAAAGTAAATAAAATTATTTCATAATCTCTAATTCCCAGTCAGACATTAAAACGTAAAATTGACAAACAAACGACATATATCAGCCAAAAATAAGAAAAAAACTGGTCTATTTGTTAACAATCTCAAAGGGATGGGAACTGAGTGCAAAATTAAACATACGCTTCTGTATGAAATTAAAAAGGGATTCTTAAATTCATTAGTCAGAAAGACTGGTAGTACAAGCTAAAATTTTGAAGTCGCTGTCGGACCCAAGGACATGGCAATGCTCGGCTTTAATTAGAACTACTTAATGAGGAGGATGTGCAAGTAAATTCCTTGTTCGATGACTCATTTCTCTATACGACGTGACGCAAGCGCTTGCGTGCGTTCTTAAAAGTTGCGTGACGTCACACGCTGATGAGCATTAACCACAACTGTATTTGCGAACTAGAGACGATCGCATTAAGTCAGGGAGTGCATCTTCATACCTGAAGAAAGAGCTGATCTTTACATTTTTCACCAACAACATCCGGAGATTGACATTTGGAAAGTACTTCACGAAGAAAACTTTCAACTCGGTTCACATGCTGGGCCAAAGTATGGGAATGACCAGTAAACAACATTTCTATTATGACATTCAGGAGCAATCGCATTATATTGTTTGGACATAGATTTCTTAATTCGAGTAAACACTGGGTAAGACGCGAACCCATGCACTAAAACGACAAGGTATTGCGCAAAAAAATTCAGACCGAGCAGTGCGGTGTCCCGCTGTCCGACAGCGACTTCGAAATTTTAGCTTCCACTACCCGTCTTTCTGACTTACTAATTTTATAATCCCGTTCAATTTTCAAACAGATGCCTAGCTTAAATTCCGCCCTCAGTTCCCATACTTAGATTGTTAACAGATTGGCCGGTTTTACTGTGTTATTTTTGGCTGATTTGTTTACTTTTTTTACTACATTTGATTTACTTTTCAATTTAAGATTTTAGGTTTTAATGTCTCTGAATTTTAATTTTGGATTATAAAATGATTGTATTGTTTGTCGAACCGAATATTCAGCTGGACTCCGAAATGTTATCCTGTATAAAGGTATGGTTAATTCTGTTTCCTCTTCTTTGTTTTATGAATTCTCTGTTAATTTGCGATTTGAGCAATCAAGTGACTTTCGTACATTGACTGCATCTGTTGAGTAGAAATTAATGAATATTTCAAGCAACTCGGAAAATTAAGAAAAAACTATATGAAACCCTTGATCTAACGAATGCCAGTCGCGAGCAGACCTCTTATGATGGCCTCTAAAGCTCTACGCTAAATATAAGAAAAATATTTTAAATACCTCTGATCTAAATGATCATAGGTGGGCACGGGCATGCGGTACAGGTAATTCTTCGTAGCTCCAGTAGCCTTTGTCCCGATCCTCGACTGGCCATCAGTCTTGTAGGCAACGAATCCGAAATCAACATTGAAATACTGCATTTTCTTCACCAGCTGCTGCCCGTATTGGAGAATTCGTTCGCGGTCCGTGTGAGGCCCACACGTGAAGCGTATTGCTCCGTATTCCGTCGTACCAGAACGCTCGCACGGAGCGGCTGTTGACGTCTTGATGGAGATGATGCCGGGCAGCTCTCCAGCGCTGTAGAGCTCTACGGCCTTAGCCCACATGTCGTCCATGTAATCGTGGTTGAAGAACAACATCCATTTGCCGCGCAAACTTTCGTCGAATTTGTACTTAGAGGCGATGGCTTCAATTTCCAGCTTGACGAATTCCTCCTCAAATTCGTCCATGGGCTTCTTCTGCATGGCCATCTTGATGGCAGCTGAAAAAAATAATTCAGAAGAATTAATATATATTAAGAAAAAACATGGATATGAAAGTGCATAAACTCTTGTGTAGATGCTAGTGAAATAAACCGAATTATAATGTTAAATTGTGAACGTTATAGCCCTCCTTATAGTTTGTTACATACATGTAAATTGCAAAATAACGATAAATTACATCGTATTTTTTGGTGATATCATATTTCATTTATCAACATATTGGGTGTGGTGTTTCCTTAGTGGGTCTGAAATTCTGATTCGGGTTTGCATTTTTAGTGAAACGCAATTCTACATTCAGAAGTTTTTTATATTTGTACATTGCGATTTTGCGTTGAGTGCATAGAGGTATTGTGGAGTCAATGATCTAACAAAAACTATAGGTAAGGAGCTCATGCATAAAAACCGAAAATTATGTGATCAGTGAATTTTTTGTAAATAATTCAAGGCAATGGATGTTACTATAAAGCATGGAGAGAGCGACTTGAATTCAATCTTAGAAATGTTCATTCGTTTGTGAAAGGGTGGTAAATGAAGGTAGCCATTAGTTTTCGAATGTATTTATTATTTGGATATTTTGAATTTTTTGTGTGAGTACATGTGTGGGAATCATCCTGTCATTGTACTAGCGTATGTTATGGGGTTAAATCGTTTGCAAGTGCTATGTAACCTGTGTTGAATAAATATTATATAATTTAGGGAACGTTTAGTCGGATGTAAAAAGTGTAGGATAGAGAATCCTTTTGCGGTACTCCTGGGTGCACTTTGTGATTCAGACCCATTCGATTAATGAAGTATTCTGATGGATTTTGCTTGATCTCTCAAATAATAGATCTCTCTCGTTGTTTTGGAATTGCATGATAGTAAAATTCAGATAATGCTAATTTAACTTCTCTCGTTCATTACAGCATATATTGTAGCATTTTGTAAAGTTGAAGTCACGTGGTAGTCCCAGCCTGAGTTATGTGCAACTTCGTTCAAAGCACATTCCCTGCTTTGAAATAAATGTGCTTTGTTTCCCTGCTTGAAATAAATTTTTCTCAAAAAATCCTTAACCACCAATAGTTCATATGTCGTCAACAATAGAGTTTCGGTGCTCAGTACCAGCTTTTTTTAGCTGATGCTCGTTTCGATTTGATATTAATGGGCTTCCAACACTTTTACATTGGGGGCTTTCGTCTACTTACCATGCTTTGCACGCTGAATTCCAATTTTTACGCAATATCTCTCGCTTTCCGGCTAATCTAGTGTTTACCTAAATAAAGAATTTCATGTTTAAGCGGTGCAATGGGGTTGCTCCCATGCGTAACAGTAGGAATGATGTTGTGATAAGGAATGATAATGATGTGATAACAGTAGGAATGATGTGACTTTCCAATACTTCGGCCCTGCATCCGAAATATGTCAATGCTAAAACTTTTGTTCTCAAAGTACTTCCAAATGTTAATCTTCGTTTTTTTTTGGGGTGAACTATTTTAAAATCGGTTCTTTTTTTAGGTACAAAGATATCCTCCCTATGCATATGCGAGTGCCCCTAGTTTTTAATATAGTTGTGCACGATTTGTGCACAAGTTGTGCATTTCCGTACGTCGGGATGACGTCTAGCAATCTTTATTCTAGGATCGCACGACATAGGAGTAAGAGTGGTCTTACTATCACGTCTACATTGCTATCACTTACTATCGCGCCCCCCTCATTGGGCTGTACGCGCTCACGCCGAGCAGTACGATATTACAATTTCTGATAGTGACTTAAAGGTTTTAGCTTCCACTTCAGATTTTGCAATCTTGACTATACTAATTACTGATTTACCTGTGTTCTAGATTTTTCGAACTGACGATGGAGCTAGACTCCGAAAATTATTTATAAAGATAGTATGAATTTTTGTGGAGTTTTCTTTGCTTTTAAGTTTTAAGAAGTAGGAAGTAGACAGTTTAATAAAAATGTGAGCAATATGAGTTGACGTTTTTGCGAAATTATTCCTGATGGTAAGTGCATTTAATAAAAATATGCAACTGAAAAAGAGTGGATAATAGAATTGACCAATCAGAACAAGGAATTAAACGCTGATATGATTATTTTAATTCTACTTTAATTGACCCGGGTTTGTTTCTCGTAAAAAATTAATGCCGATCGTGGCAGATTCCCAAGAAAAAGTCATTTCGCCTGAATTCATACGGCACTATCTAAGTGAGATGCCTCTGCAAACATTTTTTTCTTTCTTCTAGTTGAAGAAAATGAGAATCTAAGAGCTACCAAGCTGTTGTGAATTTATCCATACAAAATTCCAACGAACTCATAAGTGAACACTACTAACTCATTTTTTTGCATCGAAAATCATTTCGTCTCCGAAAAAACTCATGACTATCTATGGTTCGTAAACTTTACCAGCGCATATTGAGCACATGACCTTACCCTGTCCAAAGATTCTTTTCGATTGAACAAAAGCTGTGTTGTTTAAATTTTTGGATTACTATTCATAATTAATGTACTTATAAAAATACTCACGTTAACGCGTTGACATACAAGAACGGGTTTCGGAACACTGCACCCCACACGGCGGACCGGACAGTTTTAAACTGCATACCGTGCTTTATTGAGCTCGTCAACTCGGGCGTTGCCAACGAACAGATGCTTGCACCACTTAACTACGAGTAGAGAACGCGTTTGGTACGAGATAAAAGTGGGCGAGTAATGCTCCATCAGGAAGTTTATGGTATAATTAACCATAATTTTGTAAGGAGAATCTAATTTTGCCGAAAGAATAAGAGATATGGCAGATTTTCAAAGTCTAGCAAATGAAAACATCTTCCATGATTAGATGTTTATTCCTAACTACAGTCAGATATATATGATAAGTGTACAGGTTCAGTTGACAAATGTATTTCAGACTTTCTATTGCATATTCAGACTTTTCATTTTTCTAAGTTCACTGATGGCATTTTATTTTTTTTGAATGGATACTACCCCTAAAATTATTAAATTGAGAGCTAAAAAAATGTGATCAATGCTACTCCCTCCCCCTGAGTTTTCACTGGTTTATTGTTCAACAATTCTTTCTAACGTAAACAATTTTTAATGCCCATCACGTTGTGGCGAGGATTTTTTTGCATTTTAACCTTCCGTTCTCAATTGAAACAGCAAAACTAGTTAATTCGACCGAGTCGGCACACCTCTTTCCTTCAATTTCTGACCAATAATTATGGAATTGAATGAATATTTTTATTTTTTAACTTGAATATAACCGTGCTAAATAATCTCTGTATAAACTCCGAGTTTCCAGCAAAATTAACTTTTTACCTCTCCGATTGTCATTCAAAACGATCAACAAATAGAATGATGGGCATAGATGTATATATATGAAACCACAAGCCAAATGTAATTTTATGGTGTATTACGTATGAATTGACAAAAAATTGAGATCCGTGCTTTGATAATTATCATGACTGATAAGCCAAATTTATTTGCTTAGTGAATTGCTTGCTTCACGTTTCAGAAAACATTGGCAGTGCGTAGAAGGTGCTGGAGGTGTTGGGCGGTGCGTTAGGTCATACTATACTGTCACAATCTATTGTAACAATCTTATTGTAACTAACCTATTCACAATCCGTATAACATATTCAAATATGATCATAACTCCGCACACACTTCCGCTCCGGCCTTTCACGCTACAATATTCTTTCCCATGTCGCTGCCTACCGCACTTTGCTTTCGGTAAGCACTGAACTAAACTTGACAATTTGCAGTTTCGAACAGTAAAATATTTATAAAATAAATATTATCGCCTAATAATATTACATGAATACTTCGATACTTAAACAAAAATTATTTCTATCCGCTACAATGTGGTTTTTTGCTCGCTACAGGACAGTGGGAGTTTATGGTTCATTTTGGTTAAAGATAAAATTTGGTTCGCGATAAGCAATTTATATGAAAATACTATTATGGCATGATATAACAATCAAATGTAAAATCGAGCTCCTCGCTTTCCTTTATAAATGTTCAATTCTAGAGCACTGTTACTGTCAGTTTATTATTAGTCATCAGATTCTTGTTGTTAGTGCACGCAATGAAAACGAGGAACACTACAGCTAATGTCTGTACTTGCACATGAACGAATTGTGATAAAACTGCAAACACAAATAAACTGAAAATTTATTCATTTGCCGGTTTTTAATTTAAAATAACATTATTCATGTTGCTGATAATCCGTTTGTTGCCACAGGAGCCCCATTGCCTTGTGCGAATCGTGACTGAGAAGAAGATATCGCCGACAGGACGTTACTCAGCAAGTCCAGGGATCTGGAGACGCAACAAATGAAGCTTTAAGATTATTCAATACAATCATGTAATTGAAGAACATTGCGATCCTGTATAATAACAATGGTACAGAAACACACTACAGATGTATTGACACAATCTTATATAATGCACTACAATGCGCGCATAGATCTGGAGACTAAAGACTAAAAAGAAAGAACGTTTGGTTTGATATCCGATTATTGAAGCATTACACAGTATTTTGCACAACAATGAGGTCCAAACAATAAAAGCAGAATAACACTGCATTGTTACGTGCGCATCATTTTCAGTATTTGTACCAGCAAGAATTGCATAAAATTGAAGTACATTCTCTCTGCTTTAGCATTTAATTCAAAGATCATGAGCTTGTGCCTGAAGCCCACTCTCGTCAGCCTCTCTAAGCCAGCCGTCATCAGGCCGCATGCACTGTTTGCTCCCCGGAACACAGGTACCCAGCTCAACCTTTACTGTCATTTCGAAGGTAACTCATTCCAGTCTTTAATATTTCGAAAATCATTGTTTCATGTTAATTTTGTAATTTTATTTCATAGTTTTGCCGACGCCCAACTACCATCGTGACTCACGGGTCAGGAGGCGCGAGGGAAAAGGAGCCGGATCGCTGCAGCAGCGGCGGTGGAACTCCACCTAAGAACAAATTTTTATTTGCATATTTGAAAGTTTGGGGATATAAAGTAGCAGTAACAACTCGTAAAGCTGTACTAAAAAAGCTGTTCTAATTATTCCAATATATTCGTGCTCATAACTTTTTGGGAAAGTTTCATAACTTCATAGTTCAAAATGTTATTAACCGTTAAGAGCTGCGAAGCCGAGCCTGCTGCCGACAGGCTTGTACTGATCGCGCGTGCCGTTGGAGACAGCGATGAAGAAGGTGATGATGTCGTAGAGCAGCACACCGATGCCGAGCAGGTAGCTGAACAGTGGGAATATAACCGTCTGCAGCGACACAGGGTTGAACATCAGCGCCATGATCTCCGCCGGGTCAGAGCTCGGCGTAGTTTCAGGGATCCCTGGCATTGTTACTGCTCAGGAAATGATGCTAACTAAGCTTAAGTCTTAATAAATAGTTGAAGCCTAGGGCAGCGGAAATAAGTTCTCAATTGATCAGAACTAGAGACAAAATAAAAAGATTGATCGGGCGAAGAAAGGGGGTGAAGCTACATTTGGGAAGTTATATCCACGCACGGAAAGACTCAAACTCATGGTTCACAGTTGGGTACAGTGAGACTCAAACATACTAAATACTTTTGAATTTAATTTTCTCATACTGCATGTTTTGGGTCGTTTGGCGGCTATAAAGTATATTAATGTTACATTCGTGCTATATTTCCATATCACATTTCACGCACAAAAAGTAATTGTGATGTAATTATAATGAAAATTAGCCAGAAATTTTGTAGGCTGGTTAGTGAATCCAATTCACATTCTCAAAGTATAATAGCGGCTTTAACCGCTTCCCTGCGCGGAATGTTGATAAACGGTACCAGTACCACTTCGCTGAACATTTTTCGAATATCATTTTACCCAACGCCAACTTGTCGAGCGCAACTCCGTTACTCACCTTCGTGATTTGAATGTTCCAGCACGACAAATGACGTCAAGGAAATTTGGGAAAGCTCCACTAGAGAAAATGCAAACTATCAAACGATCAATAACGGTTTTCGTGAGGTGGCTTCTGAAAAAGAAGTATTGTTCATCGTCACCTGAAGGTAAGCGTATTAAACAACCAATAAAATTGTAGGTTATATAATAGCGGTTTCAGCGTTTATTAGGCCGTAGGCCTGTCGACGATTCTTAACATCGCAGAACATTCACAGCATTTTGCGGTCTCGCACTCGCAAGTCACTGCTTCAATTCTGCTTTTGCTTAACCGCCCGGCCTCCTTGCCGATTCTGACCAGAAACTTGCGCACAGAGCTGGGATCGAACCCGCACCTCTCTGCGCCAATCTTGCTACTCTGACCTTTAACCACTGGGCCGCCCCGCAGAATAAAATACTTTCTCTGTCACAAATTCAAAATGGCAGAGTTTAATCAAATTCATAAGCAGCACCATCTATTTTACCGTAGGTGATGAGCTGCGTATGCTACTGTGGAAAAAACACTCCAGGGTTTAATTTGGAATTTGACAATTTCATAAAAAATATTCGTTTCGGGACAGCAAAATAAATTCCGGAAAGAGGTGTGCTTCTAATAAATTTCAATTAAATCAAATTATAAACCAAAGGCAGAAAACAGTTGATAAGTTGACATTAACGTTTTATTTAATTAAGAATAAAAAATTAAATTATTCTGCCCATAATTATTCTATGCGCATGTTATTTTAGAAATTATACGGTACTAATGAAGCCAAGTAATTAGTTAAAAAAATCGTAATTAGTCAAATTAATCCGAAAAATAGGTTCGTCTGCGATGCCACGAAGCCCGCAATGCAGTAACCCTATCGGCCATCACCAGTCTCTGATATACTCAGTTCAGACACAGCAACCTTCACTTTGTGATGAGACAATTCATTTAATTCATGAGTCAAGGGTACAAATCTATTCTTAATCACATTCAAACCGCGACCTCTTTTGTCGATATTGTGAATCTATAGGGTATAGTTCGTTGGTCAGCAATTGGTTGCACTCCGGAGGCATTGTGAGGAAGAAACGACCATCAGACATTGTCTTGCAGTCTACAATGAGATGAACGAGGCAGGCTGCTGCCTGTTCAATGCCATAGCTCGGCACTGAATCGTCAATACTCATAATTCCACGTACGTTTGGATGTTGTGAGAGCGTAGCATTTGGATCAATGATAGAGTCATACTCGTTTCATCTTTCATGGTTATTGGTTACATCTTACACGTGGATGATTGATGATTGAATCATCACTAGAGCGAATAATTAATAAAATTATGATTTGAAACTTTCCATTAAAGATTTAATACTTTTTTAAGTAACTATTTAACAATTAGTAATCATTCTAAATAACCATTAATTGGTGATAATGAATTCTGTTTGACGCATCACGCAGCTCAACTGAATCGGTTGGTTTAGTTACTCAAGTATTCCAGTTGTGAAACTACAAAATAGCGGCACTGATGTGAAGTTGCGAACTAAGGTGTACTCATGTGATCGGGTCTAGGCAACAGCTCGAGAATATTCTTGTAAGTATTCTCATCGAGAGAAGACTCGCGTTCCTTTCAGTAATGAGAAATCTATCTCGATGTCTGGTAACTAATTCTTGGTTCCGAGAAGTACGAAAATTTTTCATGAAAATTTTCACTTAGGCGTCTTCAATTTGATTACGCTTTAATTTTACTGTGCTGAAAATCTATCAGATAAGCATTTGCGGCCTACTCTCGTAATCGTATTTTACTACCCGAAGTTATAGCTATGCTGTGGAAAACGAACTTATCTTTTCGTGGTGACTTTAGTAACTCAAGTTCACGAATGTTTAATCCAACGAAGAGATTATCGATTGTCTTAGATGTATTTGTAGAGAATATACCAGTTTGAAATGGAAAGAACTGAAATAGCAGGCAATTTTTATTTATTAGATATTTAGATATACTCATATAGGTCTCCATGTTTACATTGCTAGGAGACGTAATAAAAATTAACAACCACGAATAACAAGGAATAATCGGCAATCTTTGTAAAAAAGAAACTCATAGACATGGAATACATTAAAAACTCATGCTTCTTAATGCAGGCGTGAATAATAGTTCACTGAAAACTACACCCGGATAAAAGTACACATATTGATCGGTACATGGCATCACATGTTATACATTGATAATGCTTAAATATTCCTAAAAAGGTTCATGGCTAATACAGTTTTAAACAAAAAAAAAGCTTGTATGCTCAGGGACATAACAGGACAGCCAAGATAGGCTAATAGTTTTAAACCAAAAAAAACAGCTTGTGTGCTCAGGGACATAACAGGACAGCCAAGATAGGCTAATACAGTTTTAAACCAATAAAAGCTTGTATGCTCAGGAACATAACAGGACAGCCAAGATAGGCTAGGGTCAGACAGAGTCGAGTTGTAGTGCAGCGCTGCAGCTCACGGCCAGACGTCGCACCGCCACCGGTGCGACATCTTCGGCGAGCTGCCATGACGCTTCTCGACACCACCGGAGCCTAGCCGATTTTGGCTGTCCTGTTAACCCCGATTTAAATATCTAGCAATTCGTGAAGAATACAAATATAGTAAGATAATGCATCCTGTTTACCTGGCGATTTTAATTCGTGACCATCAGCAAAACCAACATGGAGCACGATGACGTAGACATAAAACTCTAGTCTGCCCTACGTTTATCAAGTGAAGTATTAGATCCTTGCTGCTTTTTAATTATTTAAATATTAAAACACAGTCAGTATTAATTAGTTGAATGCACGGCACAAAAATCAGTTTAAAACATTGCATTGAACGATAAAACTGGATTGCACAAACTCAAGTTAGCTCTCGGTGAATTATCTCTTTCCCCTAGAGACGAATTGATTCAACGTCTTTAATATTTATAAATTTTGACGTTAAGTTTCTCTATACCAACTCAATTTATATGGATGAAGAAATCAATGAAATTTTTCAACATCTACACCGTGAAAATGAACAGCTTCAGCAAAAACAGCCGCCCAGGTTGGGAACTACTTCCCGGCGGTGGCCCACTTATCGCCGTACAAGCGCTGCAGGACGAGCTTCGCTGCTGCCTGCTTAGCGGTCCGCAAATTTTTCCCGCGGCCGGTAAGCCATTCTAAACCTTTGACCTGTAGAAGCAAAAAAAATATAACTCAGTACTCACTGCAGTGAGTGACAAAGAGCGCATTTTCTCGTCGACGAAAACTTGAGGTCACGGACAGACGGACAGACGGACGGACAGACAGACAGACAGACAGACGGACATGGCGAGCACAATAGTGCATTTTTTCCATAAATGAGAAAATGCGCTAAAAAGGGGGAATTATCAACACAAAAAGTCATTGTATATTTAAATAACATTCAACCTCGTGACCCAATTTTCAGGTGAATTTAGACTACTTGCAAATGATCTCAAAATACTTCAACAACCTGCTAATACTTCAAGAATTTGTATGTCTGCAGTAATGATCATTCTACTTGCAGAACGTGAGCCTTAGAAGCTACGGATGTTTTACTGATTTTATGAAACACGCGAGGCTGCAAGAGAATTTATGTAATTCATGTTTCCCATAAGAGACTTTAGATGTAGTAGTATCAAGTAGTTGTGTGGGTGCTATTTCTTGGAAATTCGGCGAATCAATGATGAGCTGTGACTATTTGAGAATTTTGGAGGAGCAAGTTCATCCAATAGTTCAAGCACTGTTCCCGGAGGGTATCGTCATCTTTAAAGATGATAATGCCCCGATCTATACAGCTGGAATTGTTGAAAAAATGGCACGAGGAACATTTTAATGAAGTTGAACATCTCATTTAGCCACCACAATCACCAGGCCTGAATATTATGGAGCATTTATGGTCGATTTTAGAGATGCAAGTCATAAGTCGATTCCAGCCGCTATGGTCTTTAAAAGAGCTGGAGGGAGTTTTAACTTATGAATGGGTTAAAAATCTTTGGAAACAATTCACAATTCGTAAATACCTCGCAGAATTGAGGCAGCAATTGCTGCAAAAGGTGGACCAACACTAGTATAGTAAAATATACTATATTGTGGATATCTCAGGTGTTTTCCTTATTTCGTCTAACCCCTGTAGTTGCTGACTGAAAGTACACTGGCATTTGGGGGAACAATGTGTTAAGTATTGCCTGCAACCAGCTGAATATTATCAGCACATAAAGTGTGGGAGTTTTAGTAAAAGTCGGTCACCAGACATGAGCAATGAGAGACTAGGTGCAACACAACAATAACTTACCTTAATCCTGAATTCGGCCAAACCGCCATCATTGAATTTTTCTTGGTTCTCAATGACGACATTCTCATGCATAAGGCGAACGCAGTCGATACCCACGCCGGCAAAATTGCGGTCGTTCTTCAGGTCAGGCATGAGACGTTGTATCAGTTCCCAGCACTTGTCCAAGGACAAGTCCGAGTCCAGGTAGACGGCACCTATGATGGCTTCGACCAGGTCACCCAAAGCTTTAGGTACCTCAACTTGATCGAGCGACTGTACGTCGTTCTCCATGTTCAATGCGGATGACGGACCATGTGCTTCAGTAGCTCCAGGCACAAAGTTTGACTCAGTGGTAGATGCAACACCATTTCGGCTTTCCCGTTCAACAAGATCGACAAAGATATTAACCACGCCGTGAAGTGTAGGACAGTGGTGCTGCAGGAACCTGTGCATGCCGCTCTTGACACAAGCGTGGGCTAGAGTGTCGTTGCGAACGAAGTGACATCTGATGTCCGTGATGCGGCCCGGAGAAAGCTCCCCAGCAGCCGCAAACACGTGGCCAGTCACAAGGAAATCGAGAACCGCGTCACCCAAAAACTCCAGCCGTTGGTAGTAGTCAGTAAACTGAAAAACAAAATCAGTTTTTGCCAATTCTTTGCTCTCATAACTGTACACCGTGCTAGATAATAATAGAACAACAAATTGCTAAGGACAGAAATACCAGAGTTACAGCAGATCAATGATCTTATTGTTACAAGTAATATTCAAGGCAGACACGAGAGAAACGTTTCTGGAGGAAACGTAGTTAATTTGACAGCAATCATAAATATAGACGTTTCTTAGGGAGGCACATAAAAAGCGCAACAACTGTATACTTTAGCTAGGCTAATATACGTATATTCTGTTGGAGCAACCAAGTTGTCCAGTAGTTGCTTAGCTGATTAAAGAAAAAAAAAGAGCAGTTTCAGTACCGCAACTATATTTAAATAATAAATACGTCGCTTAATAACACGGCTGTCGGCAAACCGATTCATCGCGCCAAGCTAGTTGATTTCTTTTTCAACTGAAACGTTCCATTCAAATAAATCTAACGCAATCAGTTCTTACGTGACACACCGTTTCAAAGTGATTATCTGCTTGATTGCGGTGAATGAAGTGCCAGTCCATACCTTATTTGTAGTGAAGGTTGGATGCGTGACGGCCTGCAAGAGGAAGCTCTTGTTGCGGAAGGAGTAGTGGAGGACGTCTTTTTCTAGTTGTTCGAGCCTGTAATGGTGGTAGAGCCGCAAAACCCCTCTGTCAGCATTACCCTGCGGTTAAAATTAATTTATTAGGTAACAAGATTACTCAACCGGTCCTAATTCATAATTACGATCATTTTGCAAAATCCTGCAACTAATGACAAATCATTGAGTAATGCAGGAAATTCAATAAACGAACGAAAGAAAAAAAAATAAAATTATACATTACACCTGACAATCCAACAAAAACAAAGTAGTTAGGAAGGTGTGTTAGTTCTGTATAGGAGCAGGCCATAATGACACCATATAAAGGCACAGAAAAGAAATATTTGTACAAACATGATGGGACTTGGGAGTGGTTAAAGTATGAAGACCCTCTATTATTATAGGCTCTATATGAAAGTACTAGCGGCCAGGACAACATTCAAATGTGTAAAGGGTTACTGGATTCTTCATTGGCCAGTAGCGCCTAAACCCGAGGCCAATTGGACGGTAAATAATGGCAGCTTCAATTCGACAGTTTTGCTGACCGCCAGTACTTTCCATGAATATTTATGCAGCAGTGGTACCTGGTCGTCATTGAGGTGCGGGAGGATGGCAGTTCGTGGCACCTGGACGGAAGCGTGCACAGGGAAGCCCAGAAGCAGCAGCAGGTGATGGGTGCTGCACAGCCCTGTGCTCAGCATCCAGGACCCCAGCAGCGCCTCCATGCTGTCCGCGACCTGTGACGTCAAAACCAATTTAGCGACTGACAGCTATTAAAAATTCTATTGGTGCACTGGTGATGAATCGATGAATTTTACTAAGCAACAATGTCTATGGACAACATTTACAAGAAAATATGATTTATTAATACCATTTTAAACGAGAAAACGGGTGAAATTCTTATGCACACAGATGCAAATTGATGAACAGAAATACAAATGAAAATAGGTCAAGAAAATTGATCGATAATGTACCATAAGTGACCGACGGTTTACTTGAAAAAGAACGATGAAAACTAAACCTTCTTAACATCCCATGGATACGCCTTTCAAGAATCCATGTGCACATTTTCCCCCAAGAATATAAACTCGCAGCGAGCCAAAAAACACAAAATTTTCCATTTGAAATTATTAATTTCAAATTGAAGCGATAGTTTTCTAAACACAAGGCAATTTTAGTCAAGCAAAAATACTGAGATGAGCTCACCATCTTGTCAGGGACGGACTGCTCAGCCCAGGGATCGTAGCAGCCGCAGTCAGATTTGTCCAATGAGTCTTCTGCATCGCTGGGCTGTCAACAGAAAATATTTATATACATAAATTATTATAATAATATTAGGCTGCTCTTTGCCAGACTTTACCAACTATCACCAGAAATATATTGTAGATGAACAATAGAACATGGATCACTACCTTCTACTTTATAAGTGACAGGCCAATTAATTCCGTGACGAACATGAACTTCAATATTAAACAAGAACGCAGCTACCAGCAGTAATGTTTCACACGGCACTTGTCCTGCCCGGCGAATAATTTTCATACGGCCACGAAATTCCTTACTGGGTCTTACATTCAATTTTTTTTTCGAACTCTTGTTAGTTTGCTTGCTGTCTTTTATGAAGAGGTGATTTATGAGAAAAATATCTTAGAATAATGTTACGCAAGATATATGAATTATATTTTACGTGAAATAAACCAATACAAGGTGAATAATATAAATTTTGCGGATTAGCAAGTATTTGCTATACTTTGAGTGCATACTACCTAACTACTAGGACTGATCTATAGCAGAACAGAGCAGTCTACAACGATAGAAAGCAAATAATTATTGCCTGATGGACAATGCTACCAGTTCGATTTACTTTATTGTAGCACCAAACTCGTCCTTATTAAAGAAGACTCTCATATTATAACGACATCAAGAAATTCAGGAACGCATCATAGCTCCCAATGTATCGTGGTCAACATCAAAGCACGAAACTTTTCGATCCGCCCAAATAAGTGCATCTATTTAGTCTAGAACACAAGTAAGTCTCCTTTAAAAAAAATTCAGTCAATTTATAGAAGGCAGATAATGATGAATAAATACGCTTTAGGATGCATGGTAAATGAATGCATTTGAACAGCTACAGGTTTGTCAGGTTGTGATGTCATTACTGACTATTACGTCACCTTCTGTGACGTCACTACTCGTGGCTCACCGCGTATATAAGCTGAGAAAGCGCACTGTTAGTCAGTCCCAGCAGAGTCTCAGTCTTAGGCAGACAGCCTTCAGCTGCAGTCATGCAGACTCCGGCACTCAGACCAATATGTAGTGTCGTTAACTCTATCTCCCAATCTACTGCACATACTGTGCTTGATCCTGTAACTTCTATCGAGTGTATCCCATGAACCTTTCTTCAATACTTAAGCTTAGATACACGACTTGTTATTTATCCTTCCCTGGCCGATGAGTATTTAATCTGTTATTCGGACAATTTATAAATGAACCAAAACCCCTCAGGTCTATCTACGTCTAATTAGTAGATCAGACAGATCCATTCAAGATTATGACTGTCAACCCAGAACAGAGTTATTCATAACTTTGACAGGTTCGAGCTATCTTTTTATTCTCCATCCCCGATGCTATCACTACTTTCTTGTGCAGCGTCACTAGAAAGCGACAGCGGCTACCGGTTAAAGTACAACGATTGCTACTTAGTGATTATATCAAGATTTTGGATGTTGTAGCCCTTCAAAGTAATAAGATTCCAGGAAAACTGAGCAATAAGAGGAAGTTAGTAAACAATAAATTTAATACCAAACGAGAAGGGGGAAACAAACAACGGAATGTAAGTTAATGGTAATACGAGTCCCGTAACACAAAAACTGAGCAATAAGAGGAAGTTAGTATTTAGTCTGACCGAGTAGCAATGCCAGCGCTCATGAGACAACCCCCGCTGCAAGAGAGTCTCCTTCACGGTGCGCTTCACAGAGAAGCCTGGCGCAGGACCGCTCTCTCGCGGCGCCAGCTTCGTTGCCTGTCATGGAAAACATTCTTGAGGTATAATTCAGATTATAATCAATTGCCAACCGTCCTATCATGTACCAACCTCAATTGCCAACCATCCGATTATGTACCAACCTTTACTCTATTTAGGTTCTAGCGGCATTGTTAAGAAATTGTGGTAATTTCATCTCATTGCATATCGTCCTGATTTGGATACACATTTAGTTCATTTAGTTGTTTGACAACTTCATCCATTAGGCTGAAAATGTTTTCAGGTTTTTGAAAATATTTATGTTCAGAGTACGGTAAGGCAGATGTGAAAAACAAAAAGCCTAAACTTACGTAGATTTACACAACAGTCATAATTTTGAACCAGGAGTGTCTTTTTTCCATACGATGAGCCTAAATCTTCATAGCAGTGCACGAAAGAAACAGTCGAGTGAGTACCAACGATCAACACAATTGGCAACAAAATCCATCATTAAACAGATAAGAAGGTACTTTCTTGTCAATAAATACCAGGGGCCATACTTTCAAAAAAGTTAAGAGATCGTAAGTACATCAGCCAATCAAAGACGGCCTTTCAAGCAAAATCCACCAATCATAGACAAGAAAATAGAGCGTAAGTACTTACGTTCACTTAGCGAGTTTTGAAAGTATGGCCCCTGTACATAGATGAGGTAACGACGAGAACCCACCTGCAGGAAGGAAGGCAGCGCTATTCTCTTGCCAAGCTTGTAGAGTGTGCTGTTGGACACAAACTGCGACCTGGCAAGACATCAACATCATGAGACATGGTCACGTTGGTGGCAAGTATGTAGGTTTATTAGGAACTCACGTCAAGTTGAAGAGAACAAAATGAATTGCAGCGGTAGCCACAAGGGCATCACAGTGGCATTCAAGTATCATACAGAAAAATTTCATTAAAACATCAACAACATAATACACATATTCCAAGCAGTTTCACTGGTGTTCTGTTGCTTCAATTTAGAAGTATCAGGAAAATGTAGTCAAGAGTTTTGACTTTCTTTTAATTGATAATTACCTGTGGGCAGTGAGTTTGCCTTCGTGCCACTGAGGGTACTGTAGGAAAAGCAGCTGTCCTAAATGGAACTTTAGAAAGCTGTCGCCGAGGACTTCAACGCGTTCAAAGTTGAAGCAATCCATCGTCTTGAGCGGCGTGAGCGCCTGCAGTACGTGCAAGATGGGGACGTCCATAGCGAGAGCAGAGTTATGGCCCGGCACCACAACGTTGTTGAAGTAATCGAAGCGCATGTCATCTTTGCACGCGAGTGCCACGCACAAGTTGCCCGACGGGTGGAGCTGCAGTGCGTCGCGGATGGCTCGCTCGCACCAGTCATACTGAAGCAGCCGCGTACAGTCTGGGTTCACGCGCGTTACAGTCTGCACGCCCCGATTCCCTTCATACAGAGTTCCTTGAAGGTTGCTGTTCATTTGTCCGATCTTCGTGATCAGATCGGACGCTAAGCTCAAGCCATTCAAACGCTGCAGGATGGACGGCAAGAGGCACGCTTGGAAGTACAGGTGTGCTGGTATAGGTAGAACGTAACACAGTTCAGGAGCCAGCCTAGGGTGCTCTCCACCACGCTTCTTCAACTTTTCTGGGACTGGAGCCAGGCAGTTCAGTTCAGCAGGCACATGCCGGCATTCGAGCATACATTGTTCTTCACTGAGGTCAAGTTTGTATTTCCCTTTAAAATACTCACTGTAGTTCAGGCCTTTAGTGATCTTAGAGTCAATTTTTGTAGAAGGAGTTTCTTTAGTTACCCGGTAGACTGAGTAAACTTGTTTAGATTTGTACAGCGGAACAACAATGGCATCTTCGTAAGCACACTCGTTGTAAACAAAGCGTTTGCGGGCGTCCTTGGAAGGCATCACCAGCTTTAGTTGGTCGCTCGTAACAACGGAGCAGATGAGTGATCCATCTATTTCTGCGCCGTTCAGCAGAGGAACCACCAAACAACGCCACTCACTTTCTTCGCTTTGCTCCATAACTTCGCTGCGAATGTCAAGCATAAAGCCGAACAAAAATTTGTTGAACGCTTTGATATTTTCCAGGTCGGCAGCTGACAAACTGAAGGACTTCACAAGTTCCGTACTCACCTTGATTTGCCCCCACTTGTTATTGTAGAGAGGGAAAGTGGCAGGCACGATGGGTTGACCAGTGCAGAGACCCAAGCTGTAGTCGCCATCGAACTTCTCACAGTTCTCTACTCGAACTGCATGATCGAGGCGCAGGCGGTACAAATAACAGGCGCCCACAGTTTTTGGCTCAGTTGAAAAAGCCTCGCAAACGCTTCGTTTGTAGATCTGGCGACGCTTCTTCGAACCAACTTTCCCGCGAACGTCGTCCTCCTCATCATCGTCGCCAATGATGGATTTCATCATCTCTTCGCAGATCTTAGGTTTCTTGAGGGGCATTAGCGAATCATTAAGCTCACCACACTCGTGAAGCAACCGACACATCTCCAGGGCGACCTGCTTTTTGGCCCATTCACGATTTTCCATGGGCTTTCCTCTGATTGTGTGCTTACACGGTGAACTGAGAGGCAGTTCCAGTGTAGCTACGAAGAGTTCATCCACCTCACGAACAACGATTTTAGGCGCAAGTGAGGTGAAGCGATCATGTGGCAGCTGATCGCAATACTTGTAAATCACAGTCAAGCAAGACGCCGAAGTGATGCGAGGCCCCTTTAAGCCGGATGGCATGTACGGTGGCAGGAGGTCATCATTAAAAGACTTTAATATTTCTTCTGGCAGGGGATGAGCTCTATTTCGACATACATGCCGGAACTCTTTCTCCAAACTGCGGTAAAGTTCGAGCTCACCGGGCAGTTTGCTATCAGGGCCGACCAGCAAGGCATACATCGAGTCCTCGGCACGCGCTCGACCTTTCGATTGAACAAAGGACCGAAAGTTTCCAGGCTCATCAAAGCGAACCACAAGATTGCACTTTCGAATGTCGACGCCTTCCTCCAAGACACTGGTGCAAACGAGAACGTTAAATTCACCTGCACGGAAAGCATTCAGAGTCTCAGTTTGTTTAGCAAGACTTCTACACGAACGAGCTATGTCGCTCGAAGAGCGTCCGCCGGCATTGCATCCAACGACGCAACGAGCATTAATGTCTTTGTAGACGCCGCCTCTTGATTGCAATTTCTTCAGAAGTTCAGTGAGTAGGAAAGCGGTAGCTCGGGTTTTCACGAACACGAGAGCGTATATCTCACAATTCTGGGAAGTGAGCCGCAACAACTCAAGAAACTTGGCGACATGGTGGCTCATGTACGGCTCGAGGTCGTCGTAAAGTACCTCGGCCTCGCGACACACTTTCTGGATTGGTTCAAGTCGTGCTTGAATAACTATCAATAAATAGCGGAGATCTGTGACTTCTTCTTCAGCTTCTTCCTCGAAATTTTCAATCTCATACTTGATGGCCTGACTTCCGCACCATTCACCCAGGTCTTCAATGGCGATCCCTATGTTCCGAAGGACACGACATAGGAGCTTCTTTTCTTTGCGGTCAAATTCCTTATTCTCAAATTCTGTCATCATGCTGTTCAATTTGCTCACCACTGTTTTACAGTGGTCTGATAGAGGAGAAAACCTTTGATTATCATAGCAGATTACGATCTCCCGGGGCTTTGTAGTGAACTTCAGCACCTCCTCGTGATGCACAGTTGTTATAAGATGGCATCCCATGGTTTCTTCGAGATCCGAGAAGAGTTTAGTTAGCTCGTGAGCTTTACATTTCTTCTGGATGACGGAGGCAGTCAGGCCAAGTATCCGGGGAGTGTTGGCCGGAGTGAGAGTGTGGTAAAGGGAATAGTAATGCCTCATGATTTCGCGCATGGGGTGGTTGCCAGTCGCATGATGGCATTCATCCACAATCAACAGATTCACCTGAACAGAAAACCAGACACAATTAACAAAAAAAAAATTTACAATCGTGTGCTAGAATTCCGATAAGGATATACAGATCAATTAGCCATTTCGATAAGGATATACAGATCAATTAGCCATTTCGATAAGGATATACAGATCAATTAGCCATTTCGATAAGGATATACCGTACAGATCAATCAGCCAAATATATAAACTCATTCCTGAACAGTAATTACATCAATTCGCGGTAGGAACAGGTTTCTGTGATGAATATTTGTGACTATTTACGTGCCTAACAATCGTTTATAACAATCTTTATATAATTGATGCCCAGATATTACCTGGTCCCAGGAGATGAAGTGCTTGTTCAGCATATCAAGGAATATCTGGCTCACCATCACCAGAACTTCATTTTCCCGCATCTCTTGAAGCCACTGTGACCGTGCAAATAATGATATTTATCAACAGTCAATAATTATGTACGGAACGAATTTCGTCAGAAATGAATAGGTCAAATTGTCAGATAACTGAACGGAGAAACTTGTAGCAAAAGAAGCCTTTTTGAGACATAGGTCACCGCAAGAATGAATTATAAAGGAGTCAGTAATTCTGCCTACACGTCGTCAATGTCGTCAACCTAACCCCACAACTGCCTTGCCTACACGACATTGTAACCCCACAACTGCCTTGCCTACACGACATTGTAACTCCACAACTGCCTTGCCTACACGACATTGTAACCTCACAACTGCCTTGCCTACACGACATTGTAACCTCACAACTGCCTTGCCTACACGACATTGTAACCCCACAACTCAGACTCATTGACAGACTTGGAGGTGTGGTTTTCAGGGAACAATATCCATAGAACACAGAAGAGTCACACATTAGACCATTAAAACAAATGAGAAGTAAAAAAACATTAAATCAGAACGATATCAAGCTAAAACCCAACAAACAAATTTATATTTTAAAAATACTGTGAAGTTAAACAATATTCACAAGTAAGAAGTGAACAATGAAAGCATTAATATTGATCAGTGAAAGAGCAGGTATATCAGGATGACTAATTTTCAAGGTAATGTAGCTTTTTAATGGTAAGAGGCACCTCATGAGTACCCAGCGTTTACGAATTGTAAACAGGAAATATGCTGCATTGAGCTAAATTGAACTTAAAATCATTCTTGTGCCAATGCTTACGCAATGATTATTCTCCATCACAAAAAAAATTTGAATTCAAGAAAGGTCCATCACGAGCACTGCAGATTTAGCAAGCTATTACTAAATTGCAAATTTTGTGCATAGAATATTGATCACAAAATGTAGAGAGCATGAAATGTTCATTAGTATCCTAGCAAATTGGATGGTCATATAGACATCAAGGCACATCAATTAAAAAAATGGCTTTTTGGATTTAATTTCAAGATATTGTTGTAATAGAATTAATTGATGTCAATTAGTCACAGATGGATAAAAATGGATAGCAAGTATCACTGAATGATGCATAAATGATGAGGTCATTAGTAACTCATAGCTACATCATAGGCATAGCTGATCAAAATAAGTTCAACTGCCACGACGGTGACAGTGAGCTGCTTTCGAAATACATGATACCATGTATTACATACTGCTACATGGCACATGCCATATATTACCAGAGCTGGGCAGCGCTACTTTGAAATGTAGCGGCCGCTACCGTTACATGCTCTAAGTGTAGCGGGCGCTACCGCTACCGCTACAATTGCTTAAATGTAGCGCCGCTACCGCTACCGCTACATGTAGCGCCCTACTGCCCACCTCTGTACAGTATTACATACTACAACAAGTTACATACTAACTACTACATAGCACCATACATTACATACTACTACATGGCACATACATACTACATGGCCCTATATACATTACATACGATTACATTTTAAAATCCCACATCAAAGGTAATAAAACTAACCAACTACTTTTATCATTTCAATGATGCATTTACAGAGAATTTCTAAATATATTATAATGTATTTTTCAGTGCCTGTCAAAACTTGAATATCTACACAAATTCTGGTCTAACCTAAATTTGGATTACATAGTTGAGAATAATTTCAACATAAATTTAGGAGTATCAAATATTCACTGTTAAAAATATGATGTAAATTTGATTGAATATAAGATATTAGCAGGCATTGAACAGAGTGAAATTACCTTTTCTTCGTTCCAACTGTCAACATTCATGCTGCCATCATATTGAGCCACCTTAAAGCCGCCAAGATGCTCTCGTATTGCCTTGGCCTGTTGCCGCACCAAGGGCACGGTGTTTGCAACCATTATTGTGCGCTTGGCTTTAACAGGGAAATCGCCACGTAGCTGCAACACAACAAACAATTCAACTATGCATCAAAATATCTTTTAAAGTCATTAAATCCACCTATGAATTATTATAAGGTGGTTATAAATTATAAATTATAATTATTATAGCACTTGAAACTTTAATGTCACTCACCCAGGAGTGAAAATATATTTGTACTCATTAGGATCCTCTGCATTTAGAAAGAAGTTTTAATTTTTCAGCAAATACTTTGTAATTAATACACATTTTAGCCATAGATAAGAACTATCTTGTATTGTTTGGGACCCAAAACAATGATGTTGCCAAATATGATCTGGTGGTCAATAACAAATATCTAACACAAAAGGAGAGCCAGTTGTGCATAGGCAATTTTCCTACCTCATTAGCAAGGTGTTTGATGAGTAGGATGGCGATGAAAGTTTTCCCTGAACCTGTTCCCAGGACCAGGATGGAGTTATTGCTTTTGGCATGTTCATAGAGCTCCAGCTGGTAGTTGCGGGCTCTGTGGGCCTGTGACTCGTAGTCAATGTTCTCCTGCAAAAAAGCTAAAATTTATAAGAGGTAATTAAATGACAAAAATATGCTGAACACTACATCTTATTACCAAGAGCTTTGAGTCAGTATACCACACACACATCAGCATTATACCATGTATGGTGTGTCACAACAAATGATCTCAACAAATATGTCAATCATCACTTCTTGGTTGCCAATGAGGGACATTGACAAACGATAATAGGTAAAGTTTTGTTATAACATAGTTGCATCAATGTCAGAGCTATAGATTATAGTGCAGTAATAATTCAATTGATTCATTAGTTTAGAAAGGACACTAAATTAATCTGAAACATACAAACATGCCTTCAAAATAATCTAACAATCACCCAATGTCAATGCTTTATCATTCAAATGAAGATTCCATAGCTACCAGAACAAGAACTTATTTTTCCTATAGATCCAGATCAAAGGAATCAACATGTCAAGAGCAATGCCTGTTTGGAAAAATGAATCAACTGCTCTCACAATTAATCATGAAGATAATAGAAATTCACTCAATTAGAACATAAATTTTACATTAACATTTACTATCATACATACATTCATACTTTAGCATCCCTATTATTACAAGAAGTAGATTGCACAAGAAATTAAACTGTGTTATTAGGGGTAGACATAGAAGAAGTTTGATGTATGATATTATCACAAAAATTTTCTCCTAAGGCCCTAAGCCCCTAACTGTTGCTAAGTGCAGAGGAACTGCGGCCGGAAGAAGCCTAAAACATTGTATTATCTCATACCCATTTTGAGTCCCCATTGAAAAGCTAGAATTTGCAAGATTTTTTTCAATAATAGCTAGCACATGTTTGCATTTTAAAATATATCACACTAAAAAAGGAAAAATTATTTCCACAATAAAATCTTTCCCTCCCCATCCCAGCTCAGAAAGAAGTTTCCTAAACAATTTTTAAGTAACTAGTACTATATGCCACTAATTGTAGAAATATTACAAAAAAACACACCATAACTTACCTCTTCTTCTGGAGTTTCATCATCGCCAACTTCAAAAAATTCTTCATACTCCATATCGAAAGCAGGGAACTGGAACAACATGCATCAACTTGATCAAGTATTCAAAAATGAAAAACATTGATTCAAGTAAAGCTAATAACTTAAAACAATAGATCATAGGCTAATAAAAAAAGCAGAAGTGCAAATATTAGTACAATAGATCAACTACTACAACTACTATATTCATTATTTTTGAAAGGATACTCATAGTCAAACACAGTAACACAGACACATAGCGCTACATAATAATAATACCAGTTTTAGCATTTAGTAGGCTGTGTGCCTGTTGCCAAAGCCAATTCCTAACATTGCAGAACATTCTGCATTCACACAGGGACACAGCATTTTGCAGTTTCGAACTTGCAATTCAATGCTACAATTCTGCTGTGCTTAACTGCCTGCGCCTGGCCTCCTTGCCAATTCTGACCAGAAACTGGCATACAGAGCTGGGATCAAACCCTGTCCTCTCTTCTCCAATCCTGGTAGCCTACTCTGAGCTTTAACCCTAAAACCTGTCAGTGTCAGATTCAGATGAGCTATTTGACAATAACTAAATTTATTCATTATTATTATTTATTTATTATTCTTCATACGCTGGATCACTCTTGTTTTGGCTATGTCAGACAATCAGATCAGATCATCAGCAACAGCAAGCAGTCATTTAATAATATAATGTAGATAAATATCAATAGATTTCCAATTCTCATGATAAAGGTAAGGGAAAATACTCAAAATAGTATTAAACATGTTGTTAGTGTTAGGTATGCTAATTTCCTAAAATTAGAAATTAAACAAAATGAAAATGGTCTAGTCCTTTAAAACTGGATTTTTAAATCACCTGTGGAACTTGGAAGACTAAACAACTACAGGTATAACCGAACCGAATTCTCAAGTTAGGTATACTAAATTTTACTCACCAATGAATTTAAATCGACCAATTTGTTGAATGCGGACACCTCGTAACTCTAACTGCGAATACTAGTAGTTAAATTAAGCATCGAGTCAAAACTATCCCTCAATTTAAACCTTACCAGCAATCCAACACATTGAACACAGGCTACACAGCCCGACAGCCGTCACTACTCACTATAAGCTCTAGCACCAACTCCCAGATGACTCGTCAGCAGCTTACTCATTTATACTGTTTGAGACGCGTTTCGTTCTCGTTTCGTTCGAAGAACGAGTTGAGTTTAATTTAAACAAAATAAGTTTTAGTTGTGTTTGAAGACTATCGGTTTCCACTAAAATTATCTATGCTGTACAGTATTGAAAAATGTTAATCGTTCATTTGCATGAATATTTCTGTCAAATTATTGAAAACTTAGATCAAACCCTTCGAGCTTCTTTCTCGTTTAAAACAACGTCTTAAAAACACGCGTTTTAAAACAGGGAACTGGCAGGGCAGAATGTATTCAAAACAATTTTCCTCTGTTATTAGGGACTAGTAAATAATATTTTATTCGATTGTACTAAACTAAGATACAAAATTTGAAGGGAACTTAAATACCAAATTTCATGAGATGAGCATGTCATAAGTGAACGAACTGGAACTTATTTTCGACGAGATTTCGATCGAACGAGACGTTCAATATTGTGTAACTAAAAACGAACTTTGTATGTGTACAAAAGTTTCTAAATGGCCATTATATAGTTAAAACGTTGATATGACAATTTTGTTGACGTTTATCGTAACAAAATTTAGGATATATTATAACAACGGCGATTTCATAATTGTACCACTCTTAGCTGCCGAAAATTAGGCAGCAGCATCTAAAGCCCCGTCCACACGTTCAAACTTATCGTCAGTCTTGCGTGTCATGCCAGGTTTGACTGACAAGACGCTCAAAGTTTGACGTCTTGCATGACGGGTGGGCGGAGCTTGAGGTTTGACTAACCTGGAAAAGACGGACGGGTGAGATTTGGGTTCATGTAAAGCCCCGTCCACACGTTCAAACTTATCGTCAGTCTTGCGTGTCATGCCAGGTTTGACCGACAAGACGCTCAAAGTTTGACGTCTTGCATGACCGATTCGACACTTCAGCGAACTCGCGTGCGAACTGGCCTGCGAACTCGAATGCAAACCTAACTTCATTTTCAACTGTGGCACTCATAAATCCTTCAATTATGAACGGATTTTATTCAAATTTCAAATATAAGTAGATAATATCAGTATTTTGCGGGGGGAATTTTTTCAGATTTTTATATCAATAACTTTTTTGTTAATACGGAAAACCTAACTTCATTTTCAACTGTGGCACTCATAACTCCTTCAATTATGAACGGATTTTATTAAAATTTAAATAAGGTCTCGCCCGTCCGTCTTTTCCAGGTTTGTCAAATCTCAAACTCCGCCCACCCGTCATGCAAGACGTCAAACTTTGAGCGTCCACACGCTCCGTTTTGTCGGTCAAACCTGGCATGACATGCAAGACTGACGATAAGTTTGAACGTGTGGACGGGGCTTTAGACTGACGATATGTTTGAACGTGTGGACGGGCAACCGACTAATTGGTCAAACTTTTACTCTATCTCAGTCTATATTGATGATGAGAGCTGTGACATTGTTCCTCGCTAGCTCTAGTTTTTCATATCCCAGGATATCCGACATTGGTTTCGCGATGTATTTTGGTGAGTTTATGGAGTTATATCGTAGTTTCCCATGTTATGGTAAATTCGATCGAAAAGCTACAGTGACAAGAACAAGAGAGCGCTGGCCAATGCGGCATTGATCGCTAAGTGCAAAGAAGTTGATCATACAGCAAACAAAGACTTTGTAACGAAGAAAATAAAATCTTTATCGAAAAGAATGTGCCAAAATGAAGTCGTCAATGCTGTCTGGTAGGTATGCTGTCTATCAACCTCATTGTATTTTTTTTTTAACCATTTTCGGGACCACCGCGTACGTTTGCATCGCTTTAACCTAATTATGGTGGCACAAACTGCGCTCACTGCAGCGAGCAGCACTAGCTCCTCCATTGCCGCGAACGCACTAAAAACTGAAGGAAAGTTTGAGCGTGTGGACGCTCTTCAGTCTTCCGTCAAAATCGCTCAAACCTGGCATGACATGCAAGACTGACGATAAGTTTGAACGTGTGGACGGAGCTTAACACTTTCTGCAATGCTTTGGTTGCATCACGCTCTGGACCTTCAGTTAGGCTTTACAGACTTTCTTCGTGGACTGTGCAAATGCTGCTTTCCATAGCATCTTGGTTTCTGAATCAGACAGAATGTAACTCAAGTGTTGAACTGTTGATGCATTACTTGATCCTGCTGCACGCCTTTTTTGACCGCACTGTCTAGCGATTCGCCTGCATTGCTACGGCTCCGTAATAGGCCCAGTATTAAAATCAACGGTAAGTGTTCGACTCTTCACATATCATCGTAATAGCCCAAAACAATTTCCTTGAAATAAATTTTCTTTGACCGTAAATTCATAAAGAGCTGCTACAACAAGTTCGATGGGATAAATATTCAACTGACTCTACCGGACCAAGCACAAACTTGTAGAAACAAACCTGCACTGATGCAATGATTAATTTTAATTAGATCAATAGGATAAAATTAAACCCATTAGGTAATTTGCGCATAGTTTCGCTGTTGCGTAAAGTAATGCATTGTTTTTTTAAGTGAAGTCTTTGGGAATAAAAGGAAATGTTCTTCTGATTAAAGAGATGTTTTTCTCGGTGGTTGTGGATGGAAATTTATAACGTTATTGAAGATTTCGGGACGTATTTCTGAATAGTGGGGTTCGTCTTCATAGTCGATGATGCTACTCCAAGCTCGTTGTCGTGCTTCTGCTGTTGGTGATAGTGACCGCACCGCTTCTTCTGATGCAAATTGTGACCTTACTGTGCTGATGACTATACCGATGAGAATTGTTGCAAAGTTCTCGATAACGTGAATCTTCTGACTGCCAGCGTTATAATCCTTGGACGTCTCTTGGCCTGTCGCGTTGTTGCACGGCTAAGTCACAACCATAGCAATGAATGTTGACCGTACAAATAAGCGAAGTTACGGCCTTCACTTGAAGATTTTTCGCGTTATTATATCGGAGTCACAGTGGCATGAGCAACTCGAAGTTTCGCGCTGCCTTTATTTCTGACCCCGCCGGCCGACGGCCCTGGCCATCACCTACGTCTGCGGAGAGAGCTGCAGACCGTACTGGCGCGAAGGTCACCAATGTAGAACAATCATTTGGCGCTAATTTTAGGGTCCTTGTAGGCTTGTATAAGGCAGAAGTCGCGCACACATAAGCCTACCACGGGACGCCGCAACAGTTTCGAGTTCCACAAGGGTCAGCCCTTTCGATACCCTCGGCCATTCCAAACTTTAAACAAACTCGCTAACGGTTTTCTACCCTAACTTTGCGGTCAAGTCACATCCTGCCTATAATTGCTTAACATCGTTAAATCCCATCTCCACTTCACACCCAAGCTCTTTTCAATAATAAAGTAAAAATAGAATCAGAGTTACCTACGCTTTATTCACTCCAATGGATCAGATATTTAATAGTGGGTAGACGACGGCGTGTCAGTTTTATGAGATCAGACTGCGTTATAACACATCCATGCGACATTTTTTTTCGCTTCGAGTCACCGACATGTGAAACAGCCTCCCTGTTAGTATCGTTGACGCTCTGAGTATGAATGCCTTCGAGAACATACTAGACGAAGCAATACAGGAGCATATATGTTCGTTCAGTCTTAAAATGCCTAGCAACGTCATCATAGCCATTCCCTAATCGTAGGTACTTCCTCGAGATTTATAAATACAGCGTCATCAGCAAAAAAGCTTACAGCTCACGTTGCTCACGTTAAAAGAAAAGGCGATCTCATTTGTAAAAATGTTATAGAAGAGAGGCCGTAGAACAGAGCCCTGTGGATATTGGTAAATAATTGTAATAATACACAATAATTTTAATAATAGTTATAAGAATAATTTTGATAGGTAGTAATTTTAATATTATTTCAATATTAATTACAATAATAAATATTAATCAATAATATTCAATATTAATTATAATAATCAATCAATAATTTCTATAACTAATCAATAATAATTTCACAAAACTTTCAATAAAAATTGTAGGGTTAGATGGGGCAGCGCCCCCCCCCCTTTTTTTAACTAAATTTTTGATGAAGTTTTAATTAATACGAGGCAGTTCTTTGTTTTGTTTAAAGTGAGGAATGTAAACTAATGAGGAATGTATGATGAGAATTACACGCCTATATAGAGTTGTCCAATTTGTAATTAAACACTATTTTGTAAAAAGTGTCAAAATGGGCCCATGGGCTTGGGGCAAGGCGCCCACCCCATGGTCCCTTTACCACGATTGCAAATTTCTGGTTTAAAATGATAAAACATCACTTTACAGTTCAAAATAAGAATAATTTAATAAAAACTATTACATTCCTCCATTTAATAACAGTTCTAAAAATCATATCCTTAACCTGGAAAAAATATATTCTTGGCTTAAAAAATCTACCACTGACGTGAAAAAAATATTTACTTAACATAAAAATATATATCATTGACTTTAAAAATATATCTTTGCCATAAAAAAATCGTCCTTGACATGAAATAAAGTATTCTTGACTAGAAAAAATATATTTACTTGACCCAAAAAACTTCGTTCCAGTTTCGTAATAATTTAATAATAATTATTTCAATAATAATTTATGATAATGTCATAATAATTGTAATAATAATGTTAATGATAATGGTAATAATAATTTCATTAATAATATTGATTATAATTTAAAAAATATTTCCTAGAATAATTTTAATAATAATTTCATTTAAAGTTTTAATTATAAAATTCGAAAATGCACGATACCTTCCCAGAGCCAGAGGAGTGACAGAAAGTGCTGGGACCACTGAATTTTGATGAAGGCGACTGTCCAAAAGTTTTATTGTGATGATCCTCGTTTATTTCTCTTCCGATTACATCACTATCACCATCACAATCCATGTCTGAGGCTGATTCCCTGCGAGCTGCGACTGGTTCGCGGTACAGTGACCGAAGTTTATGTAGCCCCTAAAAAACGTGTGTCGTCACGACGGGTGTGACGTCACAGTTCTGCACGTTTTATGGCGGCATGCATTCAAGGCAGCACTATTCATTTATTCGTTTTATTGTATTCCCGTTTACTTTTATTTATAGAAATTAATATCACTAGTTAATAATTATTTAATATTTATATTGTTATTTATTATTTGTTTTGCCCCTAACAAAGGTTACGTTACTGTGGGTGACTCTACTGCCTGGGTGTGAAGTCACCCCCTCCCCGGCTAGAATGTCCCCTCGGTCGACCGCAATATCCTGTACTCTCTTTAACCCTATTGAAAATCTTAAGCTGGTCATCGAAGGAAAACCATCTCGTATTTCCCCCACTCTTGAGGTGAAGCTTTCCCATCGATTTAAATTACTTGAGGTAGCCCATGCAGATGTGCGACAATTTGAACTTTTACTAGTTATCACGTGATCATGGTTGAATTAATACAAGATTGACCGACGCGCAGCTGCTCTTTGCGGATGTCGTTTGTTGTTCCGACTGTGACGTCACCGTGGGCCCAAAATGTAAAAACTGTCGCGAAAAAAACGTCACGGCGGTCGACGACGTTGGTAAGAGCTGTGACACTTTGAAAATCGGTGAGTAACCTATCTGATAATCTGAAGGCTCTCTTGAAATAGAAATTTTGATATAATATCTCTTAGTTTGTTTTGTAGGTCCAATTAACTTAGACTGGAAAAATGGGACAGGGAAAACGTAGGAAAAAAGCAAATAGTAATTCGTTATCTGGATCAACTGATGACGAGGCTGAGTGTGAGTCGGATATGTCCCAGCCAATACTAATGTCGGTGTTGCCAGGGGGTCAGACGATCAATGTTCGCGCAGACTCACAGATCCAGTACTCAAATAGGACAAGCAATGCCCTCAGTTCAGTAGAATTTGAAGGCCCTAGCTTGGGAGGGGCTTGGATGCCTTGGAAGTTGACAATATAAACTTTATCATCTCCAACTTGACTGCCAACTTAGCCAAATGCAATGGAGCATCAGGGAGCTCTGCATCAACTACTCCATCCCGCTCCTGAGATAGAAGGCCACAATGCTTCTGGGGGGGTCTCTTTGGCTTCACCGACTGCATCATGCACTCATTATCTTGAGACTTCCCGCCTGTTGCTTCATCCAGCAACCCACCATTAGTTGAGAGAACCATATCCATTCTGACACTCACAGCACTCAGCAGAAAGGCAACAGAAAAGATGCAATCCCCAAAAAAATACCACAAGATGTGCAGACAGCAGACCCACCAAACCTGAACACCTCAAACCACAAGTCTGGGCACCAAAAATGTAAGGGGAGGCGTTTGGCCCCGGTAAGTTTAATATTTATATTAAAGAGGTAGATGGTACAGCTGTGGACAAGACTGGCATGTAAGAGTAGTAAGACTACTGAAACCACCTGGGCACAGCTTAGGGAAATATATTATAAACCACTGAAACCAGCATACGACCAACAAACCGCAGACACCTGCAGTTGGTGCAGAATGAAATGGGGTTAGTAGTGTTATGATGGTATGGAAGCAGCAAGGCACACTAGCAGGTGGAGCTTGCACTATAAAAACAGCAGAAATCTTGTGAAATCACCAGGCTCTCAGTCCTTGTTGAACTAGCAAATCGCAAGTCCTAATCACTAAAACAAAAGAACCAGTTAGCCAAGGTCACCCACATGGGCTGACATCACACAAGATACAAATGGCAAATGCATGGTCAGGCAATAAAATCAATCCCTAATTACCATCTAAAATTGCTTGTTTTTTTCTAGAACATCACAATAAAAACATATTTGCACTGGCACAATAATTCCGGACAATGTGAAAATTAGTTCAGCAAGTCTCTCCTCTGTGTGCTCCACTAAGGTTGAGGCAGGTTACTCAAAGGAATCACTGTTCTCTCAGTGCTTGTCAACAGCCCGCCACAAGGAGCAATCCAATTTCACTTGCTGCACTGGAGTTGTGGTGAAGGATGCCCTTGGATTCAGTTTACTTCCCAGGTTTTCTAGACTCAACTCTTGATGCCCTACAAGTGAATAAAATGCGGGAATTGGCTTTAGTGCACGACAGGAGAGCAAGTGACAGATATACAAGTATGTAACATAATAAAATATAACGCAATAAATGCATTGGCACACATGACACAATTATAAATGTAACACAAATGGGTGAATATATAAAAGAGTGGGAGCATTAACACCTGGCTCAGGCAAATGCCACTACTCACCCATAAAGGGGCAAAAGCAGGCAGGCAATCAGCAAGCAGCAGGATCAGGCAAGGAACGTCACAGCATCAAATGTCTGGTAAACTTGCATCAATTCCATCAACCACGGCACAGGGATAAGCTTAAGGCTGGCACAAATACATGCACTGACTCAAAAGATCTATCTGAGAGTAATTCACATTCATGAGTCTGGAAAGAGAGAACACAGGTGAGTGGAAAGAATGCATGGCGCAGCAAGCTGAATAATGATACACAAGCCACACCACTACAGCGCCATCATCTTGCTTCCATTACTTGATAATTGATAAGTTCAGTATAAAAGGCCTTGCGGCCTGTTCACCATGCCTGGTTGGGTTGCTTCTTGACTATTTGTCGCATGCGTGGCTAGCAGTTAATCTAGAAGTGCCAAAAGGGGAGCTAATGACAGCATTCGGGGTCGTACAGTTCTCTGCGTGTCGCCTAGTCACCAGTGCTTGTCGAGCCTGATCTTGAAGGCGTTAATAGAGGGGGCAGTGACCACGTTGTCCGGCAGGCTGTTCCATATTGACACGACTTGGTAGGAGAAGTAGCTGGCTCTGACGTTCAGTCTGCATTGGCCCTTGGCGAGTTTCAGGCTGTTCTCGCGGGTAACTCTGCCGTCGTGAAGGTGCAGCTGGAGGCGGTCAGCTTCGTAGGCGCCGTGGACGTACTTGAAAATGTCGATCATGTCCCCCCTTAGTCTTCTGTGCTCCAAGCTGGGTAGACCAAGCGAGGCGAGGCGTTCTGGGTACGGCTTGTCCTTGAGGCTTGCGATAAGCTTGGCTGCCCTCCTCTGAACGTCATCCAGGTCGGAGCACAGAGTCTTGTGCCTTGGCTGCCAGAGTGAGTGGCCATAGTCGAGCATCGGTCGAACGAGGGATTTGTAGCGCTGGATGAAGATCTCAGGCGTGATGCAGTCGAAGGTTCGCCTTATAACACCCAGTACTCTGTTCGCCTTAGCTGTTGCTTGCACTACTTGGCCTTTAAAGCTCAGGTCCCTGTCGATCACTACTCCCAGATTTTTTTCAGTGTCCCTTTCCATCAGTAGGGTCACGTACTCTTTGCCTTGAGCATTGCAGCCTCTCATGGTGTACTGGACGGTGTCGCTGGTGTATCCAAGGCGAAGCAGGTTGCACTTTTCGGGGTGGAAGTGCAGTTGCCAGTCCATAGACCACTTGTGGAGTCTGTCCAGGTCCTCCTGCAGGGTTTTTCTTGCCTCTGGGATGTCACTGCGGGCAAAGACCTTGGTATCATCTGCAAAGAGCTCGATGTGGCTCTAGACATGGCTCAGTAGATCGTTGATGTACATCACGAAGCAAATTAATGGGCCCCAAACAGCTTCCCTGCGGAATACCGCCCCGTACATCTGCTGGACTTGACGACACGCCGTTCACGATGACTCGCTGGGTACGGTTTGCCAAAAAATCTCTGACCCACTGGAGTACTCTCCCCTTGATGCCATGAGCCTCCACTTTTGCTACAAGCCGTCTGTGCGTCTTTCATGTAGTCCATATAGACCGCGTCGATGGATCCTCCTTCGTCTAGGGCCTCAGTCCAGATGTCTAGGCTCTCAAGAAGCTGGGTGACACAAGACCGCCCCTTGGTGAAGCCGTGCTGCTTTCTGCTGATCAGGCTGTTGCACTGCAGGTGGTCGACGATCTGATCCCTGACGAGGGCCTCCATGCAATTGCATAAAATGCAGGTCAAACTGACGGGCCTGTAGTTGCTGGCTAGAAGGCGACTGCCTTTTTTGAAGATGGGGGTCACATTGCTGGTTCTCCAGTCTCTGGCTATGGTGCCAGACTCTAGGGAGTTCCTAAAGATGATGGTGATGGGCTGGGCAAGAGGTTCAGCATGTTCAGCAAGCAGACTGGGGCTGATGCCATCAGGGCCTGAGGCGTTTCTCTTCTCCAAGCTTGCCAACTGCTTCCTCACTGCATCCTCTGTAATCTGGAAGTCTGACAGCTCCCTGTCGTATGTGTACTCAGGCAGATCACCTCCTTTCTCCTCTGTGAAGATGCTTTGAAAAAAATTGTTCAAGAGGTCTGCCTCTTGATTGGTCAAGAGGTTCAAGAGGTCTCCATCCTCTTTTCTCAAGTCTGCAACGCCTGATCTTGTCTTTGTTTCGGCTTTAACGTACAACCAAAAAGACTTGGGGTGATTTTTTGCCTGGGTTGCAATGGTCGCCTCTAGTTTTCGCTTGGCAGCACGGCATGCTCTTGCTGCTTGGTTTCTGGCTTTGGCATACGCTCTGTAGTCCTCGCCTGCTTGTGTCTACAGCCAACGCTGGTACAACTTGTGTTTCTTGCGGACAGAGGTCTTGGTTCCACAGTCAAGCCGTTTCTTCTTCTGTACCCCTGAGTTATGGACTTTCGGTACAAATCTCTCGATCATGTTTTCCAGGTGCGTCCTGAAAGCGGCCCATGCCTTGTTTACATCCTTCTCTCCGACTCTCCCAGCTCCTCATCCCAGATAATGCGGTCGAGGTCCTCCCCCATCCTGCTGTAGTCTGCTTTGAGAAAGTTTGGTCGCGCTTGATTTTTTTGTTTCTCTTTCTGATAGTTGCAGGCGACGTTGGTTAGGAGTGTGGCTGCTGTGGCGTGGTTGCTTCTACCAGGTGCTGAGGCTGTGGTTATCTCGTTTACCTGGTCCTGCCGCTTTGTCAATACCAAGTCGTCCAGCGTTGGTGCTGGCCGTTTCTGAGCCTAGTTGGCTCTCTCTGCCCTCTGGTGCTGGATAAGGTAGGTGTCCAGTGTCCTTATTCCTTAAACACAGTGAGAAACTTGCTTGCTGGCAGAGTGGTTTGTGCTTGCTTTGCTTAATTCTCTCTCCCAGTCTATTTCTGGAAAATTGAAGTTGCCTAGTACAAGCAGGTGCTGGGGTTTAGCCTCTGTCACCATTCTCAGTAGTTGGTTGAACTTGGTTCAGGTTCTGCCTCTGGTTGTTGTCTTTTGAGCTACTGGGGCTGCGGTAAACAAGGCCTATGGTCCACTCAGGTCCAGGTTTCACTATTGCTGAGTTTACAGTCAACAAACATTCACTCCTCAAAGCCCAAAGGCTCAAAGTCAGTTTTCATGTCTTTGCATGGAGGGTTAAGCTCACATTTGCATGAGGGGTTAAGCTCACAGCCTCACGTCATCACTAGTCACTACACACCATAAGGCATAAGAGACTGTTGACAACGTGGAGACTGGAGAGTAAGGCTCAGTAAGCATCAGCAGAGAGAAGAGTGCAACTGAAAGTGAGAAGGTGAAGTCTTTAATTAAATAATCATTGCTGAGTCCTCTAGGTGTTACAAGTGGTCTGCGCTGGCCTGGACCTGGACTTCTTCGTCACCTACAAGTTTACAACCTGTCAAGGCTGTCATCATCATCACCAGCAAAGTGAAGGCAGTGAGCTCAGATGCCAACATTAAACAATATTAATGGAATAGAAGTGTTGGCAGTGAAGAAATAAGCCCATGTATCATATTTTTAATCTATTTGTCCACAAAACTAATTTCTTAAGAAATTCACAGTAATGACCCTGCGAGTGAGCCGACGACCAGTGTTTTCAAATTATCATCTGTAGAACCTTCCTGCTGTAGAACCTTCCTTCCTACTAACGAATGTGAAAGGTGCTTTTATTTGTCTCAGTCATGTATCTTCATTATCTTTTTGCTCCTTGAGAACACTGCTCATAAGAGATCCATCTTATTGGCATACTCACATTAAATATTACTTGTACAAGGCCTATTGGCCTCAAGTCTTCAAGAGGGCAGAGGCTCTAGGTTAAGCTGCCCACGCCCAGGCTGGACTCTTGCCTAGCTGATTGGTTCTCATGCATAGTGACAATTTGACAAACCAGAGATTTTTTTAGAATCAGTTCATTTTTAATCTCATTTACTCAAGATTTAAACCAATTTCTTATGTATGATAATGCTGGTATCCATGATACTTTGCTTGTCTACTTATAGGACTCAAAAATGAATTTGAGGGAGAGTCTAAAAATCTCTCTGCTTTGCCACTATGTTCTCATGTGAGGCACAAGGTAGGGCATCCTCTAGATACTAAATGGGTTACATTATCATTAACATTTTTTATGTTCTCTTTACCACTTTAAGTATAGTATCATTAGTATGTACTGTAGCACTTGTTTTATTATCATTAGAATGTGTTGGTGTCATGGTGATGGTGATGGTGAATATGGAGGTGAAGCTACAGTTGTGGAGGTGAAGCTGCATGAAAAAGTCTTCAAAGCTCCAATAATTACCAAACGACAACATTCCATCAGGTGGTACCTTTGTGTGTTATTAATGTTCTCAAAAGTCTATACTAGGAACTGCCAACCAGATCTCCAAATTTGTGATTGCCAAAGCAAAAATTGATTGGCCTGTTTTGGAATTGATTCAAATGTCAAGCAAGATAAGAGATTAGACAGTAAATGTTCTTTCTAACCCTCAAAGCCTTCCCATCATGTTGAGATATTAGGTCATGACATGAAATCTGGTACTGAGCCATCTGTGGACAAAGGTGGCAGTGTCAGTGTGAAGCTCTCAGAACAATACAATAGACAGACTAGTAGAAGATGGACAGTACAGTTGGTAATAGGTAGCGTAGGTACCCTTGTGGCCACTAACAATAAACATATGGAATGGAATGTGCATGACTATATACACAAAAAACACAGATTTATTGAGAGAATTTGTATCACTATTGTTCTATTTCATCAGACATTCATCTTCCTTGGGCTGGAAATATGTGCTGCTCTACAATTTGCTCATTATAGAATAGAATAGAATAGAAGTGTCGGCGTTGAAGACATAGGCCCATGGCCTGTTGCCGATTCTTGAACTTTTCGTGACTTGATTCACAAGGGATCCGGCCTTTGGAACCCGATCTTTCCATAACTGACGATTGATTGAGATATCAGTAAATACGCTACTGAAAAAATGATTAAGTACGTTGGCTTTGCCCTCATCAGAGGATATCTTTCGCTGATCTACTTTCAAATCAGAAATACCGTCCTTCATCTTGCACTTCGAGCTAGCGTATAAAAAGAAGGCTTTCGGGTTCTTTTTTGCATTTTTAGCAATACTTTTTTCGAGGGTTTTTACGGCGGTGCGACAGCTTTCCTTAGCTTGATTTCGAGCTCTTGCATATAGGTTATAGTCAGCATCGCTACGAGTCTGTAAATAACGCTGGTATGCTTCCTTCTTTGTTTTCAGCTGAACATGAAATTATAATCATATATATATATATTATAATCATTTTACTTATACCATCTGTTGTTCTTTCAGAAATATTTAATTCTATGAATGCATAAACTGGTAGAATAATTTGTAGAACAAAAGATTGTTCTTAATTTTGGATTGCTTGCTGGCTGTTAATTCCCTAATTCAGCAATGTTGCAAGCAGAAGATGCCAAATACCTGAAGAAGTAAGTATTAATAGAAATTAAATGAATTTCTATTCATCAATTTCATCATGATAGACTAATTTACTTACTGTGCTAATATTTTTGCTGAATATACTCTCTAGGCACCAATAGGCTTGTTTAAAGTGAAGTAATATTTTAATCAATTTATTCTCTCAATTTAGAAATGGTTATTGATGTTCTTTGATTACAACTTATTTCTTCATTCTTAAGTTAACTTACCTATAGCAGGGTTCATTGTCTCAATTGAAATACTTATCATATACTGTATCATCAGCTTTTTGTATCATGTGCTGGAAGCAAATGGTTGAAACAGTACCTACCGAGACTCAAGAAAAAAAGATAGGTACTAACTCATGTACTTACAGAATAACAAATTATTCTGATTTGATCATTCAGTAGGTTAAATCCATATATAATCTCACATTTGCCTGAATATTTCTGCTGTTGATTTTTACTAATTCATGTTGTCTTGATATCATTACCGTTTTAATTTGTGTCATAACAAATAGACTGGTTTGAAATTTACTGCTGGTTAAACTTCAGGAAGGTGAAGGTGCTGTCTCTGGATGTGCACCCCACTGAGAAGGCTATCGTAGTCAACTATGAAATGGAGGCTACCATCCTTGGGCAGATGGGAGACCCGATGCTGGGGGACAAGAAGGTGATCTCCCTTAATTAGATCTTAGATTAGGTGATCTCCCTGGAAATAATTAGTATATCAAGCAATCTGGTAAGTAATCACTTATTACTTATCATGCAAGTAATGATTGATTAGTTCATTAGGTACTTACTGAAAATTTGGAGGTGTCATTGGGCTACATTGGAAGTGGTTTTTTGATATTTTTTAATTTAATGCTACATTTTCTGCATATGCCAATAATGTAAAAATTGTTTGTCAGATATTCATAGTATCATGTGTTGACGTTCCTCTTTAATTTGCCTTTTTGGGCAAGGCAAGAAGATTTATTGTGATCAAGCAGCAATATTGTAGCTTTTTTACTGTAATATTTTTTGTCATTCCCAGCAGCTCATAGGGCAAATGTTTTGGAGCATTTGTGTTACAAGAATTAATTCTCTTTATAGCCAATAAAATATTTTTCTATCCTTATTATTTGGCCAGTAAGGAGCTAATTTGTCAAGAGATGAGCTCAATTTGTGTAATTTTGTTGAGGAACATAAATATATTCTTTATTCATATCAGGAGTGTCAGAAGATCATCCGACTGAAGAGTTTAGACAGCATGTAAGATGTGTACATAAATATATTCTTTATTCATATTAGGAGTGTCAGAAGATCATCCAACTGAAGAGCTTAGACAGCATGTCAGATGTGTACATAAATATATTCTTTATTCATATCAGGAGTGTCAGAAGATCATCTGACTGAAGAGTTTGGACAGCAAGTCTTATGTGTACATAAATATATTCTTTATTCATATCAGGAGTGTCGGAAGATTATCCTACTGAAGAGTTTAGACAGCAAGTCTGATGTGTATATAAATATATTTTTTATTCATATCAGGAGTGTCAGAAGATCATCCGACTGAAGAGTTTAGACAGCAAGTCTGATGTGGTGACGGTAGCCAAGGAGGTGCTGGACAAGTGTAAACTCATCCATCAGTCCAAGCTGACGGAGGTGCAGCATCTCATCTCATATCTCAAGACCAGGAAGCGGCCAGACCACAAGAGTGGTCAGTACAAACTGAGGCTGATTAGCACTGCCTTTTATATTTACTATAGATTTAATTCCACTAAGGCAAGTGTTCCAATATTTTAATGTCATAATTTTCTGTCAATTGTTGAATGAATTGTAGAATATGCTCAGACTACTCTATTGAGTAGGTAAGTTTAAACTTTAAAAATCTTTCATTCATTCTCTACTTGGTGCAAAATTATTTAATGATATTCAAATTTAATAATATTTAAATCATTGTCTAGAACATCTAGAACATAAGCTCACAGACTGCTGCCACAGTTGAACTCTAAATCTATCACTGCAACCAACATGTGATTGCACTCAGTGTTTATTTTGGGTGTTTATTCCATGCACCATCAGTTGAAAACATGTTCACAAGCATACCTCCTTGCATATTAGACATGATTCTCTACACTTTGTTCATGTGGGGGAGAATTTAGTTGTCAATGAGAAACAAGTAAACCAATCTGCTTACTTTATTTACTTATCTGATTTTTTGCCTATATCCAATAATTTATTGTAAAATTGATCCACCTTCTTATCCAATTGTTGAATTGGATCTCAATATTAATGTAAATTTTTATGCTTGCTATCTCACTTGGGAAACTAATCTATGTTTCATATTTAAAATATGATGAAGTTTCTGCAACTGCTACAAGTTATAAGTCTGTTTCATGTGCTTCCTAATTTTCTTTATTTTACTATCACTTTTACCTACTCTGCTAGTAGAATAGTTTAGTTGAATAGTAGAATAGTATCATTGTTGTAAGTACTTTGAAAGTGTTCAATTATGCTTCAGGCAAGTGATACAATTAAATCATGTATTTACTCAGTCTTATTGAATATACTGCATTATTTTTCCTAGTGCAATTCAATAATAAATTTTACGGTGAAAAGTGAAACATCATGATAAATGCAGAGGTTAATATTAAAGTTGATAATTCAATAATTATTTCTACATGTGAAGGCAATGAAGTTTATTTTCATTCAATCAGGTTTGAAAAGAACCATTCAATAATGAGAGTAGCTGTTCTCGCTGCTGTCATCATCTGTCATCAATATTGGAATTATAGGACGTCTTGGAATATTGTTAAATCAAATCAGCACTGGTCGAATAGTTGCTTTTATTAAAAACAGCATTAGTTTATTAATAAAATGCACTTATAAATAAAAATTGATATCCGTAACATAATGATGAGCGCAGATGCACTGACGCGCTCCAGCCACTCCGACCTCACAAGCTCAACGTCGAGCGCCAGCCTCTCCGGCAGCCTCACAGGCGCACTTAAAGAGGAACTGCACGGCACTGCGTACTTTGCTGAGATCGACTCATATCAGGTACACTGGCCTTCATCACAGTGTCTTTACTGTCAGGTACACTGGCCTGCATCACAGTGTCTTTACTGTCAGGTACACTGGCCTGCATTGCAGTGTCTATACTGTCAATTATTTCAATTTCCCTATGCATTTGTGACTTTGACAACCCTCAAAACAGGGCATGAATTATGAACTTAAATCGCCATATTGCCAAATTGATCATTTTGAAAACTCATTTCCAATTCAGAATATGCCAAAGATTTTCATTGAAATATACACTCGCTCTTTTTGATGTTTGTGCATAACAATACACAGTGGCATTGTCCCATCTACACAAATTTTTCAGAAGGAAATGCTCTGTAGTAGGTATTTAAAGTAATTTCATTCGTTGTTGATGCAGGCAATGCTTTGCACAATTTAAATTAATTTCACATGCTGTGGTCTGTGCAGGAAATGGTCCACCCGCCCAAAGAATGTTGATAATTAGTTTAATTTACTGATATGTGTGCAGGAGATGCTAATTTGCTGATGTGTGTGCAGGAGATGCTAATTTACTGATGTGTGTGCAGGAGATGCTAATTTGCTGATGTGTGTGCAGGAGATGCTAATTTGCTGATGTGTGTGCAGGAGATGCTAATTTGCTGATGTGTGTGCAGGAGATGCTCTATGAAGACTTGCCCAGCAAGATTAAAGGCACTGCGCTGCTGCTGCAGCTCGCACGTAACCCCGACTACCTCAACGAACTCGCACAGAACGAGGCGGTGCTGGGGGCGTTAGCACGCACCCTCAGGGAGGACTGGAAGAAGAGCCTCGACCTCAGCTACAACATCGTCTACATCTTCTTCTGCTTCTCTGCCTTCTCGAACTTCCATTCCGTCATATCGCATTTCAAGGTTAGTCTTACCGTAACGTGAAATTTCATGTTCAATAGGTACTGTTTTATCGTATCATGAATCTCACAAAAAATAAAACTCTTTGTTGACTTTGAATAACTTGTCATTCATTTTCTAACATTATGCAAAATTCTGTTCAGTTGCATTTACATGAAATGATCGAAATTTTCCTATGATGATGATCACCACAACGTCACTCGACTGAGTGCCGCCCAGGCCCACCCCCCTCCGGAGCGCCGAGCCGGTCTTGCCACACTCTGATCAGTTGGGACACTTCCACTGGCTTATTCCATAGATCTTCAGGCTGCAGGCTGGTTGGAATTTCAGCACACCCAAACAGATGTTGTGTGTTGTGGGTGTGGTTTTGACACAGAGGGCATGATGGTGTTGGGTAATTAGCCTCATCGACCTTATTGAGGTATTCTCTAAGCATTGGGCATTTTCCCGCCCTTAACTGCGCCAATGTACGCCTCATGCCTCGGTCCAAAGTCCTCTCTATTTCGTTTACTTTAGGTGCAGGTGCATTTAGAATCTTGTTGGGTGTTCTCGATTCTAGGTGTCTCTCGACTGCGGTGGTATGCAATGTCTTCATGTTTCTATTCACCTCCACGCTGCTATCACTGTTGTTGTTGTTGCATTCATACACTTTTATGCTATACTCGCTGTTGTATATGGTCTTTTTCATGAGTCTGATTGGTTCTTGGTTCATCAGACTTCTCAGTGGGTGTTCTTCCAGTTTGCTCTTCTCCCTCAGTTGCGAGGCCGTCATCTGCACGTGGTTCTTCAGAGGCAGGACAGATGTTTCGTCGTGAAGATGTTGCGTTGGTGTCGCGTGTGTCCTGTGGCAATTCTCAGGGCAGAGTTCTGAACAGTTTGTATTTTCTGCCAGCCACTTTCCGATGTTATGGGACCCCATATACTACTTCCATACTCCAGAACTGGACGTATCAGCGCCTTGTAGGTTTGCACAATAGTCTCCGTGTCCTTTCCCCAGTCAGCTCCAGATAGGGCTTTTAAAATGTTGATGTTTTTCTTCGCTTTGCTCGCAGTGCTTCTTCTGATGTGTGTGCAGGAGATGCTAATTTGCTGATGTGTGTGCAGGAGATGTTCTACGAAGACTTGCCCAGCAAGATTAAAGGCTGCTGCTGCAGCTCGCACGTAACCACAACTACCTCAACGAACTCGCGCAGAATGAGGCAGAGCTGGGGGCATGTCACATATATTGTTGTCTCCTCTGATGCACGTCATCATTAGAGCCATCATTGGGGCACTGGCACGCACCCTAAGGGAGGACTGGAAGAAGAGCCTCGACCTCAGCTACAACATCGTCTACATCTTCTTCTGCTTCTCTGCCTTCTCCAACTTCCAATCCGTCATATTGCATTTCAAGGTGAGCAGAGATACAATTCTTTGTTGACTCTGACATTGTTGGTCATTTTCTAACTTGAAACAAAATTCTGTTCAGTTGCATTTACATGAAATGATCGAAATTTTCCTAGTATCTTCTCATATCCTACTGATATGATTGTGTGTCCAAATGCATATAGAACAGCTATATGGATTAAAAGCTATATGAAAAAATAGTTATATGGATAGATGGATATAGAACAGTTTAAAGCTAAGATCAAACATGCCGTTTTATTTCACCATTTTTTCAGACCCTCTATGCCAATTTTTAAAGTGTCTTCATTTCAAAGAATTTGGCGTGGTAAATGCTTTTTGTAAAATACCTACTATTTGTGTGTTTATGATTAAATGAGTACATAGTTACAGTACCTATTCAATTACTGTTCTCCTGTAATACTGTCGTTTTCATACTTCTTAGTTTTCGTTAAAAAATACCTCAATATAACCAAGAATTATTAAGAGCTAAACTAATTATTCCTGTTTTTGTTATTCATCCAAAGTATTCATAATAACGAGAAAAAGGTTATTTTTACACAAGCAATAACTACAACCTCATCGCCTGGCCATTATTGGTAATATCACATCTCGATTATTAGCGGTACCGAGTGCGCCATGTGCGCGGCAGATATGCGCCACTAAGTGCGCCATGTGTGCCGCAGTTATGCCCCACTAAGTGCGCCATGTGTGCCGCAGTTATGCCCCACTAAGTGCGCCATGTGTGTAGTGCGCCATGTGTCCCACAGATCGGGTCGCTGTGTATGGACATCGTGGACGGAGAGCTACAGCGCGCCCAGCAGCTCAGAGAGCAGCTCGCCTCCAAGCGACGTCCTGCCAAGCCCAGCAACATCGCCACCTCCAGGATACCCAGCCCGTCTGGGTCCAAGCTGGCAAGTCCCTGCGGTTCTGCTGGATCCAAGTCCAGCAAGCTGGGCAGCGCCAGCAGCAACAGCTCGTCCAGCCATTCCGCTGAGGACGATGAGGAGACCCACGCTGATAAAACTCATAGCAAATATCAGGGCGTGCTGGACAAACAGGACCAGGTGAGTGCTGATCAGCAACTGCAATCTCATTTTTACTAAAAATTTAATCTATTATATGAGGTATTAATAAATCGATGTCAATATATAATTACGAGAGATGCAAGTGTAGTGCTATTCGTATCTTCGTTTCCAATTGTAACGCAACAGAACTCATGCTTAGGGCAGCTCGCAAACTTTGAACTGTGCATTGTTTTATGGTTAATGACAATGGAGAACTAGTATTGCGCCTCCATTGTCTTATTGCACCGAAATGTCTGGTCGTACTCACGACATTGCTTAGCCTTACTGCATTACTCTACAGTACTCCTAACATTACTCGCAGCCTCGCTCAGCCTTACTGACACCATTATCCCGAGTCACTCGCAACTTTGCTTGGCATGTTCTACAAGATTATTCATCATTCCTACATCAATCAGCATTACATGTGTGCAAGCATCGCTAGTGTATGTGTGTTTAGAGCGTCATAAGTGCAGGTGCATTGCAGGTGCTGCAGTATTACACACATCATAAGTGCAGGTGCATTGCAGGTGCTGCGGGTGTACACATATCATAAGTGCAGGTGCTGCAGTAGTGCACGCATCATAAGTGCAGGTGCATTACAGGTGCTGCAGTATTACACACATCATAAGTGCAGGTGCATTACAGGTGCTGCAGTATTACACACATCATAAGTGCAGGTGTATTACAGGTGCTGCAGTATTACACACATCATAAGTGCAGGTGTATTACAGGTGCTGCAGCCTCCCACATAAGTGCAGGTGCATTGCAGGTGCTGCGGGTGTGCACATACCTGCTGCTGAACATCGCAGAGGACCACAAGGTGGAGGAGAAGATGCGCCGTAAGAACATCGTAGGGCTGCTGGTGCGCATGCTGGAGAGGCGGTCCGCGCACCTACTGCTGCTGGTGCTCTCCTTCCTCAAGAAGCTCTCCATATACACCGAGAATAAGGACGATATGGTGCGTGTGATGTGGTGCGTGTGATGTGATTTGCGTGTTGTGATATGGTACGTGTTATGTGGTGCGCGTCTTGTGATATGGTGCATGTTATGTGGTGTGCGTGTTGTGATATGGTGCGTGTGATGTGATATGCTGCGGGCTTAGTACCAGTTTGATGTGCAATGTCACGCCTAACATTGGCAATACATTCCAAATACTGAGCGCTAAAGTGTCACGCCCCAACTGTTACTCTCTTGCAAACGAATTCAAGTTTGTTGGTCTGAAATGAGCGACTAATTGTGCCGAATTACTCGTACTAGTGACGCGACCTTTGTGTGTAGAACGACCTGAACGTTGTGGAGAAAGTATTTCTTTGTGTGCAGAGCGACCTGAACGTTGTGGAGGAGTATTTCTTTGTGTGTAGAGCGACCTGAACGTCGTGGCGAAAGTGTATCTTTGTGTGTAGAGCGACCTGAACGTCGTGGAGAAAGTGTATCTTTGTGTGTAGAGCGACATGAACGTCGTGGAGAAAGTATTTCTTTGTGTGCAGAGCGACCTGAACGTCGTGGAGAAAGTATTTCTTTGTGTGCAGAGCGACCTGAACGTCGTGGNCATGCCATCATCAAGTGTGGCGCGCTGCCCAAACTCATACCACTGATGGGTGAGTGAACGCCACATTGTGGCATGCCATCATCAAGTGTGGCGCGCTGCCCAAACTCATACCACTGATGGGTGAGTGAACGCCACATTGTGGCATGCCATCATCAAGTGTGGCGCGCTGCCCAAACTCATACCACTGATGGGTGAGTGAACGCCACATTGTGGCATGCCATCATCAAGTGTGGCGCGCTGCCCAAACTCATACCACTGATGGGTGAGTGAACGCCACATTGTGGCATGCCATCATCAAGTGTGGCGCGCTGCCCAAACTCATACCACTGATGGGTGAGTGAACGCCACATTGTGGCATGCCATCATCAAGTGTGGCGCGCTGCCCAAACTCATACCACTGATGGGTGAGTGAACGCCACATTGTGGCATGCCATCATCAAGTGTGGCGCGCTGCCCAAACTCATACCACTGATGGGTGAGTGAACGCCACATTGTGGCATGCCATCATCAAGTGTGGCGCGCTGCCCAAACTCATACCACTGATGGGTGAGTGAACGCCACATTGTGGCATGCCATCATCAAGTGTGGCGCGCTGCCCAAACTCATACCACTGATGGGTGAGTGAACGCCACATTGTGGCATGCCATCATCAAGTGTGGCGCGCTGCCCAAACTCATGCCACTGATGGGTGAGTGAACGCCACATGTGGCATTCCATCATCAAGTGTGGCGCGCTGCCCAAACTCATACCACTGATGAGTAAGTGAACGCCACATGGCGGCATGCCATCATCAAGGAAGCCTGTCTCAGATGGCGGGCTTTGCTCAGACGTCAGATGTATGAACATTGCAAAGTAGTTTATGAACAAGTGTATCTTTTAATTAATGAATAAAATTGATTATTTAAGCTCAAGAGAATATTCCAATATATAGCATGTCATATGCAACTGCGTCTTTGACTGCAGAAAGATTAATTCCTTTGAGTTTAAATGTTCAGCATATAAGTTTTCGATGATAGACTCGAATGCTTCAGTATCATATGTTCTAAAATCTACATCTCACAATAGCTGTCCATTAATTGTGCAGAGTCGGAGCAGCACCAGCAGGCGGCACTGTCAGTGCTCTACCACCTCAGTGTCGACGACAAGGCCAAGAGTCTCTTCACCTACACTGACGCCATCCCCACTGTAAGCCATCTACATTCTACACTGTAATCCATCTACACTGAAAGCCATCTACATTCTATACTGACGCCATCCCCACTGTAAGTCATCTACATTCTACACTGTAAGCCATCCCCACTGTAAGCGATCCCCACTGTAAGCCATCTACATTCTACACTGTAATTCATCTACATTCTACACTGTAATCCATCTACACTGAAAGCCATCTACATTCTACACTGTAAGCCATCTACACTGTAAGCCGTCTACATTCTACACTGTAAGCGATCTACACTGTTAGTCATCAACATTCTACACTGTAATCCATCTACACTGTAAGCCATCAACATTTTAAAGTGTAATCCATCTACACTGTAAGCCATCTACATTCTACAGTGTAATCCATCTACACTGTAAGATGGATTACACTGTACACATTCTACACTGTAAGCCATCTACATTCTACAGTGTAATCCATCTACACTGTAAGTCATCAATATTCTACGGTGTAATCCATCTACACTGTAAGCCATCAACATTCTACACTGTAAGCCATCAACATTCTACACTGTAATCCATCTACACTGTAAGCCATCTACATTCTACACTGTAATCCAACTACACTGAAAGCCATCTACATTCTACACTGTAAGCCATCTACATTCTACACTGTAATTCATTTACACTGTAAGCCATCTATATTTTACATTGTAGGCCATCTACATTCTACACTGTAATTCATTTACACTGTAAGCCATCTATATTCTACATTGTAGGCCATCTACATTCTACACTGTAATTCATTTACACTGTAAGCCATCTATATTCTACATTGTAGGCCATCTACATTCTACACTCTAATTTATTTACACTGTAAGCCATGTATACTGACGTCATCCCCACTGTTAGCCATTTACACTGTAAGCCCGTGTGTTAGTTCAACTCCTCCACCTGCTTCCTCCACGAGTCTTCTTACTTAGGCTGTACTTCTTTCTTAGGACTGTACTTCATCCGAGTCTTTGTGTTCTTACTTTATGTGCCACTGTCTTGTGCTGCAATTGTCCTCACAATAGAAAATATGAAAATATTAGAGGTAAGCGACGGTCACACAAGACATCGGATGTCAACTTGGCTCGCAGCCATTAATAAAATGACTCTTTTTACGACCATCTGCATCTGTTACCTGATGATGCAGCTGATCATGACGCAACGCCCTCCTTGTGATCAGATGATGCAGCTGATCATGACGCAACGCCCTCCTTGTGATCAGATGATGCAGCTGATCATGACGCAACGCCCTCCTTGTCATCAGATGATGCAGCTGATCATGACGTAACTCCCTCTTGTCATCAGATGATGCAGCTGATCATGACGTAACGCCCTCCTTGTCATCAGATGATGCAGCTTCTGTCTCTTATACACATCTAGATGTGTATAAGAGACAGGTCTTTGACTGTACCGCGCGTGTGTGGCGAGGTCTTTGACTGCACCGCGTGTGGTTTGCGGGGTCTTTGACTGTACCGCGCGTGGTTTGCGGGGTCTTTGACTGCACCGCGCGTGTGTGGCGAGGTCTTTGACTGTAACTGACGTGCTGCACATGCTCGGCAGGCGCACGTGGAGGCGCTATGCAGCGTCGTGTCGGGTCCCGTGACGGACGAGTTTGTGCTGGAGTGCGTGGGTGTCTTGGGCAACCTGGCGCTCCCCCACCTCGACTACACCAGCATCCTCACCAACTTCGGCCTGCTCGCCTGGATACAGGACAAGCTCAAGCCTGGTGAGTCTTATGGCGTCAACACCAGCAGCGGCATCAGTCTTGCGAGACATGACTCAGTGAGACAAGACTCAGTGAGACAAGCATCAGTCTTGTGAGTCTTATGAGACAAGCATGAGTCTTGTGAGACTGCCCTTGTTAATACGCCGCCGGTATTGCGACGACTCGCTCCTGGTGAAGTAAGTTATGAGTCTCTTAATGGCGTTGATACAAGAGCTTGCTGAGGGCCGGTCGTTTTAACGTGAAGCTGGCTTAGAAAAATTGGGGGAGTAATTTACTTTTGAGAAGGATTTTAAAAGGGAAATAACTAAACGCTTACAGATGTGTGTGCGGGCACGTTACTGTGGATGAACTTGAAGATGACGAGTTTGTTGCTGGGGTTTTAAAATCTTTACAAAAATCTCTCTTGGCCCTTGGAACTTCAGAATTGCCTTGAAATTTGAACTTCAAAATTTAACTGTCTTTCTCAATTGGGAATCGCCTCGAAATTTGAATTGGTGTTGAGCATATTTGTTTCATCCAGCATATAATGTTCCGAATTTATTCGTCATAATGACCATTGAAGTCTATCAATAGTGTGAAAAATCATTTTCAAAGTTAGAACTTTGTGGAGTTGCCCTCTCCTCCTCCGAAGCCCGCACTTGCGGCAATTTTCGGTAAAGAAATTTTTTTACCTAAGTTGTTGTTTATGTTCAGCTGATGGTTATGTTCAGCTGATGGTTATGTTCAGCTGATATTCATGTTCAGCTGATGGTTATGCTCAGCTGATGGTTATGCTCAGCTGATGGTTATGCTCAGCTGATGGTTATGTTCAGTTGATGGTTATGTTCAGTTGATGGTTATGTTCAGCTGATGGTTATGCTCAGCTGATGGTTATGTTCAGCTGATGGTTATGTTCAGCTGATGGTTATGTTCAGCTGATATTCATGTTCAGCTGATGGTTATGCTCAGGATGCAGCAGCGCGGACGACATCATCCTGGAGGTTGTGGTGCTGCTGGGGACGCTGGCGGGTGATGAGGCCGCTGCTGAGGTGCTGCTGAACAACAATGTCCTCAGCACGCTCGTTGCCCTCATCAACGGTGAGGACTTGCCTGCTATTGGCCTCAAATGGCCCGAAACTGGCCTCTAATGACCTGTACTTAACCTCCCTGCGCCTGCATCTGGCCTCAAATGGCTTGCACTTCTAGTGCCTTAACATACAGTTTCAATGTGACAGCTTTTACAATAAGCTAACGTGGTGTATATATAACCGATGTTTACATGTTCACTTTGCTCAATATGCCTGCTATTGACGATGAAGCTCACACCTGAAAACATCTTAGTTGTGTTTTTTTAATATTATACATACTGTACTACTTTTACAGTTTTACGGCTGATTGACACTGTCAACTAACCGTAATTGTCGATACTTGGTACGACTAGCATTGACGACGATTAATGCATTCCTAGCTCAAGGGTGCCATTTTGTCCATCGCCAGTAAACCCTTGTCACCAGGCCTTCAAATACGTAATATCATTAACATCCTTATGTATGAGTTAACTAAGAGCTCGTCCATTCCTTACACTCACCAGACAAGCAAGAGGACGACGAGCTTGTGCTGCAGATCGTGTACGTATTCTACCAGTTCTGCCGCCACGACCACACACGGCCTCACGTCATCGCCACACGCGAGGTGCCTGCCTACCTCATCGACCTCATGCACGACAGCAACAGCGAGATCCGGCGCGTCTGTGACACCACGCTTGACATTATTGCGGTAAGAGATGCTCGATATTTTGTCAGCCTATTTAGTTTTGTTTTGTCAATATTTTGTCATATTTCATGACAAAGCCATGGGTTTTAATTGTTCAAACAAAGAGTTGGCGAAAAAGAGAGCGATATATAAAACTTTCTCATAATTCCCTATTCCTTCTTCATAACTCTGGATTGTTTATTTTTGCAAGGTCTCTTCTCTTCTAGGCTCATGATTTTCGGCTTATCAGTTTTTATTTATTTTCCTGCAGGAGCACAGTAAGGAGTGGGCGGAGCAGGTGCAGCTGCATAAGTTCCAGTGGCACAACTCGCAGTGGTTGGCCATGGTGAAGGGGTCGGGGCTGGGGGATGAGGGGGTCGCCTTTGGTGGAGGTGGAGGGGAGGAACTCCTCCTGCTGGGGGGCGAGGAGGGTCTTGGGTCCAGCTACATGCGCCACTCAGACGTGCTCGCGAGTCACCACAGCCTCCTCAGTGGTGAGATCAGAACAAGTTATGAAATTGTAATTTTAGATGAATAAAATTGCTAACAAATCAAACCTTAGGATACCTTATTCTATTTTCTGTCATTGAAACAAATCAAAACGCCAAATATTAGGCTGAGAAATTTAATTTTCAGTTCCTGAAAGCAATCTAACAAAAATATCATATCGTTCCCTCCCGCCTCGTCTCTTGAACTACCTACCGTTTAAATAGCCAGGTATTGGAATTTTGTGGAGTCTGTCTGATCTTTTCACATCGATTAATTAAAATTATCTAGATTTGTCTTGCCGTCCGGAAAAAATCTCTGCTAAAATATTTTCCGTTTGCTTCAGACGGGCTGTCATCTCCGGACAGCGAAGAGTTCCTTCCATCCGCCCTCCCGAGCACCTGTCTCTTATACACATCTAGATGTGTATAAGAGACAGGNCTGATGATGGCGTATAGGAGTTATAGTTGTAGTGGCCTGATGATGGCGTATAGGAGTTATAGTTGTAGTCGCCTGATGATGGCGTATAGGAGTTATAGTTGTAGTCGCCTGATGATGTGTTCTGAGTTGAAGTTGTACATACCCGATAATGGCATGTTCTGAGTTGTATGCGAGTTGTTCTGTGTATACACAGGTACAAGATTTAGTATATTAACACAAAGCGTTGATACAAACGTTATTTTTTCAGGTTCAGCGGCGATTTCGATTGACGGGCGCTTCCATGACCCTCCCACGAACTTTCATAACGTAGGCGTGACGGGGCCTGGACTCCGTACATCCAACTGCCTGCTGATGTCCATGTACTTCACTCCATATACTCTTACTGCAGTACTAAAGACTTGTAGCGCAAAAAATGCATAGTGTTGGAAACTCTGCCCATTCCAAAGTAACGCCAATCGGCGAAAGTCGTTTGACAAGTTCCGTCACTGGGAGTCGTGCAATAACCAGAGCTGTTTCTGGTCACATTTGTAGTCTGAATATGATTTGTGATAACCTATTGAAGAAAAAATGTGTGTTGCAGATTTAGCACTAGCCTCGCACTTCAGACGTCATGATTCCACGATTCACAAGCACCTGAGGTTTTGTTTTAAAACCGCCCACGGTCACGCTTCGACTGCTTGGCGCCTCCATGCAAGTGTTCGCTTGGCTGAGGTAGCTCTTGAGACGCTTCCTACGCACCATTATTCACTAGAATTGAGAAATCAACTGATATAATGTAGCTTTTTTCCCAAGGTTACTACCTTTCTTAGGTATTCTAAGTGAAATTATACGTTTTTATGTATTCTAAGTTAAATTATACGTTTCTAACACTTTTTTTATTATTATATAGTCATCTAATTTCGCTTTATCTCATTGCAATTGTATCATAATAAGAACCAGATTCACAATCTGAAGGGCAAAGCCATTTAAAATATCTCCATGTTGGTTGATAATTTATTACGAAATATTCCAAATCTCTACATCTTGGAAGCCTCGAGGCACAAAAGTTACAATATTTTATATCATTTACAATAATTAATTCACTCGTCTGTGGGCCGAGCCTGATTGTGCCTGTCCTGATGAAAAGGCGTAGCTGTTTTCGAATTTCCTACGTTATGAAAAGATGCACGCGTTTAAAAAAAAATTAGTTCTGTCTTGCAGCAGAGAATTTTTGGAAATGAATTAGTTCGTTAGACTCGGAATTTTACTTCATCGAACATTTGTTTGTTGGGTTGTTGCTGCACAAAAACTTCCTCTTCTGCTCACTGTGCTTATCTATCATACCGTAATAAAAGTAGGTATTATTTCGCTTATATTCTAATTTGCTATTTATTTATCTTTCTCTAATGCCTCCTATAACGGGTTGCAGGTAATAGAGATGATGTTACTTTTCTAGCTAAGACATCTGTGATTATTTATTTCAGCTTTAATTACGCCATTAAAATTTTTTATCGTTATTGGAGACTTTACATTTCATTCCGACGCTAAGCAAAGCATCCGTGACTGCATAATGGAGGTTATGATTAATATTTGTGGAGGCTTCATTGTTTGTGTGAAAAATCTAGAAATTCCATAAATAAGCCTTCACACAGAAACAAATTTGTTGAGCTCTTTTTTACTTCACCAATGAAACAAAACGATGGTTTCCAAGGCAATAATTAATAGAAATTATTTCAGTAGTAACCGTTAGTGGCGCCTCGAAAAACCAGTTGATTACAATTTACAAGTAATGAATGGAATTTCCAGGTCAACATCAGAAAATTGAAGGTATTATAAAAAAGTCAGTGAATTTACGAGAAAGGCATCGGCTGATATTTCGGCTTCACGATTTTCAAGCGTCAAAAACTCGCGGCTGATAAGAAAATGAGACGACATCTCAATTAGAGTTCCTCTTGATGACGAGCCCACCAGCGGCGTGGTCGAACACAGCTCCTCTGTTCTTCAGGATACGCGCCTTCTGCTTGACGCGCTCCCAAGGCACGCCCTTGACGACGAGCTGCGCTTCTTCTGCCGACGCGCCCGACGCCACGAGTTTGGCCTCCGCCGCGTGGTCGGCAGCGCGACGCTCAGACTCGTCGCTCACCACGCGTAGCCGCAGACGCACGTCCGTTCTGGGGGCACGAAATATTAATAAAACAAATTATAATTGAATTATTAGTCCCGAGAACCTGACACTACGTGTCGTTTTAAAGATTCCTTTTAAAATGACATCTCGCTCTGGAACGTAATACCTAATTTCAGGATTTTCTTCTGTGGCGATCAACGTAAAATTCTCAATGGTCTTTTAAAATAAAATCGAATTTTACGATTTGATTTCGAAAAAGAGTATTTTACTTTTCTAAAAAGGAAGACTGATCATAAGCTACAGAAGGAGCACACGTTTAAAGCAGCGCTCACTTTCAGGAAACCTTACAGAATTTCTGCAGGTTTTAGCACATAAATAGAGAAGAAATTTAAAAAACTTAGTTTAATTAAATGAAAGCCATTACTGCCGCTTATTTTGGTCTCATCCGATTTGGTAAGAAACAACCATTTAGGCTGAAACCTCGAGTTACTGTGAAAAAAAAAAAGTAATGCCAAGTATCATTAATATTTCATTCAAGATTCACAGCTGCAAGCGACTGCACCAAAGAGCCTAAAGTAATCATACCGAATAGCCTCCGATCGAAGCTTGAGGAGAGGTGCTGAAAGGCCCCAACAATTAACAAGGCAGAGAAAATGTTGAGACGCCTACAGCAGCAGTCACTAAAATCATCAATCATTTTCATCTCAGACTAATGAAAGCAGTTAATGGAAGTAATTAATGTGAGGGTTAAACTAATGATTAAAGAGAATCAACAGCGACAAGCACGCCACGTGTTGGTGGAACATGAAGCTCGCCGTAGGTCGTCATCTATACTCAGAAATATTAGTGAGACTTTGTCTACAAGGCTATATATTTATTCCTTGTATGTGTTATCCTGACTTTTACTGTGAAAAGTCGTATAAGAGATACATGCAAAAAGTGTGTCAGTATTTTGAAAGTATGACCCGCCCTCGCTCGAGCTTAACGACCCAAACGCCGGTAACTACCTTGCTAAAAAGACCTATCTGAATAAACTTTCTCTCGCTGGTATTTATTGCCCTTGATTTCCATTAAAACTTCAATTAACACGGATGAAACGTAATTTTATTTCGGTAATGAACTGTTTAAAAGAAGCGCATTAAAAGTTTTAGAACCAGCGTAACATTAGATTCATGGTTAGTAAACAGCTTAATAAATCTTTCATAATACAGCCACAATTCTAGCGTTAGGGGCAAAAGATCTCTAGTGAAGTAATAGAGCAGAGCGAGCTTAGGTAGAACCTCACTGTAGAGATTGCGGGACACGACTGACCATTCGGCAAGCCGCTCAGACCTGACCTCTCACGACGTCACTAGTGCGGTATGATCGGACATCGACGTTACTCAGGTGACTCTGCCAGACGTGGCGGTACAAATTATTTATTTTGTTGCCCGGCCTCCATCGCTCCCAGCCCCATTAATTTTCTGAATGTACGAATCATTTTCACTGACAACTGAATGCGTTCATCACATTTGGCGCTTGGGGTGTTAAAGCTACATATGTTCATGGCTTTAATCAATTATCAAATATAATTGAAAGCGTGCATGCTATTCAAGACCGCGACGCCTAGTATAGAACATCGCTGCAACCCTTTGTCTGCGTACCAAATTGGCCACCGTCAAAGCCAGTCGTACCTGAAGGCCAGGGGCCGTACTAGGAGCCAATTTTTTAAGCCAACCCCACAAATCATATACTAGAAATTGACCTCCATGTACATACCGTACTTCAAACAATTTTTGATAGTATGGCTCTTTGTTACGAGATTTGAAACACACGTCAGTAGACAAACGTTAGGAGAAATTCGGTCCCCCTGAACTGCAGTGATAACCTGCCTCGACTTTTAACTTATGACAACCTTGAACTCACTTGAAGATTTTGACGAGTTGGTCCTCAGCGCTCTTGGCTGTGGTGATGATGTGGCAGCCGCCCGCCCCCACCAGCAGCCGCACCGTCCTGTCCTGGCGACAGCTCACGCGCAAGCCCACCTGCAGCACCTCTGCAATGACAAGATATGGTCAGCAACGCTGCATGGCGAGCATTTAATCGTGTCACACGTCTGCAATGACAGGATATGGTCAGCAACGCGGCATGGCAAGGATTTAATCGTGTCACACGTTTGCAATGACAGGATATGGTCAGCAACGCTGCATGGCGAGGATTTAATCGTGTCACACGTCTGCAATGACAGGATATGGTCAGCAACGCTGCATGGCAAGGATCTAATCGTGTCGCACGTCTCCAATGACAGGATATGGTCAGCGAAACTGCATGGCGTAGATTCAATTGTGAGTCGCACGTCTGCAATGGCAGGATATGGTCAGCAACGCTGCATGGCGAGGATTTAATCGTGTCACACGTCTGCAATGGCAGGATATGATCAGCAAAGCTGCATGGCGAGGATTCAATCGTAAGTCGAACGTCTGCAATGACAGAATATAGTCAGCAACGCTGCATGGCGAGGATTCAATCGTTACTATACAAACAGTAACTTTCGTTCCCACGCCAAAAAGACACAAATAGCATCGACGACGGTTAATTCATCTGTTGAAAAAATCTAAAACGGGGTTTGATAATCAACTGTGAAGAATCTGCAAGAGACAGAAAAAAATGGCAGAGGAAAATATTGCACAATAGAAAAAATATTACTGTAGTGGACAGAAGTTCTTCCATTATGCAAGCTTGCTTGAAGACCAGAGAATGCTTTTTATTAATAATCTTGCTTGTTTTTCTAGTGAGTCAGGCAACGCCAGTCAGGAATTTGGTCATTGAAAAACTAATACATTGAAACAAAAGCTCACCTGATTCACTCAGCTCCCAGGAGTCTATGGAGAATCTCAGCTCGTATGGCAACTGAAACTTAAGGCGGTCCAGGAACTGGGCTCGGACCGTAGCGAGCGCCAACTGAGACATAAAACATGGAGGCATTTAGTTATTCAAGAAATTGGCCAGGCATTCAAGATAATGGACAACTGCAAGGTTTCCGGTGTATTGAAGGTTGAATTGGGATTATTGACAGTATATTACCACCTCGTATCAAGATAAGTTCTCTAGAAGGATGTTGTCTAACTTATCTCTCACAAACTTGTCCACGAATCCCTGTCCTCAGGTTCAGGTAGAAATATATTATCAGTCTGGAGGCGCTAAGTATAGCGCTTGACAACAGTCATATTTCGACTAAAGTGGAGGTCCTAATCCTAATCGATGGAGTCGAATAAAGTGGAGGTCCTAAAGTGAAAGTCCAAAAGTGGAGGTCCTAAAGTGGAGGTCCTACCTGGTGGGGGTCCTGGTCGGTGACCATCGCAGGCGGGTACTCCCAGGTCGCCGGTCGCGCCCTCCGCGTCAGCAGCTCACGCAAGACATCGACGCCCTTGCCGGTCTTGACTGAGGTGAACACAACCTGAGGCGGCCGAGCAAACCGTTACAATACATCAATGCACTAGGTACTTTAATTTTCTGTACGGTAAAAACATCTTTACATAGTAACAATGTTTCAAATGTAAAAACATTCGTTATCAAGTTATAGGAAGTGGCCCATCTAGCATAACTAGAAGAGACTAGAGACAAGAGGAATGAATTAGATGGTTTGAACTGATCTTGAAAACATTGTAGTTTAAATATTTTGAACTTAAGCTCGTATTTTGAAAAACAAGATTATTGTTCGTAATTTTGCATCCGATTCCATCTATCCGTTGGGACAAAATTCGAGACCTTAACTTTCTAAAACGTTACTTCAATATAAAAAACGTACACGAGTTCAAATTTCGAGCACTTGTGTTATAAGCAATAGAAGAATATGCGAGACGAAAATACGTAAATAAAATTTGAAAACACAAACCTCCTGGAAGAGCGGCCACCCTCTCCTGTCTCTGACGAAGTCTCTAGCCTGGTCCTCAGAGAGCCTGACGCGCCCCTGGAACACGTCCTGCTCACTGAAGGCCTGCGCCGGCCTGTACGCCTCCAGCAGCGACGCCTCGTCAGGAGCGACGTACATGTAATTCGAGGCTTCAAGTTCTTCATACGAGACGCAGAACTCGCGCTCTACAGCAGCTGAGGCTGGCACTAAGCTTATGTTGGCATTCGGGTCCAAGTACTCAGAGACTGACTTGATACTTTCTTCGGAAACTGATATATCTTGTGTCACGCGTACTGGCGCAACTTCATTTCCTGGATCCAATAAAATGTCTTCGGCAGATTTAAAAGTTTCTTGATTTTCCACAGCTGATAATGACCCGTATCCAGAACCATGTTGGCGTCCATCAAGTTCGCTCTGAATTATCTTGTTTCCCTCGTTGGTTTGCAAGTCATGTTTTGCAGGTAAACCTGAAGTGCGGTCATCTGACTCCTGAACTTGCGTTATGCCTGAATCAATTTCCAGTCTCCGAGGTTGCGACGTCAAGCGATTGTTTTGCTCTCGTCTTTGAATTCTGTCGAGCAGATCACTGACTAGCTCCTGACGAGTCTTGTTGGGGACGTTGTAGGGGTCGTGGGGCTTGGGCTGCTGAGGGGCGTGGCTCGTACGACCGCTCACTGTGTCCGCCGTCAGCTGACGGGCCACATCCAGCAGCGACGTGCGCTGCTTGACGCGGTCAACCTGCACGTCGGTGAACATTTAGCGCAAACCTAAACGTACTTCTAAACAAACCTGAATATACTTCGAAAATTCAAGAAATTTTTGTATTTTTTCAGTTATTGTTTTCATTGTCGAGAGAAATACTCTTCAACTATGCATTGGCGAATAGAAATGATTAAATGAATTCAATCTTTATTTTCAGCCGATTAGATCATAAGTTAATCGTTAGGCCACATCGTTATGCGATGATAATTTCTCGGCGCTTTTGTATAAATAAAATTGCAAATTAAACCCCTTACTAACTTCAAATTTAAGGAAGTAACGCACACCACCCACGCGATGGGACATGTACGGTACTATCGGTTTACTTCTCTATAGCACATTTTGGGCAAGGTTCGCTGCATACTTTTTAAAGGGAAACCTAGTCCCAACGCGTACAGTTCTTATCCTTCTATCCTGCATATTTACATATTAATTTTCACTACTGATTTTACTTACATTCTATGAAGTTTATTAATTGACGATGGAGCTGGTCTCTGGAACGTTTTCATTGAAGATTATGTGAATTTACTTGGCGTTATTTTCTATACTTTTAAATTCTTAAGAGTAAACAAGACTGTAACATAGAAAATTTCGATAATTCACGAGCGTCGCGCCCGAAATCACGAGACATTAAACTTGAAACTCAGTTTCGTGAATTTAGCTGTTTCTTAGCCGCATTGTAGCGGGCCAGCCTTGGCCGCGCTATTAGTTTTCTTCAGCCGCCGCACCTCTCTAACTAAAAGACTAAAGGAAAATGTATGCGTAGGTAGTTATCGCGGCAAGCAGAGGATTGCTAGTAGGCAGCCTACTTTTGCCTGACTTACCACACTGTGTAATGTCTATAAATAGCTGTATTTAATGTCAATATATTGTCTGTACTCGTAAACCTATACGCATTTAGTTTCTGGTCCCATGTTGTGGCTGCGGATTCTCCATGAAATTTAAATATACCTTGTGGCCTATGAAGATTCGTTGATCCATATTGATTCATCCTCGTACGTTAGGGCCCGCTAGCAGAGACCCAGTAACTTTGTGTATGGAGCGTAGTTCTCCCGCTACGTAGCATGTTTTAATTACAACCCGCACTTGTATGTGTTTCCAAGACAAGGCTACACTAAAGAAAAGAGCTAAGATATGATTGATTAGTCTAATGTTATCATGCATAATAACGATATTGCGACAGCTGATTATTGAACAGCTCGCTTCACTATGTTACGACACGGTTGATTGTCTCTGATGTTATTTAAAACTTACTAAGTACACATTCTAATTTACTATTAGTGCCAAGACATGATTAATTAATCATGTCTTAGCACTAATGAGCAGGCAGCGTAGGATGCCGGGCCAGACTAAATAAATTACGTGCTAAAACATGAATTAATTATCTCTTGTCTTATAACTTTAAAGTTACTGCGACATTTGTCAATATAACCACTCACTTTAGTGATACACAACAGGGCAGGCATGGTAGGGTGCAGGGCCAGACTAAATAAATTAGTACTAAAAGATAATAAATTAATTATCTCTTGTCTTATAACTTTAAAGTTACTGCGACATTTGTCACTATAAACACTCACTTTAGTGATACACAACAGAGCAGGCATGGTGGGGTGCAGGGCGAGCAGACGCAGCAGTCTGGGGTGTAGGCCGAGTTTAGTGTAGCGGCAGGCGCCGTCCACCACCAGCAGCAGCGCGTCTGCCTGCGCCACGGCCTCCTCAGCGTCGCGTACCAGCGAGCTCGGCAACTTGTGTCTGGCGATCACATGAGTAGTTCATAACAAACTTTCCGTATCAAGTAGGAAATAAGTGTTCTATAACAAACGTACCATATCAAGTGTTGAAAACAAGTCTTCTATAACAAGCATTAGATATCAAGTATTAGGAAATAAGTGTTCTATAAAAAAGTTCGATATCAAGTGTTGACAACAAGCAATTGACAACAGATATGGAAAATCAAGTGTAAAATCCAGTGTTCTATAACAAAGATTCTATATGAAATGTTAGGAAACAAGTGTTCGATAACAAGCATTATATATCAATGGTAGAAAACAAGTGTGCGATAACAAACGTTCGATATAGAGCGTTTAACATGGGTTTGATAAGAATTGTTCGTCATTGTTCCATCAGCCGAGATCGTCACGGACAGAACTCGCTTTGAATGTCTTCAAAAGTCGAGGAGATTGACAAGTTGAAGAGATTGTCAACCACGGTCTGTTGCCATACAGGTAAGCTAAACGCTAGTTGGTGATTACCACACTACCTGCGCGCGGCGTCCGGCGTGACTGTGCCGGGAGTGTCGAAGAAGACGAGCTGCGTACGTCCGACCGTGATGGCAGCTCGTGCCAGACTGCGGGTTGTGTGCACCTTGCGCGACACGCTGCAAACCTGCACACGTCCAAACCAAAACCTGAAGTATGATTGTGCCCACATAATTAATACGGGCTGGAATGTTTCCACACATAATTAATACGGGCTGGAATGTAAGAATTTGTATGCCATGGCTAATCAGTTTCACTCATAAGTATTTTCTGTTTGTTCATTTTGTTAGATCAAATATATCTATGAATTTTTCACCGTGAAGTTTAATAGCTTGCTCATTGAGCTCATGGATACATTCCAACCGAGAAAATATTATGATTTAGATCAGGAAAATTGTGTGGAAACTTATATCACTGATCGTTCGTAATGACCTCAAATATCTTGGTAATTGTTAATTTTTTATGCTAAATTTTTTCGTTCATATTTCAACCTCAGCCATTGTCGAAACGACAAAATTTAGCTCTGCGGGATACGAGCTTTAAGGGCTTCGTATTTGACTTGCAAATAAAAAAAAAACACTTTTGACAAGCGCACGTCTTTGAAGAAGCTCGCTTTGCCACAAAAATCTAACTTCGCACATTCAGGTATTCTTTGAAAATATAAATGGATATTAGAAATTCATTAGGACTTGCTATGAAACATTTTTTAAACAAATTTACAAATTTCATGTATCTTTTAGAGATCGATTTGAATTTGTGTTTTTGTAAGTGTATAAAATATTCCCTTTATACAGTAACAATTGCATACTAAAGGCATAACTTAATTTTTTTCAATTAACATCTTAATTAGTGTTTTATTTACAGCATTGTTGGTGAGGGAGTTAATGATGGAGCTCTTGCCAGAGTTGGGTAGCCCCAGCACCGCCACCTTCAGGACCCGGGCGTCCTGTGGCGACCTGACGTCCTCCTGCAGCAGCGACATCATCTGCTCGGGCGTGCACGGGGCGCTCCTCACGTACGTCACGACGTCCTCATGTGGGGCTCCTGGTGGGGAGCTGACCGTGGAGGAGTCTTGCCCCAGAGAGGGGAGTAGAGACGTGCTGCGTGGGTCACTGTACGTGGATGATAATTCACTTATGTCTGCTGGATAATTATGATGAATTGCAGAGCATATGGTATGGTCTTCGGAATCATTGAGAGTCTTCCGTTGTATCAAACTCAAGTCTTGCGTTGTATCTTCAGCGACATTATCCTGAGATTCAGCGCGACTTGGAGACGAAGATGAAGATTTTCCAGGTGATACGTCAAGTATTTGAGTTAAAATTTTTTCAAGATCTTGGGAAGTCGGTTTACTAAACTCGTCAGCGTTGGAGTCACCATCCTGCTGCCCAGATTGTTCCAGAGATCGGAAGTTGTCCTCTTGAAATTGGGTATGTTTAATATTTCCTGATTGATGGCTGGAGTTATCGTCTGTGGAGCAGCGTATGAATGGATCCACTTCGTGCGAGCTGAGAGATGCTTTTAACGAAGCAAATTTTTGTGTCGTATTTAATTTTGGGGAATTCCAATAATTAGAATCTGAAGGAGCGTTTGCAGAAACGATTCTAGTCTGAGATTTCCGTTGATGATGGTTCGCGTAGTCATGTGATGTAGAAGGAATCTCATCTTCTTGTCCAGTGAGGGGATGAGGGCTCCCTTCCCTGGCAGGTGTAAACTCAGGACCTGCCTCTCCAGCAGGTCTGCAAGCCCCTGCAGCGGGGGAGGCCCTCAGGAGCTCCTTGGCGAGAGCGACGCTGCGTAGGGTGTCGGCGTCGAGTCCGCTCTCCGGAGCCTGTGGTGCGGTCTTGAAAGATTTCCAATGTATAAATAAATAACCAATACAAATTATTAAATTTAAAATATAGCAGTCTAGAAAGCAAACCTCGTAACAAACAAGGATCGTACCCAGCAGTGTGGCGTATGTGGGATCGCATTGTTTTCCAAGCTATTATTTTGCGTGGCACATGATTTAGTTCAACAGGCGATAGTGTCGGTGTTCACAATACTTGACTGGAGTGTGCAAAAAGTAAAATTGTTCGAATATGATAAAAGTTTAATTAAATCCGTATTTCACTTTACTGATAAATCAGTATTAAATCCAATCTAGTCGGTCGGCAAATAGCTACCTGACCGATCACCTCGTTCCTTGCGTAAATTTTAGAACGAATTAAGTGCATTACAGCGTACTGGAATCATGAATATTAGGCTTGAAGCAACCGCAGTAAGAACATAGTGTTACAATTAATGCTACAGACACCTGCACTTATATCAGAGACATCAGATGCTACATCGTCAGCTGCTACATGTTATATCAGCTGCTACATCTTACATCAGCTGCTACATGTTACATCAGCTGCTACATGTTACATCAGATGCTACATCTTACATCAGATGCTACATCTTACATCAGCTGCTACATCAGCTGCACTTACATTGCTGTGTTTCTGAGGTGTGGACGGGCGCTTGCTCGGCAAGCCCGACTGTCTCTCTTTGTCTTGCCCCTCGCGGGACCCAAGTCCGAAGTCGAAGTAGCGGTCCAAGCGAGACGGTATGTGCAAGTGTCGGAATTGAGCGTTGCTTGGTTGATTATATATAAGGTGAGTAGAAGAAATAAATGTGGAATAATGTTGTGAATGTCTGCAAACTGCAGCAGGACCGGCCAAAGCACGATGAGGATCCAATAATATTAAAGGTGATTCCTTGAAGCAGTATTGTTGATGTTTGATGAACGTCTTCACGTTGGCCGACCGAGGCCTACAGCTGTTGCTGCCAGCGATCACATGGCGGGGCACCAACCAGCCTGCACTCAACATGCTTAATGTACAAATGTTTGAAAATGAAACAAAAGATACTATATTGTGAAAAAGGCTACAAAATATGTAAATTTCATGCTGAGATATAGTCAATTAAAAATTTGGGGACACTTATATTGGACAGCTGTTATAGGTTAAGTTAATTAACTTCAATTGCATCGAGTGGTTTGGTGCACGGAAGAATAAAGGTTGAAATAATCTCCATTTTACGTTACTGATATTATAGAAGTAAAATGGCAGTAAACTAATGTGTAAGAATAGAGATTTTTTAATCAATGAGCCGCTAAATTTTTTGCTGAGTCATAGTACGATAACAGAACATTTAGCAAGATTTAGTTTGTAATCACTTAAAAGCATTAAATACGTACGAAAAAAATTGCCTCTAGTAAACTTTTGCCGAATACTACGAGAACGGGCACGCTTCACAAGGTACGATGCATTGATAGCCGCGAAAACAAGTGTCCAGTAAACCATTTAACTCTCAAAGTTAGCACCAAACGTCACTGATATTTCTAGTGATTGTGAGCTGCAACGCGTCTAGCACGGTCACCTGTCATTGTAGGGTAAACATAACAGAAACGTAATGCTGCTTCCACCGTTTATTATCAATTGCAAAGAATGGCAGCACGTTAGTTTCAATGTATGTATAAGCATATTGCTGCTCCCACCGTTTATTACTGATTGAAAAGAATGCCAGCAAGTGAGTTTCAGTGCTTTTAGTTATTTCAGGACCTGAGGCTCCGTAGCTACTCACCTTCAGCAGCGGCTGCTGTCAAGCGCGGCTCTGCGATGGGCATCCGCCGCATTGTAGCGCCGTGTTACTTTTACAACCTCGACGGCTTCAACTGACTCATGTGATAGCATTGATTAGGCTAGAAATAAACGTTGGGTAGGTTTAGGCTTTTTCCAATAAGCTTGTATGAAATAATTAAAAGGGTATTTCTTAAGGAGGAACATACGACATGATCGGAAAATCTCTAAGATACATTACAAATTTTTTCCCAACAGCCTAGAATGCAATACTGGCGAAGCTTGCCTACCCTCCTCCACCCGAGGCACTCGCGTTAAGTTTAAGTGCCTAACCACCCTCAAGTTTGTCTTGCGGCACCACCCAAGGACATGCTGAAGCACCACTCTCTACAGCTACCAATCGCTGCCTGTTAGCTCGGGTCTCCCCAGAGATCGCTACATCTCTTGCAGCCTCCCTCGGCCTGCACTCCCCCGACACCTGCTAGCTCTGCACGGCCTCATTCCGCATTCTCAGAGATTACAGTTTAATTTTTTAGAGATTACGCATTACAAAACAATTACAATTTTGTTTCATAAGCAGAACTGCGACTATACAGAGGCATTGAGGTAATATTGTATTACTATGAATGATCACGTAGTATGTATATAATAGACAAATTACAGATAAATGAATTAAAAATATACAAAAACAAGAAAGTTGAGAGTTTAACTACGAAGAAATATTTTGTGGCAGTATCGGGTAGAGAACAGACCGCGGGTGAGGCTCTTCCTGAGGGATTACAATTAACTTGAAGTTAATCTTGATGGGTAAAATAAAACAAGTTTCAAATCGACGGTCATATCCACGACTGAAAAATATTTCTACTGGCCACTATACATATTTTTCCAGTCGCCAATGACCACTCCATTAGTGTCAACACAATAAATATTTTTGTTCTCGCATAACAACTCTCATTAATGCTTAACTCTCATTAATGCTCAAGTCTAATTAATGCTGAACTCTCATTAATGCTGAACTCTCATTAATGCTCAACTCTCATTAATGCTCATCTCAATGTTAACTAAAACATTGCGTAACGCGAGAGCTCAGAAGTGTAGGCGACCGCAAGTTCGGCGTAAACACAACAAACAGTAAGGTTATTAGCCGTTAGAGTTGCTGTTATAGAAGGGCAGGAGGGCGAAACGCGAGCCATGGCAACTCTGAGATTCAGTCCCTATCTAGAAAAACAATATTTTAAAATTCGACTTACAGATATTTTCATTACAAAAACTGAGCCCTCTAGTTGCGTGATAAAATTTTAACTTGTGATTGAAATAATCTGATGTTATTCACAGCTCGAATCTTAGAGCAAACTTTGGTTTCATTGCAGAGAATAATGTGTAATGCTATCTAGAGTCACGACAGAAACACGCAGCACCGATAAAATACTTCAAGGAACATTATTCGTGACCTAAAGAACTAATAGAATAAAGCGTGCTCTTGTTAGTTGAAATTAAAGTTACGGTAAGTTAGAGGAACGCCAACACCGTTACGATGTTATTTATTAAACCTTAGTAAAGCAGCAAGCATGACGCAGCCTTCGATAATATCATAGCAGAATATACGAGCTAGAAACGAGCGTCTGGGATAAAAATTCTACTCGGTAAACAAAAAAATTTCTCTGCCAAGTACATTTCATTGAGCTCCTGGCTTGGGCTTTGGTCGCTCGGTGGTGCTGTAACGCTGGGCGCATGGAGATAAATATAAGCGTTCATCTTAAAGACAAGTGATAGGCATTCATCATGGAGATGATGGGCATTCATCATGAAGATGATCGGCATTCATCATGAAGATGATCGGCATTCATCATGGTGATGGTGGACATTCATCATGGAGATGATCGGCATTCATCATGGAGATGGTGGGCATTCATCATGGTGATGGTGGGCATTCATCATGGAGATGGTGGGCATTCATCATGGTGATGGTGGGAATTCATCATGGAGACAGATGCCATGGATCATGGAGGCAGTAATAATGGAGATTAATTCATTAGTCTGCACTCGACTGGTGAGCGCCGGACACGAGGCAAAGAGCAATTTTCTGGAGTCACGCCGTGCGTCTTGAAACAGAACTATACAAAAAATTCAATGCCTCGAAAGGTAAAAAAATATTCAATTACAGAATTCCAGTACATGCAACGCAGTAAACATGCAACTAAGCATCAATTTACTCCACTCAGCAGACACAAAACGGTACAAGAAAAGATTGAAACAACATCCTCAAATAGATGATGGAACTAAGCTCGTGTTGGGGGTGAGAAATATCCTAGGTCTCCTGATAGGTCATAATATATGAAAAGCATTTATGTGAAATTGACAGCAGCCGGGCAACAAGATAGTGTTTAAATGAAGATGAGGCAAACAACGAGACTGCACGATAACAAATACAAAATACGGGTGTTACATTTGTAGAACACATCATTTCCTCTGATATTTTGTGATGGATTCGCCAATTCTAAGCTGTGAAAATACACTTGTAATTGGCGCACGTTTCCCTTCATTCTACAGAAAGAATTAAAATAAAAAAACTTGCTACCTTATTGCACAAGGCCGTGTATTATTATTTACCGAAAATTCTTCCTCGATAGAAAAAAAATATATGTGCAATCACATATACATATCTACACGCTGCAAATAAAAAAACTCCGTGCATGATAAGTAAGTTATAATTATTTCTTTAAATGAAAATCTTGCCCTAATAAGATACATGCGTTACATGAACACAATCTAGAAGCAACAAGCCCGCCCTGCTTCAGCACGAACGAGAAGAGTAGCAGCGCACGTGGATACAAGAGCAAGATTTTCTGGAGAATAAGAACATGACTGCGGTGTAGGTTCATGTGGAGTGCCCTGAGAGCTACGTAGGTGAAGCAGGACCGCAGGAGTCATCTAGATGTAGGGGTCGTCTAGATGAAGGTGTGGAAGGAGTCATCCAGATGTAGGGTACAGTTAGATGTAGAGTGCAGCTAGGTGTAGGTGGGGGAGGAGTCATCCAGATGTAGGGTGCAGCTAGATGTAGGGAGCAGCTAGATGTAGGTGAGGCAGGAGTCATCTAGATGTAGGTGAGGCAAGAGTCATTTAGATGTAGGGAGCAGCTAGATGTAGGTGAGACAAGAGTCATCTAGATGTAGGGAGCAGCTAGATGTAGGTGAGGCAAGAGTCATCTAGATGTAGGTGAGGCAGAGGTCAGCTAGATGTAGGGGTCATCTAGATGTAGGTGGGGCAGGAGTCATCCAAATGTAGGGGTCATCTAGATGTAGGTGGGGCAGGAGTCATCCAGATGTAGGGGTCATCTAGATGTAGGGGTCATCCAGATGTAGGGTCATCTAGATGTAGGTGGGGCAGGATTCCAGAGGAAGGTTGCAGGCCGAGCAGATGATGGCCGTCTTCTCGTTGATGAGGGTGCACTGCTGACACTCCCGGCCCCCGGTCTCGAGAGGCTTGATGGGACCCGAGACGTGAGGCCGAGACTTGCTGCACATCTCGCAAATGTTGCTGCTCGTCTCGTTCTGGAAGGTACAAGCAACACACGACCACGGCACCACGGTCTCGCTGGTTGACTTAGGTTTGCCTTCGCTTGATTTGTTCTTGCCTGAGTCGGAACCTGAGAGCTTGCTTGTCAATACCGCACCTAAGTTACTAAATTTCTGCTTACTGAACTTGGAGCTCTTGCTAGAGGTGCGGTTGGGCACCGTCGAAGAGTTAGACGAGGATTGATTATCGCTGTGATTTGAGCCCTCGGGACTAAATGTATCCGCTGTTTTCCCTGGATATTTGTCGCCTCCATGAGCGGAATATTTATCTGCTACGTATGTGGGTTGCGGGCTTGCGAGCTTCGAGAAGAATTCGTCCCTGGAACAAGATTTATCGCCCCCTTGGGGTGCGTATTTATCGCCCGGCAATAGGGTTTTATGGTAGCCGGCATCGTGCAGGCGGTCGGCAGCAAGTTTTCGTACGTCTTCCTCTTCATCGGAGTCCTGCCGCGCGGTCTGGAAGCCATCGTAGGAAACGTTGTCGTACAAACTCTGGCGCTGGTCCGTAACGCTGCTCGAGTCGCCTCCACCACCCCGGCTCCTGCAACACACAGCGTTACAGCGGCACAAATTGGCGGCGGACCCTGCAACACACAGCGTTACAGCGGCATAAATTTGCGGCGGTCCCTGCAACACACAGAGTTACAGCGGCACCTATTGGCGGCGGCGGCCCCTGCAACACACAACGTTACAGCGGCACAAATTTGCGGCAGTCCCTGCAACACACAACGTTACAGCGGCACAAATTTGCGGCAGTCCCTGCAACACACAGCATTCCAAATGCAAGCAACTACCGCGGTCTGAGACACACGCTGCGTGACAGTGCGGCACTCAGGAAGAATGCCCGGCGAGATGAGAAACAAAATAGGCTGCCTGACGAGCTAAGCAGAATCAGGAGACCTTCGAGGATCCATGGCGCAAAAAGCCAGGATAAAAATATTGCGAAACTTTGTTTTGATTCCTCGCTTGCATCATACAATAAGCCCTATACGTTCAATGTAGCATAAATGATGCAAAGATTCTATTAAATTTATGTGCACAAAATGGAGGACGAATCACCTCTCACTGGCGCGGTCCCTCGCCGAGCAGCTACCGGCGCCCGCCCCAGCCCGACGCTCGCCAAGACGTAGCGAGGCGTCACCAGCGACGTCGACGTTCAGGGCGCCGTTGACGCTGTTGGAGACGTCGTATTGAGGCACCATATCCTTGTTAACGGCATGCACGGTGCTGGGGATGAGGTCCACCATGCCCTCTTTGTTGTCAGGGTGGGGCGTCGATTCGGGGGAGCGGAGCTCGCGCTGCAAGATGTCGCCGCGGTTGCCGACGTCTTTGCTGTAGCCGCGGTTCTCCAGGTTCTGTAAACAACATAACAACATAGTAAAGCTGTCCCATGGCCATGAGTAGGTATAGATCAGAATCATGGAAATGGACAATGAATGATATACATTTAAGTATGGACTTAGAAGCTGAACAGAGGACACGCAATCGAGAAGAACATCTTCCAGAAAACGATGTCAGCATCACTTCGGCAGCTAAACCGTCCATGAGACAACTGCAGGATATTCAACAAAAATCCCCAACATTTCGCAATGTGCAGCCTCAACACACTTCCTAGAGCTAATAAAATTCACTCAAATCATTTGGTGTCGTCGCCGCAGGGGCTCAAGAAAGAAAGTGATGAAGTAAATAAAGCGTTCGTCCAAAAATCGACACACGAAGACTAAAATTAATGACACATTATCAATGTTGTGAATTACTATGTTGTGTCACCGGACGTTCGCAGCATCTTTTCTGTTTTGTCAGACGGTCACAAACTCTACGGTCACACGCCGATAACTATCTTCCTAACACCGATGGAATAAAGTTCCAATCGCTTGTATTTTATTGCTATTGGTTTCAGTTCATTAGAATATCAGTTCATGCGGATAAAACATACATTTCACTTCAGAAATGAAAAGTTTAAAAAAATCACGTATAAAATATGGAAACCAGCATAGCAAACATATCCGTGAAGCATAAAAATCTTAATAAAGCTCACGAATAACAGCCACAAGACCTAGCGTTAGGGCACATGATCGCTAGTGGAGCAATAGGGCTGGCAAGACACGACTGACTATCTGGCTCATCTCCACTTAGACCTGACCTCGCACAGCGTCACTGCTACTGCAGAAAGGTCTGACTCAAATGTTACTGAGGCGACTACGCAGCGGTACAATTACACGCTAGGTGCATGAAACTAAAAGGTTTGCATGTGAATAAATGAATGAGGCTAATAGTGAATGATTTCCATCGTTCAAGCGAGGATTGAAAATACCGTACGTTCGCATTTTTTGTTTCAACGATAACAGGAAAATGTAAGAGAGATCAGTATCTGTGCTTTACAAAAAGCTAGAGAACTCCTGACGCAGATATATATCACTTCATTCAATAAGAGCTCGTAACAGAAGAGACGATGTGTCTCAGTATTCAATATTTAAGAGACGGAATGCGAAGTTCCGGACGCCAGCTCGATGCTTCGTAGCACAGATAAAACTTTGAATAGCACAGCACACCTTCTTCCAATAAAAACTAAAATAAGGCATCGTGACGATAAATTCAACCTTTCAACGTTCACAAATTCTATGCATAGAACCCCGGTGGTTAATTCAAACTCTAATCTGAAATTATTTTCTAACCTTTAGGACAAAGTCCCAGTCACTGTTAAGAGAAGGAACCTTGGGGCCGGCTGTGCCCCTGGCGTCACTCCTGCCGAGGTCGTGAGCATGGGAGAAGGCCTTGCTGACGTGCTCGTCGAGGGTGCTCTCCTGGAACACCTCCCGCGGGATGGACGCGGGCAGGCAGCAGCCCTCGCCCGTGTCGAGGGGCGCCATCACACCCCCCGACCCTCGCGCGGTGTAGGGCTTCGTGGACCGCGCGTGAGGCAGCACCTGAGGGCGGCCGGGTCGTGTAATAATTATACAAATAATTTGGTAATCGATTCCAACAATGCGGACAACTCGGGTAGTAATACGACATCAAGTACTTTTTAAAATGATTTGTGTAATTTCAGCCCATACTTGATGACATTAGTCAACTGAATCTTCAGTTTACGCAACGAACGGAAAAAGATCAAATGAAAACACAATTGTAGGCATTCAAATTTAAACACAAGCAAAGACAGATGAAACAATAAAATTAAAAGATCAATAAGATCAATGAAATCTAACCTTAGGCAGGATGCTGGTGGGAGCTTCGTGCGATTTCCTGCTGCTCCGACTTTCATGTCTGTTTTCATGCTTATTATCGTGCCTGTTTTCTAGTCTGTTGTCGAGTCTGTTGTCTTGTCTGTTGTTCTGGTCGCTGTGGTCAATAAGCTTCGCGATGGCCACGCTACTGACTCCTGAAAAAATTGTTTTGGAAAATAAACATATAAATTATGAGAGGCAAAGTTATAAAGGAACCTCGGATCCCAAATTCAATTGTTCCTGACAGTGAGTCAACAAATGGAAAAAAACTGTTCGAGTTGAAATTAATGTAAACCAGATTTCGGCGCCTCACAACTCAATTTGTACAAGTTTTCGGTGGCGTCAGCAATATCCTTGTTGGCTGTTTGTTCAATCAGAAGACTTTGACACTTGTTTGAAAAGCAGAGCGCATAGCACATATGACATTCTCATGTTATATTATATGACTTATAGCTAAAAATAATGACTTAACGAAAGCGCTAGCCGGTAAGATCGCAACATCAAGTCATGTGGTTGGTCATAGCACTCGATCCTTCACTACAATGGTAGCAGGGAGAGGATAAAATAGTGCAAGTAGGATAAAACAAGGAGGACCTTTGAGAAGTAAATAAAAACACGACAACAAAATTATGACAAACAGGACATCAAACAAGAAGAGAAAGACCAGGACTGGTGGACACAATTAAAGCGTACCTCGCTTGTCGTCGTGTCGCCGCCCCAGCGTCTCCCTGTGCCGCTCAGGTCTGGCAGGGCGGCTCAGTCGCGCCTCCTTCATGCCGAGGTTCTCGAAGAGGTCATCAAGCTCCCGCATCTGCCCGCCTCCCTCGCTGTGGTGAGGCTGGCTAGTGAGCTGCAGGTGCTCGGTCTTCGTAGCGTTTGTGATGTCTCCAAGCCGCGGCCGGTCTAGGGTTGCCATCGAGGAGGTTGGGGTCGAAGGGAGCGAGGAAAGAGGCAAGGTTCTTCCTTCATTGCGTGCAGCAGCGCTCAGCTGCAGCTGACTCTGGCTGGCAGCTAGCGTCTTGGCGGGAGCTTTGGTTGGGGACGTCAACTTGGTGGGCGAAGTGTGTCCAAATACCGGAGATTTCGATGGCGCCGTGTCCACTTCATCGGACCAAGGGCTTGAGACATTAGAAGATTTCGGACACAGCGGCAGCAACTTTTGCACCATCTGTTGGTAGGTGCCCACGTTTTGCTGACGGTACTGTAGCAGCTGACGCAGCGTCAGACCTGGCAGGTGTTGATGCAGCTGCCCCAGCACCTGAAAGAGTGTATGGTTTCAAAAATTTCTTTTGATCAAACTTATAGAATCTAGAGACTTCATCACCATTAAAAGACACATCTGTTTCTACATAATTTAAACTCGGAGGTCTGGTGGCGATAGTCCTTGTCATGCATTATGTGCTAGAAACGTCCTTGGAAAAAGGATTCACTCATATATGCGTCAATCCCGTGACCAGCAAGGAGGCCGAGCGAGCCTCCATGGTTCACCTGAGACAATCTGTCACTAGGCGAGGCTAAACCGCGCAAAATACCTCCACAGAATATTGATAAATATGTGAGAAAAACACCAATAATAAATTAAAATATAAATAATGAAAAATAATATATAAATAAATATAAATTATAGAAAAACAGTAAGCAAGATACCTGACACTCTGAGCAGGCGATGTGGCAGTCGAGCGCGAGGCGCGTGACCAGGTCGCCATCCACCATGGACGGTGACGCCGGCAGCTCGTAGCAGCCGACGGGGGCGCCGTCCTGAGTCTTACCGGCACGGCTCCTCCTAGAGGGCTGGTACCCCATCAGCAGCAGGATGGCTTCTGCCCCCACCAGGTGCTCGGACACGTGGTGCACCCAGTAGCCGCTGTACACCTGCACAAGGTATGGGGCAGGGTGAAGTGGAGCCTGCGACTGTACCCGCAATTCATGAAAAAATCTAATAAAGAACTTCGTTCGTGGATCAATACGTACAGCGTTCATTGAGAAATTTACCAACTGTAACCTAATTTTATTCAGTTTCTTATCTTATTTCTTTCTTATCTTAACAGTTACAACTCGATCACTTCGCCAAATTCTCCCAAGCAACACTGAAAGAATGAATTCAAGAACATAGTTCTTCAAAGTCGTCACACACTTGAGTCATCAACACATGATCGGCACCCCAGGACTTTACTTTGAGTCCAAGTATTTGCTACAATGAACTTATCACTCTGGTCAATTTCCCGACTCTCCTAAAATTTTAATGAGAAATAACAATTTGTTATGTTATTATTGTTACATAGGTTCCAGTAATTTAAGTCGAGTGGAAAATAGCCTAAGGTTGTACTATTAAAAGTCGAATAGACCGTAGTTACAAGTTCAAGACTCCGTCAGCCAATCACTAACAGCTTTTCAAACTAAAGCCACCAATCACAGGCGAGAAATAGGCCGCCACGTAAACTTAAGGCTGGTAGCCAGATTGTAGCGAAGTCTGAGAGCGAGGTATTCGCGACCACGATGTAGAAACCCGACTCTGCCTCAGTATGCTCGTTCATTACTAGTTCTTGGCGGGTAATATCTACAAGGATGCTGATTAAGAAATTCAGAACATACCATTCAGTGGCAAATAAAAAGAATAACTCGTTGACATCTTGAAAAAGTGCGGACGGCGCACAATTTATTAAAATTTTTCAGCATTTCTTAAAATTTCTCTCCAACATAAGTCTTTCTATACAAGGTTTACTTATTTTTCCTTACTATCCACGGATTGTACTAAAAAGATAGATAGATTTTTCCATAGATGGGAAAGCATGGAAAATTTCTGATCGTCATCTCATTTGCGAGTGGAGTAAAGTTCAGCCAAATTTGTGAAGAACTCAACGGTATAACGTCAAGCCTGGCCGACGCTTAGCGGTTCTCAGCACTACCCTTAAGCGAGTATTAATAGCACGGCCCCTGAAGGGTATGAAGTGAAGATAGTTATGCAGTAGTATGGCAATATGAGTCACCTTGATAGCCCTGTACTCGCGCCGCCATGGCTGCGACACGAGGTTCGTGGCGTAGGACGCGAGAGCCTCAAAAGCCTCGGCCGCTTTGAAGGCATCACAGGAAGGCAGCTCAAGGATGCTCTTCTCGAGCGTCTCCCGCACGCCTGCGAAGCTGAACTTGAACCGGTGCGGTGTCATCGATAAAAACCGCTCTATTAATTCTGCACAAAAAGAAAGGGTAAATAATAAAAAATATAGAGGATAACTATATAAATATTATATATAGAGGATTAATATAATAAAAATAACCAAGAAGTACAATTATCTCACTGCTCCCTTTTGACCTGCATTTAAAACCTACATTTGAGCATCTTGAAAAAATTAGTAAAATTGTACATCAGCCAGAATTTACACAAGAAAAATATAAAAAGCACTTCACTGCTGTTTGCCATGGAACCATGAAATTAATGCCTAAGTTGCAGTATAGGGCATAGACCAAATTCAGGCATTGTTTTCGAACCATCCATAGTTTTTCGGAGCTGCAGCTTGTCAGGCGAGTCGTCGGTATTGAGATGACTGAGGTGCGTCTCGTGCAGCTCAGTGTACAGAGCAACGTCAACGTCAGCACAGACTCCTGGATACTCCTGTGGATACTAGTGGGGGGCAAGCGAAGTATCATTTAGATATGGTGCACCAGGTATCTACTTTACTATGCTTCTCTTCCTCAAAGGCCATAAGCTGGCATGTGGTTTCATAATGCAATGTTCCTTCAGGTTAAAATTCACACAATACAGAAAATTTTTGAATAATGATGCCTACATGAAAGAAGAATAGCAAAGATGTATCTCAGCTACCTAAGAATAAATGCATAACAGACTTTACTAGCACTTGCAGTTGCCTATATAAATAATAAACAACATGTGAAATTACAGTTACATATTAGTGACGGGAGTAGAATGCTCACAATTTTGAATACAACATTTATTAATTTAATTATTCAGAACATTTTTAAAACATCATCTTTATTGCCAATTTTAAATGCAGACTCAGAGAGATAAACAATAATCTTATGAATGATGAAAACAAAAAATCCTAGCAAGCAACACATAACCATTATAGTAGAGAAAATTTTTATTATTCTGGAGATTAACAACTGTAAAAACTCACTTTGTATGCCACAAAAGGAGTGTGGTATGGAGCGGGAGGAGGTGGAGGGAAGGCAGCGTTGTAAGGCACCACACTACTTGGATTGCTTGAATATATCTGATGTCTGCTGGAGTCAGCGGCCGAGGTGCTCACCGGTGCTACGTCAGGGCAGTAGGGAGGCATGACACCACCGCTGCTGGTCACATTGAAGCCCGGAGGAGGAGCTATGTAGTGGTGGCTCATGAAAGATGCTTGCTGGCCCAGGCTCAGGGGCATTGTCATTGTGTTCATGTAAGGGTTAATGTAAAATGATGATTGTGGATACATGGCTGCTGGTCGAGCATCTGAAGACAGGATGGGAAGGTTCAGGTTTGGGTCTTTCAGATGAGCTGGGATGGATGCAAGACTGCCATGCTGGTGAGTGGAGCCATGGATAGCAGCATTCACATGTTGGCCAGCAGCAGTACCTGCTAAACAAATTACACTGAAATGTATGGTCTAATATCCTCAGGGTATTTATATACACAAATATTAAGCATGAATATCAGGGTGGCACTCAGAACAGCATGACAATTTATCTTGACAGTAATTTTTTGGTCTCAACTTTTTTTTAATGTACATTTACATAATTACTAGAAAGAAGTTACTTAGATGCACTTTTATGGGTTTCAAAAGCAATGTCAAGTATAGAGAAGTACAAAAATGCCTGTAAAGTGACATTTTGCTAGCTTAACATTTTAATGGTAACGGTAATCAATTCATAGACAAATTATCATGTAATTGACTTTCCCTACCAGTTTTGACATTCATGCAGTTTATATATAATTAGCTCTCCAGTCTGAGCTACCTATATATAAACTGCAGTGTATAAAAACTTGCAATGCACCATGCACAGTTGAACATTAACAAATGTTCAAGAAAAAAAATTCCTAAAGCTGGAAAAATTCAAAGAACTTTTGTTTGTTATGTTTTTCTGGAAAGATAGTTGAATTTAAACTGTAGTTGAAACATCTTAACACGTTGGCCGCGATTGCTGATTTGGCCCGAATGCCGTACGGGCGATAGGTTCAAACTTGTATATCTTCTTTTTTCATATGAATGTACCACATGTGTACACATCGCGATTCTGAGAAGTACAGCGTGTACATATATGGCGCACATCGCGGCCAACGTGTTAATATGCTTTTTCACTGTCAGTAGCAGCACAGTCTCTGCTTCTCATTAGTAGTTATATTTGTGAATATTTTAATCCTGTTCAGGTACAATGAATACTTTGGCAAAGCTGCATATGATTCATGAGGCTTGAACACTAGGTACAGTTGAGTGATAGCTCTTATAATCATCTCTCTAAGATAGACTAACATAGACACAATATATAGTCATACAAAAACTAGGTACTTTACAAATTTTTCTTTCCAAGAGTATTAACAAATTTAACATTGCAAAAATTTTTCATATTATAAATTGATATCAAAAAGCAATTGAAAATCTTGGTGATTTAACTAGAAAATAATGTAAAAATAAAAACATTGAATTTCAGCCTGCCTCAAGGATTGAACATTTCTTAGAAAACTCCAGAAACCTCCTGAATCTGGCAAAATTAAGAGCTTTTCACTCCGCCACCAAAGCCTCAATAAGCTCAGGCAGCATTAATGCACTATGGTGCCAGTCAATCTTATGTTGAATGCTATTTTCCATTGGTTTTAGTTCAATAGGTACTTTTCTTAGTAGCTCATTTTACCTTGAGAAAAATGTAAAGGTAAAATGCATATATTGTGAAATACAATATATAAATAAATTGAAAGTAGTAACACATGCAGGAAAATACAATGTAAGTAGTGAAACAGAGATTTTCTTCAAAATTGTAATGTAGAAATTCAAGGGCAGACACAAGTGAATCAAGTTTTGCAAGTTTGGTGCCTACATAATTAATAGTGAATGCATTCAAACCTTCTACAAGAACAGGTAGATTTCTGCCATTAAAATTATTTATTTGAAAGATTTTGCATGAAATAAAACCAATGTAAATAACTTGTTTACTAAAACATTTTTAGCCACAAATTAAGAGTCCTGTAAATTGCAATTAAATCCATTATTTTTGACAGTTCAATTTTATACCATTGATAAATGCATTGATGAATGATCAAGAGGATTCAACTTGTGAGTATAAATAAAGGTGTACATTGGTTCCTTTAAAAACAATTAACAGTTCCAGTCACTTAATTGTAATTAACAGTTCCATTCACTTAAAAACAATCAACAGTTCTATTCACTTAAAAACAATCAACAGTTCCATTCACCTAAAAACAATCAACAGTTCCTTTAACTTATTAAAAACCATTAACAGTTCCATTCCTTTAGAAACAGGTTCAGTAAGTTCACAAAACTTCTCTTACACCAACAATAATCAACTCATAAAATATAATGAAACGTTCAGAGAAGCACATGACTTACCAGCATTGCTGTGGTTATAGACAAGGGCCTGAGTTGTGGATGCTGTAGGGTAGCAATAGCTTGCGTTGGGATGCGATGCATAGCCAGGATGGGAATATGATAGGCCATGCTGGCTCATTGTGTTATTCATGGCTGCTGGCTTCATCTATTTGAGTGTTTTCCTGACCTAACACAAGAATAACTGATATATAATTGCAATTGACCATAGCTACTGGAGGACAAAATTGAGTTCAAGGGTATCAAATCAAAAATATTCTGGAACAAAGATAATAATATACGTTTAAAAATTACTTTTTAAAGACAATGCTTCCAAAGAGTCCAGTGTCTCAAATTTTACAGATGTACAATGAATTTCTCATTTAATTTTTCAAATATTAAAAAAATTTATTTTTCAATTTTTTTAATATATACATTTTTTAATATATAAATTTTTTTAAAAATTATTTATTCTATTAATTGATTAATGCATTGCCTCTGACTTCACACAAGTGTGCAAAATTTCAGATCAATTAGACAGGTAAATGTGTATCAAATATCAGTTACGTACAAGATTTGCAGCTGACAAAATTATTTTTAAAATTTTTTTGATATTGAAAAACATTTTTTTTAATTTTTAAAATCATTTATTTTGACATTTGATTCATGCATTCATTGCATTGTCTCCAACTTTACACAAGTGTGCAAAATTTCAGATCAATAGGATAAGTAGAAGTGTATTAAATTTTGATTACAAGATTTGTAGCAGACAGACAAACAAACAGACAAGAAGTGAAGTTAGAGAGAAGTGTTGTAAAAACTTCTTCATTGCAAGATATGGTAACACTGGCACAAGAAAAAGTATTTGAAACCAGTTATATATAATACAGTAGTACATTGGTTCACAACTTCAATTTCACTTGAAAGCAAGCATTTCAGAAAAAAAAATGAAGGAATACTACAAATTTCATTTGTCCAAAGTGAATTTGGGAATTTCTAAAAGAGCGCAAAGTGCCTTTGTGCAGAGTGAATTTTTCCAAAAGCCCGTAGAAGATTATAACTTAAAAGTGGAGCCCACATGAATTGGAGGCAATGTAGCAGTCCAGTTTAATATTTAAGATTTTGTATAATATAATAAAAATATTTAGAAATTTAGAATTAGATTTAATTGTAATATTAAGATTTGTTTATATCTGAAAGACTGAACGTAACCACAGCTGAATACGACGATAGCCAACTTCATTTTAGCTTATAGTATTTTTGATACATTGCACTAGAACCTCTTGTTAGAGTAAGTACTTAAGTGTTCCAACAGTCAGCCTGTACTAATTTCTTTAATAGCTGATTTGATTTATATTGTTTATAATCATTTTTTATGTATTTTTATTTATGTAACTTGTAATAATCTGTTATTTATACAGGGTTCTATACTGAGACCAGAAAAAGCGTCTATTATTTCCCTCAATCCTGATCATGAGAAGCTTTACTGGTGACCCGAGTTGAATACGAAGATTGATATAATTGGCTGAGCAAGACCAAAAACTTCCTTTGGATGTATCTTCAACCAATGCAGTGTCTATTAAGATGCCAGGGTTCATGGAAAGTGCTGCCAGCAGTTGATTTGAAGTACTTGAGTCATAATTTCACTTGAAGAACATCAAATCAGAAGAAACTAAATTTTTCAGTGTAATGGCTGCTTTACCACCCGATTTGATTATGAAACTGCCACTTCAGCTACGCCAGGCTAAGAGGTTTACAGAATTGAAGGAGGCTGTAATCGCTATTCATGAGAAAACCAAACCTGAATTGTTCAGTTAACTAATTAGCAAAACCTCTATGTCTGGCCGTCCATCCTACTATCTGCAATAACAGACTTCTGTTGCTTCCAGCGTTGGTGTAAGCGAAGACCTAGTAAGACACCAATTCATTGGCTCTTCCCCCAGCAATTTTTCCCGGGCTGGCTGCTCAGCGCGATCTCACCTTGCAGCAATTGGGAACCTTGGCTGGCGAACTTTTGCCACTCTTACAAAATCAAGTTATGCAAGTAAGCAGATGATCAACTCAACTGTCCCTTTCTCCTAAATTCTCCAGGCAGTCCTCACATCCCCATTCTTCAAGGATTCCTATCGGATTAAAACCATTCTCAGCCGATCAGCGCCCAAAGGTCTGTTGTGGTCACCTGTACTTTGCTGAGATGTCGAGGACTTGCAAGCCTTGGTGTAGACGGATTGATAAAAGTGGATGCAAGATTCAGCCAAACTCGAGAGCACCGTCACCCGCACCTTCAGACTCTTCCAGCAGAAAGGCGTCAAACTAGCAAGGCGGGTCACTTCCATGACAACCGGCCCCTCACTTCTCAAAGTTGCTGCTCGTGTTGGCGCGATAGATCTACACATGATTGTGGACACGGGGGCTGCAATCTCAATTTTGCCAAAACGCTATTCCACGGGGTTATCACTTCAACTGACCGCAGTTCAATTATCATTTGCCTCTGGTGAGTCCATTTGCACCTATGAAGAAGCGGTAGTTGCCGTACAAATTCCGTCCCTCCGACGTAAATTCACTTGGACATTCGTTATTGCTGATACCTCCCACCCGTTATTAGGAATCGATTTTCTCTTTCGCCTTAAGTCATTAGTAGACTTCTAAATTGCAACTTGTTGATACCATAACCAAAAGTACCATAAATGCAAAGTCAATTTCTAATTATTCAGTACAATTAATAGTAAACAACTGTGAAACTTTGCCTCCGGATCTAACAAAAATTCTCGATAAATTCCCCAAACTCTCTTCTACAAAATCCGTGCCAGTGTCCACAATTGAATCTAAAGTGCATCATTGTATAGATACAGGAAATGCTAGTCCCATTTATGCCAAAACTCAACAGATTTCTGCAGAGAAATATAATGCTGCCAAAGCCAAATTTTCTAGCTTATTGCGATCTGGAATTATTAGACCATCTAAATTGCCTTGGTCATCTCCACTTCATTTAGTTCCAAAAAGCAAACCAAATTCGTACCGTGCTTGTGGAGATTATCACGCACTTAATGCCATTACAAAACCCAACCGTTATCCAATTCCTCATATCCATAGCATTTCAAACAAACTCGATGGAATGACAATATTTTCGAAAATAGATCTCGTTAAAGCATACCACCAAATTCCCATTCAAAAATGAGATATTGAGAAAACTGCAGTCGCTACCCCTTTCAGCCTTTACGAATATCTTTACTTGCCTTTTGGCTTACGGAATGCCGGAGCAACATTTCAAAGATTCATGGACAAAGTGCGTGCTCATTTACCTAGACGACATCCTTGTGTTTTCTACTAATCTTGAGTCACTTAACAGATTTGGAGAAAATGCTAAATATTCTTGACCAAAATCAATTAAAAGTTGCACTTCATAAATGCAAATTTTATAAAGATAATATCGACTTCCTTGGTTGCAATATTTTGTCAAACGGTATTAAACCAACACAATGTAAAGTAGGTATCGGAAATCTCCTTTCCTGAACCGACCAACTCAAAATCACTCCGTCGATTCTTGGGCATAGTAGGTTTCTATTGGCGATGTATTAACAATTTTGCCCTAATTATACTCCCACTCACCAATTTAATAAAGAAAAATCCAAAAGCAAAAACTCTGACTTTAGAGGGAGAAGCACGATTAGGGTAAACGTGGTATATTCCGACACATTAAGGACATAGCAAAAAATGAATGGCTATAAAAAAATCACCGTAAGTGGAACTCGAGTTCTGTTTGCTTTATATATGTTACTCTCAAAACACCACACTATGCACCAGCAACAATAAAACATCACAAAAAAATGTTGCCATATTTATTTAAAAGCCTTCAGAATGCAAACCTACCAAATTCATATATTCCAATGCTGTGTGTGACTAAATTTGGCATTTTGTGAGACTTATTCCAGCCGCGCTTCAAACTCTACTAATTCGTAATTCCGACCCTCTTGTGTTCAAATTCCGATCACTGTGTGAGCTGTATTGGAATACGACACAGCTCGGAATTAGAACACTATTGAACACTATTAGAACACTACTTAATTAGGCTTTTAATCAAGAGCTATTAAGCTTTTAATTAAGAAAATTTTATTTTTGCACACAGCTCAGAATGAGCTGTGTGTGTCTAATTCCAAGCTGTGTCGGAATTAGTTTTTATGTGTCTAAAACCGTCTCTTAACCTAATCATCTATTAATTTATTTAGGCCTACCACTTGAAATCAGCAAATACAAGTATACATAAAGGATTCCTAATATATTCACACTTTCACACCAACCAATTAGGTAGAACTCCTGTATAGTTTTGCATTTTAAATATAACCATTGCTTTTGTTTTCAATATCAAAACTTGTTTGGCTCTGTTATGCATTGACAAATTGCTATGTAAAATTGTTATATCAATACACCAGCCTATACTCCATCTTTATATTACTGTTGGGGAAAATTGTATTCTGTTTTGTTTTTGTTTAATTATTTGCTGTAAAACTTGTCATATTTATACCGGCATATAATTTATTTTCTGCATTACTATTGCAAGCCGTAGCTTGAGATCAGATAAAAAACACGGGCATAATGTCAGACTCTGAGTCTGACATGCCAAGCCCTGGCGGTGATGATGAGAATATTGTTCCGGAAACACCATCACAAGATACTGCTGGCCCTCTCCTGCAATCTGGACTTCAACCATCTTCAGATCAATCAGATGAAGACATCACCTGCTATCAAACTAAGCCCAAGTCAGTAGAAAATGACAGAAGAACCAGATCAAGCATGGACTTGCAAGAAAGGCTTCCTTATCCTAGCAGCAGCAGGCACAAACGACAAATTGGTACAGAATCTGAACAAGAATCAGACTGCTCAATCAGATCAACAGCCACTCCAGCTAGCACTAACGTCAACAAAATTCCCAAACTGTCTGCCAAAAGAACACAGTATAAAGCCTGTCTCTTATACACATCTAGATGTGTATAAGAGACAGCCCATAGTCCCACCTACCTGACCCCTGAACAACCGTCATTGGGAGATGCCATGGAGACTCTAACCAACCTTATGAAAATTGAGATCCAGAAACTCAGCATATCCATTTGTAAGTTCTTGAAAGAAATCATTCTCACAGACCTCTCAAAAGAAAACAAGAAAGAAAAGGAACTACTGACCATCAGTGCCACAAGGAAGCACTTTGGTAGCAGTGTTGCTGAAGCCTTACTGGAACACCAGTGCTACAGTACCAGTTACAACTAATGAAGAATCTTTGATAG